ACCTGTATATCTTTGTACGGTGCTAAGTTTATCTTTGTGTGGTTGTATATTTTAATGAAAAAATTATATTTTCCTTATTTTATACACATCCTGTATATATCTGAGATTAAAATATCTAAGTTAGATCTAGGAATTAACTCTTGAAACCGGAAACGCTACAAGGAACGCTATTACTTCCGGTCTAGTCGACATATTTATTGCTTCCAAAGCAAGTAATATACCTGAAAACAGTAGCTAGGGAAGGGTGGGGCGACCGCCCAGGGCGCCGGACATAAGGGGGCAACGAAACGCCAGAGTCGGATGTAATGGGGCGCCTGTGGTTCCCCTTAAGATATACTAACTTAAGTTTTTCCGGACACCAAATAAAAAGGGACGACGCGTAATTCTGGAACAGGGCGCAGAGTATAAGGGGACACTAAGGCGTCAGATTCGGATATATATAAGAGTGTCTCCAGTGCCCCTAAGGTACCCTATCTTTGGAAGATTTTTCCTAATTCCAAAAATAGTAAAAATAAATAGGGGGCGCCGCGAAATTCTCATCTAAATGCTAAAACCAGCCCCGCATAAAAATATTGTATTGTTATAAAGGTGAATGTTACCGTAAAATTGTGAAGTCGGTTAGTTTATAATCGTACTAATAATTATAATACAAAATAAAATAGATTTGTTAAAGGAAATAATTATGTTGTTATAAATATATGTAATTAAATTCTATTATTTTTATAATCAAGGGGAAATTTTTTGTAAATATATCGAATTCGAAATAGGTATTTTAAATTCTTCATTTTACTGTAACGTTAGTAAATATATAAACTATACGATTTTAATGCAACATAGCGTTGTAAAATCGAGATACAGTATGTTCCAAAAATATTTTTCAGTTTCTAAAACACGTTGTAGTTTTAAAAACGTGTCAGATAAATTGATTGTCACTTCGAACAACACGCGAAGCGACAGGCTGTGAGAAATCGCAATTTTTTTGTATACGTTGCTTTAAATTTTTCAATCTAAAACAAGTTTACGCGGCAAAAAGTTTGACAAGAATTTAAATTCTAATATTTTTTAATATATTATAAAGTGACCAACAAGAAAACAGCCATATACATCTTTAATTGCAAATGCGTTTAATCGACGTAAAATGCACAGATAGAAAATATTTCCGCCTTTGTATGCGTATATTCCTCCGTCAAATCCACTTTCCCTTGCCAACATTTTCTTATAAAGGTGGGAAGGGAAACACGACTGAAATTAGGCCAGCACGCACACTCATCAGACTGCACTTGAAATTACATCCACTTGAGGCGTGTCTTCTGTGTGCTCTTGGTATTATACAGGGTGAGACAATTCTGCTACTAACAAATATTGTTGTTGGCACAATAAACAACATGCATAAGAAAAACCTACTTATACTCTTTTGAATCAGATGAAGAAAATAACAAGACGATTAAAATTTCATAACAATTGGAAAGAATATATCGTATTATTTTTTAGCTATATATTTAGTAACTTATCTTAACACATAAACATACAAAATACAAACTTGTCAGTATTATTGTGTAAAACTTTCATGAGTAATATCTCCGGAAGTGCAAACGTTGCTACCAAAATCCTTTATCTCTAGTTTCCTGTTATTTGAAGAATAAATAAAATACATTTTCCACTGTCGCAATAAACGCGCGACTTTAACCGCGGCAACGCTGACTTGTATAGTGCGACGAACTTAGCTTACCCGGTGTGTAAATTTGAAACTAAACAAAAGTCTATTTGCAAGATCTAGAAATAATTTAACTCTTGAATCCAATAATCAGAGGTCTTGAAACTATGTTTTAACTATAATTTTACTAATATTATAAATGCGAATGTTGTAAGAACGGCTGTATACATCTCGCTGAAAGGCATAGATATAGAACATAGTCTGGAAGAACGCATAGACTAATAATTAAGTTTTTTAATTTCATGTACGGCGTCACGGGCGACAGCTACTCATAAACTCTAAAATTGATTTTGAAAAGGTGTCATTTATCAAAAAATTATTAATATCTTATAATAAGTATAAAATAAAATAGATTTCCGAGCCATTACTTCTACGTAAGAACGAAATCTCTTTACAGAACTTTCCTGAATAAATCTTATTAAAATGGAACCGTCCAGAACTTTGCACATTCATTAAAAACTGATAAATAGTTCTTGAAATCAATTCCTTTATCATTTAGTTATTCGTTCGTAAAGTTTTTTCATTCATTTTCAACGAAGACAAAAGAACTAAAGAGATTTTATGACTTACTAGTTGTGGCCCGTGACTCTGTCCGCGTGGAATAAAAAAAACTTAATAAGTAGGCTATGTGTTCTTCAAGACTATGTTCTATATCTATGGGAAATTTCATGAAGATCCGTTGAGTCGTTCTAAAAATACCTTGTAACAAATATCCATCTCTCTAAACCAGTCTTTCCCAAAGTGTGCGATAACGCCCCCTTGTGGGCGCTGCAGGTCTCAAGTTGCGGGTTATAGTAAAAGTTTCGTTTAGAATTCTACGTTAATATACATATATAGGTCACAATAATTAATTAATTTAATTTGAAGTTATAGTGGTTTTTAAATATGTGAAAATATGGGGGCGCTAAAAAAATATTTATTCTGAAAGTTGGAAGTAGACGAAATAAGTTTTGGAACCACTGATCTAAACTTATACATACACCTAGGCTATTTACCATGTTTTTTTTTATTTCCATGCGGACAAAGCCGCGGCCGATAGGTAGTAGTTTTATAGTTCTTTTGTCTAAATCAAACTTCAAACATTCCCCATTCTTTTGAATTGATCTCGTTCAAAGTTCTTGCATAAATCCTTCCTACAATAGTCAAAAACTTTCTTACTTTCTTTCGTATAATAGATTCAGAAATTCGTTGAAAAAGATTTACTTTGACGCCTCAGCCAATGTCGGATTTAAGAAAAATCAATTCCTCCACTTTCACAGCTAGAGAGATTTAAAAAAAGTTTTCATATACTCCAATCGTTGTTGCCGTACAATTGTGAATTCGGTCATTTTATAGTCGGTCTAAGTCGGTCTTAATCCAACCTTTTCTAAATTAGTATTTCTAATTAGCTATCGTTATTAAAAATATGGTAGCCTATACGCTATTCTAGACAGTATCACGGTTCCAACTTACATGCAGATCCGTTTATTCGCTGTGTAGTTACCAGCGAACAAACTTCAGCATTTCTAATATTAAGATTCTAGTCATCGATAGATGATTTATTGACTAGAATTTAACTTAATTGGCTTAGACAATTCATAAATCCTTAAAACTTTAGTTCATAAATCTTTTAACAATCGTCTAAAAAGTTTTTACTTGCACAAATAGATTTATAGAAAAAGTTTTTCGCAAATGCATTTATCCAATGTAGATAAAAAATATTAATTCATTTCTTTATAAAATAATACCTCCTTATTATAGAATTAAATCGTTTAACTCATCACAAATACTTACTTCTTTCTAATATAATATTATAAACGCAAATGTTTAGATGAATGGATCGATGTTTGTTAGTAGGTGTCTCCAGAATCCAGAATCCAAATCCAGAATATTGATGAAATTTGACTAAGATGTAGAACATAGTCCCGCATCGATGGAGTTGCGGGCGACAGCTAGTATGTACATACATACTGAAATGATAACACATCTCGACATTTCATAAACTGTCACAATGGAATCGTCAAATTATGCATAATACTGAAATAACTCAAAAACTACATAATCGTTTACGCGATACTTATTTAACCATTAAATTGCTGATTAATATTTAGGTAAAATAGACTATTTTTTATTGTGTTTTTGTTAAAATTTATTGCAGGCTAAATAAAAATCTATAAACGTTGCGTAACCCTTTTTATTTAAAATGTTTAACACCTAAAATCTGTTGACGTTAACTGACGCGTTCTCTGATATAATCTGTCAATGTTTCCCGCCAAAACGCGAGTGCGAAATAAAACAAAATGGCGCTGACAGTAATCATATCACACGCTTTTACTTTTATCATATCAGAAATATCTAATAAATGTAAATTATTGTGTTTAAAATTAAATTAAGTTACATTTTGAGGTTAGATTTAAAGTACAACATAGAATTATATTAAGTGATAAAAATATAAAATTTTAAATAGACGCCATATTTTTTTCATACATATTTTTCAAACAAACAATATATGATTAATCAACAACCAAACAAATCTTTGCTTTAGTCCAATTAGATATATAAAATCTTTTTTTTTTATATCATGCGGTGGCAAACGAGCGAGCGGCTACCTGAAATCGCTGAAATAGCGAAGTGACCGTTGCCCATAGACATACGCAATTGTATATGCGTTGTCTACCTTTAATCGACGGAGGAGAGGATGCACAGAAAGAAAATATTTTCCCTTCCCATGCATCCTCTCATCCGGAGAGTCCACTTACACTTCCCAATCCTTTCTTTATAAGAAAAACGGTGGGAAAGGAAAGAGGACTAAATTAGGCCTCCGGGACGCACACTCATCAGACGAAACGCGGAATAGTATGGTCGTGGTATTTCACCGGGCGAGCCGGGCCAATTCGTGCGAAGATGTTAAAGTGGGTTCTACTACTGTTGAATATCTATTTCTTGCTAGCACTACCTAGCCTAGATAGATTATAAATTCAAGCAATTCGTAAAATATTTATTACAAGTGAATCACAACAAAAAAAAGTGAGCAAATTTAAACAAAATTCAAAACAAATCAGTTTCTATCAATTTGTAATTGTAAATCTTCGAGAATAGTTTGGACCTTACGTCAACCCTTGTCTGGAAAAGGGATGTTTAGATTTCCTCCTCTAAGTAAATTGCGTTATTACCTAAATCTTAAGGCAAATCAAAATTTAGTACATTTGAATATTTTTCTTGTTTAATATTAAATAGCTGTTTTATTATAGTATTTAACAACAAAACTGTTGAAGCTTCGTCTTAATAGATTCTGTTTTCATTCCAGATGACGGACCGCGGTTCCTGTCGCGTGGCCACTCCTTCAGGACAGTGGTGGGAGACACACTGCTACTGCCATGCCAGGTCCAGAACTTGGGTGAGTCAGTCTCCTCGGTCTACTCATTCTAGTCCGTCTGGTTGATTTAGTCGGTCTAGTTGGTCTAGTCGGTCTATTCGACCTAGTCGATCTACTCGGTCTAGTCGGTCTACTCGTCCTAGTCGGTCTACACGGTCTAGTCGGACTAGTCGGTTTTGTCTGCATACACGGTCTACTCGGTCTAGTCGTTCTAGTCGGTCTAAATGGTCTAGTCGGTCTACTCGGTCGAGTCCGCCTAGTCGGTCTTGTAGGTCTACTCAGTTGAGTCAGTCTACATGGTCTAGTCGGTCGAGTCGGTCTAGTCGGTTTACTCGAAAAATAAATAGTAATACAATGCGCAGAAAGGACGAGCTTATCGTCAGTAAGAAAAGGTTCTATATTACTCTGTCTCTTCAGGTTCCCTGGTGTTGCTGTGGAGGCGAGGACCAGCTGTCCTCACCGCTGCCAGTCTGATGGTGACCAGAGATGAGAGATTCAGACTTGTTGATGGTTACAACTTGCAGATAACTGATGTTGGACCTCAGGTACGTGTAGTATGCTGTACTTCACTTGTAGAACCTTTATTATAAACCTAAGAATCTTTTAATGTGACTTAAAATAGTTAGCGTTCAAGAACGGCTTCGCTCGACTACCAAAGGTATACATGTTATGTCTTAGAAGTTCAGAACAATGCTTTTTATTTAATATATATTCAAAATAACCAAACCCAAAAACTAGACAAACTAAACAAATGTATTTAAATTTAAAAAAAAAAACCATTAAGGTAGATAAAATAATTCACATCATACGAAAAAAAAAAGTAAATCATAAGCCTTCGTAATCCTAAAATAAATGTTCTATTAACGTATTTTACACCACAAAAACCGCTAAAATGCTAAACACAGCCCTAAATGATAATAATCCACCAAGAAAACCATAATTGGTATATTTTATATAGCAATTATGGTTTCCTACCAACGCTCGTTATTTTTTATATGCGGCAACACCGAGATACGGTTCCCGCGCAATTTGCTACAGACATCTTGTGACATTTCGTTCGTCTTGACTTTCGATATGTGCTAGCAATTGCCTATAAATATAAAAAAAATTGTGAGAGAAGTCAGCTCCCTTATTCTTAATATCTTCCTAATATTATAAATGCCAATCGTTGGATGGATGGTAATTAGAAGGTCTCTCTAAAACTGCATAGTAAATCTCCATGAAGCTTTGCATAGATGTAAAACACAGCTTGAATAAACACATAGATTGTCTAAGATATTGGAATTGTGTACAGTTCTCCGCTTGATTCACGTATTTACTTATAACTTCGCAATACTTCAACACATCATATTAGAATTCGCCTCTATACCTTTTTAAACCCTTAATCAGATTTTTACAGTTTGTTTCAAACCGATAGTTCAATGCATTGTCGAAACCCAAAGGAATTAATGTCCCAAAATGCTATTGTTGCGTACGGTTGCTTTCCATTCAATACATATTGTGGCTCCATCTAGCTGTACTAATGGAGCAGAGGAATTCTTATTATAAACACGATATGCCTCAATTGGGACAATGCGTATCATATTTATGTTACCAGCAAATCGACACATTGTAAAGTCGACACAATGCATATCTGGTTAACCTCAAAGTGGCTCTTATTGGATGCAAATATGACAGCCAAAGAAGTGTCATCTTTACAATTGTCAAAATATAACTCAACAAAGCTGATGAGAGTGGCGCTACTATCACAATTCGTTCTGTCAAAAAATATGTAAAACATTCATGAATAAGTCAAATGGGATAACAGAAAAACATTCAATTATAGCTTCAGTGCGAAAGGATATTGTGATATATTTTGACGTTGATAGAGGGGCGCTAGTGTGCTGTCATATTTTATTTGACTTTAGTCAATCGATTCAAATATTCTTATAAACGATGCATTCGATCTGAAAGCGCCTATAGCCTAATAGTTAAAGGTGTTGACTAAGAATCTATTGGCCATAGCCATAGGTTGGAACCATTCGACTATGAAACGCGTAGGGGACAAACATATAAACATTATTTTTTATATATTAATAGAAGATAGTTTGGTAATAGTATTAGAACATAGACACAGTGAATCTTTATATGTCAGTCTAGAACATATGTATAATATAACTTACACACATATTTGACTCATGCGAGCTAAAGAAATATAATTTATTTGTTCAAGCTTATAGCATTGAACAAATTTTATCACTCCTCTATATTTCCCGGGGATATTCTTACATTTTTTCTCTTAACAATATAATCCAGTGAAGAGCTATTTTGACGGCAATAAACTGAGCCACCATTTCCTCGAAAAATCAAGATGGAAGACACTTTCTGACAAGATGGTCGACACAAATTGCGCGCGAAAGGGATGAGCGAAAGAACGAACGATAATAACAGTTGATGTTTAAGTTATCAACCGTTTTTTTATTTAACTACTTGATTTCAACGTTTTTATCATATTTCAAACCAAACCCTTGAACCATAGACAAATTGCAATTTACACTTAAATTGGTAAGATCTAAAATATTTCTAGTTAAAAACTTTTATACGTATATATTTTTAAAATATCGTATCGTAAAAAACGGCCTACATTTATGGTTTTTGCCTTTGTTTTTTTTACTTAATTCGGCGTTATATCAAAAAATAACTACGTTGATCAACGCGTTGAATAATTCAACGTTATATTTCGTTAACGAAAAAACCGTGAAATTCCCATCTCTACTGACAAAATGGCCGTGAGAAATTGCGCGGGAATCGCACTGCAATGTTGCCACACGTAAAAAATAACGAGTTGTTTTTTATACGCCAATTACGGTTTCTTCGCTGCCAATTATCGTTTAGGGTGTTGTTTGGAATTTTTTCTCATGCTAAAAATATTACAATTGCGTTTTAGGATTATCGTGTTTATTAATATAATTTAATACAAGCTGTCGCCCGCGACTCCGTACGTGCGGAAATAAAAGAAAACATAATTCGTAGCCTATGTGTTCTATAGCGAATCAGCAGCAAGATCCGTTCAGCCGTTATGGAGATACATTCAAAGAAATTTTCATCCATACATCTAAACATTCGCATTTATAATATTAGTAAGATTTGTGTTGTTATAATAAGAACATTTATAAGTTATTTTTATTTTAAAAATCCTATTAATTTAACATCCATTTTTTATATTTTTTAATCTATTATTTATCTTACTAATATTATAAATGCGAATGTTTGGATGGATGGATGTTTGTTAGAAGGTATCTAAGATGTAAAATATAGTTTAACCCTTATGTTCATTTTGTATAGCATATATAATATACATACAACTCTATAAAAATATACGATAACTATTTACTTAGTTTTATTAAAATTATTTTTGCCTTTGCGTATTTTTTTTGCTTTTCTTCAAAAAAGAAATCATGCCACAATAAAGGTTAGTTTTTTTTTCCGCGCGGACGGAGTCGCGGGCGACAGCTAATTATCTGTATTTCTTTTTATTATCGTATCAGTACGTATAACCTTAAACTTTAAAATGTTATAACCTCAAAATTCAAGAAAACATCAACATAAATGGCTGTCATAATCAAAAAGGTAGAAAAGCCATTCAATCATTTAGCAAACCGCAAAGAATTTGATAAGATTATAAGGGAAATATTCATCTTTTATTAAAATCTTCAATCTGATTAATTAATGAGGTGGAAGTGGTCCTTGACTTGATATTTGAACGAACCGCTCTTCAAATATTATCTGTGCTTAGGGGAATTTCTTTTCGTTCATTCATTCAACGAATTCTAATTTATTTAATATCGCATCAAAACCTTATAGGTATTAAGATCTGTGTTTATTTTTTAAATACCAGCTGTCTGTAGCTAAAATAGTAAGTAGACTATGTGTTCTTCCAGACTATGTACTACATGTGTGCCAAATTTAATTAAAATCCGTTTAGCCGTTCCGGAGATAGCTTCAAACAAACATCAATCTAAACTTTCACATTTATAATATTAGTTAAATTATTGGTTACATAAAACGAATTGACAATAAATCTTACTAATGTATTGATGGATGTTTCATCATCATCATCATCAGCTCATACGTCCCCACCGAGGGGCTCGGAGCCTACCGTAAGTTAAGGGTGATTAGGCCATAGTCAAACACGCTGGCCAAGTGCGGGTTGACTTTACACATATCTTTGAATTTCTTAGATATGTGCAGCATCACGATGTTTTCCTTCACCGTAAGAACGTTGGATAAATGTACATATGTAAATCGGAAAACACATTGGTACATGGCGGGATTCGAACTCACGACCAGCAGATTGCAAGTCAAGTGCTTGACCCCTGAGCCACCGACGCTCTCGTACTCTTTTATTCGACGCTCTTTTAAAATGTAAATGTAAGAAAATGTAGGTCAGAAATGGTTTTGGTAAACCTTACAGTGAACATATTCTGACGACATTTTAACGAGACCGAAATTAATAATCGTAAATGATTTCCCAATTAAATAGGCCATAAAACATCGCTTGCTGACCGTACTTAGGCTGTTACGTCATTGTACGGTCAGCACATTAATCCGTGCAATTACAAGCATTATGAATGTGGTATTAGCAATATTGATCCCATCCGAGTTTATGCTCGCCTGGTACTTGTTAATTCATTTACGTTACAACATTGTCCATAATCTGAGTTTCCACTTACGCATACATGCATAAAAACATGTTGTTCATCGTCATCACCTCACTGTACATCCCCACTCTCAGGTCTCTGAGTCTACCCTAAGTGAGAGTATATGATAGTGAATGCTGGTCCAGTGCAAGACTTGACACATATGTTTGAGTTTGTCAGATATGTGCTGCATCACGATGTTTTCCTTCACCGTAACAACATACGATAAATGTACATATGAAATTCGAATATTAAAAAATGCATTGGTACATGGCAGGAGATCAAATCTAGACGTGTAATCAGATATAGCTGTCGCCTGCGACTCTGTCCGCGCGGAATTGTATAAAACCTTGATAAGTAGTCTATGTTCCAGACTATGTTTAACATGTCTGTCAAATTCCATCAAAAACCGATGAACCGTTCTGGTGATACCTTCAAACAAACATCCATCTAAACATTCGCATTTATAATATTAGTATGATAGTAAAATAGGTCCTACAGGTTTATGCCTACTTAATAAGGTTTCAACATATTTAAGGTTAAACATTAAACAGATTATCCTTAACCAATATATTAACCTTAATCTGTTGTTTACTAAAACATACACAAACGTAATAAATCTTTAAATGACATATATGAACAATCGATTAGTATTTCACAGGTTCAGTTAACCACGGCTAAAGTGGAAGCAATTTTACGTACAGCTTGAAGAGTGTGCGTGTCGGAGGCCTAATTTTAATCCTCTTTAACAAGCGAGTGGCAACTGAAATCGCTGAAGTAGGGAAGTAACCATTGCCCATAGACATACGCAATTGCATATGCGTTGCCTACCTTTAATCGACAGAGAAGAGGATGCACAGAAAGAATATATTTTCCCTTTCCATGCATCCTCTCATCCGGAAAGTCCACTTCCACTTCCCAATCCTTTCTTTATAAGAAAAAGGGTGGGAAGGGAAAGAGGGCTAAATTAGGTCTCCGGGACGCACACTCATCAGACTGTTCTTAGAATTGCTTTCACTTGACGTCTGCCTTCTGTGTGGTCGTGGCATATCACCGGGCGATACCAATTCGTGCGAAGATGTTAAAGCGGGCTCTACCACTGTTAAATATATTATTTTATTATTATTAGAAATAAATAATAGCTAACTGTAATGTTTGTACAACAAATCACTTACCTTTTATATCTATTCTCTCCAAAACACGGACATAATCCTCTTAAGTATTCCATTAACGATAAATTACGATCACTCAAGGTCCCAGTTAATGCTTCCCATTTAATGTACAAAAGATAGGAGAATAAATCATTTTATTTACCACACAAGATAAATAATTATACTTGATATACCGTATAGTTACCATAATGAAGAAACATTAACTTTTTGTCCGGCTCCGAGGACCAATTTATTATACTAATGGACCTTTTTACCTAATTCTTGCAAATGTTTATTATATTTTATGTATGTTTCTATAGATTAGCTTCTGAATGTAATTTCTTGAACTAGCTCTCGCATGCCACCAGTAACCCAAAATATAACCGCATATATCAGTTACCTTACCGTTCAAGTAACGTCAAACTAGGTCCATTCGTTCTGAAGATTCCCCGGAACAAATGTGACCCTGCGTACAGACAGACAAAAAAAAACACTAAAAAAACAGAATCTTTATTATCTGTTTTTTTTTTATACATGGCGAATTTAAAATGCTACTGGCCAGTAAATTTATAGATCCATATGAGTTTGATTACACAAAAAAGAAAATCAATTTTCTATAAATGGATAGGCGATTGTTTCGAACTGACAACCTATGCTTTGTTACGATTTAAACACGCCTGTTGATGTTACGTCATAGTAAAATCTATCTATATTATTAGTTCCAACTCACACCACCGCTACAAACCGTTACCATCAGCGCCAAAATGGTGAAAATCAAATAGGCACAAAATATCACAGCTTATAGCCAGTCCATTTCAATCAGTGAATATAATACTTGTTTTTTTTTCAGGACGCAGGCGACTACGTCTGTCAGATATCGGACCGGATATCCAGAGACCAAGTGCATACCGTGGAAGTGTTAGTGCCGCCAAGTGTACGCGCCTCGCCCGAGTCACGCCACGCTGCTGCGAGACGTGGGGGCGCTGCTGTGCTGGAATGTAGAGCTTCAGGGAATCCTGTACCCAGTGTTACTTGGCATAAAATGGTGATTGATTTTATATTCATCATCAGGTCACTATAGGTCTACACTGAGATAGAAGTCTACCCTAAATGAGACTATGTGATAGCAAATGCTGTCCCAGTGCAGGACTTCACATATCTTTGACTTCGATCGTACGACAAAGTTTTTTAATCTAGTAAAAATTATCGCATTTAATTAATAACATATGTATTGGGAAGGACAAGGATTTTAAGACCCTTTAATTAATAGTATATCAGTCAAAGAGAAGTCGTCGGTGACTCAGTGGTCAAGCACTTGACTTGCAATCTGCAGGTCCTGGGTTCGAATCCCGCCATGTACCAATGTGTTTTTCCATTTCCGATTTACATATGTACATTTATCCGACGTTCTTACGTTGAAGGAAAACATCGTGATGCAACCTGCACATATCTGAGAAGAAATTCAAAGATATGTGTGAAGTCAACCAACCCGCACTTGGCCAGCGTGGTTGACTACGGCCTAATCACCCTTAACTTAGGTTAGGCTCCGAGCCCCTCGGTGGGGACGTATAATGAGCTGATGATGATGATATCAGTCAAATGAGTTGTTTAAGCTATCTTTATTGGATCGACGTTTGTTAGTAGGTATTTCCAGAACGGCAATATGGATATAGAATATAGTCTTTAATACCACATACATCTTTATTAATTCTGTTGTTTGTTTTTTAGATCGACAGTTACAACACTCATTTGAACGAATCCAATCTACGTCTGGCAGACGGTCCACAGTTGCAGCTTTCGCGTTTGGAGCGCGCTCATAGCGGCCGCTACGCATGCACTGTTGACAATGGTGTTGGACCTCCCGTTGTTACTGAGTTCCAATTACAAGTATTATGTAAGTATATACTTTTATATACAATGTAGTCACGATGTCATCTTTTAATTCAATGATTTTCAAAGTAATCCAGGACCCCATGGGGTCACAGTTGATCTGGGGGGTGGTACGTTAGTATCTTAATATCTATTCGCATTTAACGACCCCCTGGAATAATTTGGGGACTCGATTAGACTTATGATGGTGAAAATAAAGTTACAGTAGTAAAACATAAATAAATTCACATATGAACGTGTCGTTCCGACACTTCGAATACGTGGCAATCTATCAGTCGGGTTAAAAAAAGAAAGTGTATAGTAAAATTCCGTTATCTCTGCCTACCCCTTAAGTTTATAAGTCTGCGCTTTAATATGATATGCACCTTCATGTCATTGTCAACAATATCTTAAATAATTTACCATAACCTCATTCAAATTATTACGACGACAGAAATAAATATATGTAAAAGTTAAACAAATTACATATTAACCAAACTAAATTGAACTAAACTGCAATTTATTTGAACGCGGGAAAGGTGTGAAAGGGTCGAGGGTCAGTTACAAGGGTAAATTGCTTACCCTTTTGTACACAAAATCTAGATAATTCATGTAAAACATATAACAAGTACAACGCTATTAAACCTCAAAACTAACAATTCTATTCAAACTTTTAATATACCTTAAAATAGTTTATATTATTACAGGATAAAACACAAGAATAATCTTATATTTTACTAGCTGTCGACCGCGACTCCGTCCGCGTGAAATGAAAAAAGAAACTTAATTAGTTCCCGACAATTATTCGAATTTTTCTCGACTTTTAAACCTTCCCTAGACCTCCACAAACATTTCAAGACCAAGATAAGATAAATCCGTTCAGTCAATCTGGAGTTTTAGAGAGACTAACGAAAAATTTTCCTCGTTTATGCAACATTTCTCACTAACGCTTCGCTCCTATTGGTCGCAACGTAATGTTATATAGCCTAAAGCCTTCCTCTATAAATGGACTATCCAACAAAAAAAAATTTTTTCAAATCTGACCAGTACTTCCTGAGATTAGCGCGTTTAAACAAACAAACAAACTATTCCGCTTTACTAATAACTACCGTAATTGTACAAAAAAAGGTTGATTGCATTATTTTAAAAAAATCCGATGAATATGAATCGAATGACACCTCATTTGTCAAAATCGGTTCAGTTTTTTTTTAATTATAAAATGGCAAACGAAAGACAAGTCAGTCAGTTGCGTTTTAATTTTTTTTTTAATATTGCAATATGCCAGCTATATCTTATCATATTATATTTTTAATTCGACGCCATAATTCTCGCTTCCCATCTCGCGGATTCGTCAGAATTTAATTTGTCGTCGCAAATCCAATTTCCGTCTCCGACAAACACTCAAGCGACAACTTGATAAGATTAAATCGTCCCCCAGGTGCTTGTGAACACTTTTATACGTTTAAACATATACATAGTTTTAGACAATATTAGTTAGACTCATTTAGAGCGAATGGCGCGCTTTTTGTTACCAAGTCAAATGTCAGATCGATTAGTGAGGGGACATAAACGTTGATATTTTTAATAAGGCTAGTGTTGCACTGATCTGAACAGTGTCGGTTTTTCTTCCTTACATTAGTGACGTAATATATATAAATGTTTTCAAATATCTTTGGGACTATTAAATTCGTGCGAGTCTCTAAACTCAATACAGCGGGGCGTAGCGCATGACCTTGAGCCACCCAGATATTTGAAAAGAATATTAGAATTAAATTGTCTTTCCACTTAATTAATACAGTAAAATCTTGATATATCGAATGTTAGGGAAATGCAAAAAACTTATTGAGTCTTCGATTGAAGATGTCTACAAGTACAAATGTAGTATTTGACGGGCAATCACAACTTAGACTTTACTATATTTTGACTTCAATCAGAGTCCTTTTTTTAATATCCGAGTTATGAAGTACAAATATACATTAAAACGCCTACGCAGAGAAATAACATTTTGTCTAAATTACAAAGTCTTAATAATTAGAGATACCGCGTATTTGAACTTCAACGGAAGGGAGCATTTTGTTCGGCTTTACATCCTATTTCAAATGATTACAATAAATATTGTTTTTCAAATATGCTAATATTTTACAGCTATAATAATGATGTTATTATTTAATTGCAGATCCTCCAGAAATAACAGTGGAGCGATCCTGGGTGCACACTGGTGAAGGCTTCAGAGCTGAACTGCTGTGTACCGTTCTTGCCGATCCTCCCGCTGAGGTAATAACGTACTTAGATGAGACGTATATACAGATCTTTGACCATAATTAGCCTGAACAACTGAACTCCTGACATTGATTGATTGAATGTCAGTCACAGGGGAACAGTCACTGTCAGTCGGGATTTCTAATTAACAAATTATGGACAAACGAGGAAATCTGAGAGAGAGAGAGAGGCGCTGCTGTCGCGTTTGGTTCTGTCAGAGTATATAAAACCTTCTTAGGCATAGAAAATAACATAAAAGAAAAAATGACAGCTACATACAGCATTTTTTGACATTAACAGTGTGGCGTTAGGGGGCTGTCATAATTTAGTTTGACTTATGCCCACCGGTTTAAATAGCCTTGTCAGTTAATAGTGATGTTCAGACACAATTTCAATGACAAAATGACACGAATTTTCAGGTATCGTGGTACCAAAACTCATTCCCTTTGAGTGCGTCGGAGCGGGTGACTATGTCAGCGCGCGGGAACAACCACACCTTACTAATAGCTAATGTACAACCAGAAGACTTTGGTAATTATAGGTAAGTCTAAAATTCCTTTCCCGAAATGATCCGAAACCCTTTGACGGAATCCACGGAAAACCCACAGGACGTTTATAATGGAGGGAAGCTTGTAGTTTTAGTACAGAAGGGGTAAGAACCCAGGATCACTTTGCAAAAGGGAGCGTAGCTCTGAAAAAACTTTGATCCAATCTTTGACAATTTATTACAAGTTAATGATGCTAATACGAAAATTTATTATGATGAAATGTTGTTTGATATTTCTATTTAAATCCCATTTATTTAACAGCAGACTCCAGGACATTGAAAAATGGAAAATAGATATAAAACTACTTAATAAAAATCATGTTAAAAGTAGCCTAAGACCTAGCCTAGAACATTGGCTGGCGTCGCCCAATGACAGTTGTATTTCAATAGATTAAATATTTATACTGTACAAGATATTTTTGTACACAGTTGCGTGGCAGACAACAGTCTAGGCAGGGCGCGGCAACACGTAGAAGTTTCTGGAAGGCCGGGCCCCGCAAGGTTCACATCACCGCCAGTTGCGCGACGTACAGACGCTTACACACTCGCGTTTGCTGTTGACAGCTACCCTCCGCTGGATGAACTGAGACTACTGTATAGACAACTAGCGGTAGGTATACAGGATAATAATCTACAACTTGGTTACATTAATGTTAAACTCACATAAAATATTAAACAAGGGTACCTAAGCCGGTCAATATTACGGTCTGTCGCCAACCCTATTAAATAATGACAATATTTCGAAATGATGTAACAAATGTCATTGGTACGGACATCATTTGATAGAAAATAATAGGCAGTTTTGCGCTTGACAATCAGTTGCATTTCAAACGTGCTAGTGAACGGACATTCTTTACAGTTCAACGAGTCGTACCAGCAGCCGGGGCGTTGGCATGACGTTGTGATCCCCGCACCGCAGCCGGCGGGCGCGCTGACACATCGCGTAGCGCATGAATTACGAGGTTTGCAACCAGGAGCTGTGTACGAGGCGATTGTTCAAGCTAAGAACAGATATGGATGGAACGAGGTAAGTAAACGAACTTTTTTTATAGTATACGGTGGAAAAGAAGCAGGAGGTTATATTGTAAATACTCATTAAATTATTTCCTTTCAGGTCAGTGATATCTTTCAATTCCACACACTGGGGGGTGAACACACAGCGCATGCAGGGGAACTGACACCTATGTTCTCCGGTCAGAGAAAAACCAGTTACAATATTTATACAGTGGTCAGTCTGACCTTCCTTACTCTATGGAGCCTCGTCCATACCGGTTAACCGGTTATAAATAACGTAGAGAATTTAAATGACTTTTTATCGGTTTTATAAAATATTTTACAATAATCGACATTTTCTTTATAACACAATATGACAGATCTGTTACGATGGCTATTTCAAATCATTTATCGATAAAATCGACAATCGTACAACTTCCGGTTTTTGTACAACACTAGTGACACTTGATTGGCTGTTAACGACCTGTCATTTTGTGACATTAGTAAAGCAACAGAAATGAACACCAACATGATCTAAATCTTTATTGTTCGTTATATATGTTTTATTTTTATTAAAACAAATTATCACTCATGAGAGAAACAATGATGTTTAAATAAAAAAACACAGAAAAGACAATTTGTTTTTGTTGAGATGTTTGACTATATATTATATACTTTATAGTTGGCCGTAAATCTTATTTCTATTAAAACATTTGCAGTCATTACAATATTATTATTTATACATATTTATTTAAGATAAATTACTGTTTCAAGTATGTATTCCCGACAAAAAGACTTGTTGTGAAAACGTAACATCGCTATATAATTTTAAAAACATATTTTATAAATATTTATATCAATTTATAGATCGTGAGCGCTTATAGATATAAAAATTGTAAATAATGCTTCTTAAGAATGTTTAAACTTTTAAACCCGAACCAACCCAAAATGTTCAAGAAATGAACGCGCCTTTTGTATTAGTTTTATATACATGGCCTTAATGTTTAGTCAGTAAATGTTTTTGGGATCTCTAGTATTTACAAATTTAAGAAACATTTTAAATATTGCCCCAATAGAATAAATAATGTAAGCTTTTTAAACATATGGTCACATTGCCCACTAATTAATCATTCCGTATTGCCATGCAAATGAACCTTTTATTTTACACTTTTCAAACGCACAATGTTTTAAAGTTCGTTTTTTTTCCTTATAGTACAGATATAACGGTTACCTTGAATTATTTATTATTAATTTACAATAGAAATCGAATGATACATCGGTTATAGCGACCAAGCGAATAAACTATACGTCTGTTACGACTAAATATTGCCTGTCCTTTCGAAGTCGCTATACCTGATTTCGACTGTTTTACATACATTGAGTTTAATAAAATCTTTCTATTTCTTCTAGTTTTACCTTTTTATAGTTACCATTAACGTACCATATAATTCACAACACTATTTTGCCTTGCTCGCCATCTTATATTCGCCGATATTTTAATAATCGCATGACATCCATATAAATGAATTTAATATTAGCAGTAAATTATTATGTAAGCAATAACTCGTGTTAGTGATAACGCTATTTAGAAATAATATAGTCTGTATTTTTCTCCTTGATATATTTCTAACCTATAATTTGATATTTTGGCGCGAAATGTGCAATAATTATTACGTAATCCAAAAGCAATATGTAAACACATCATTAATTTATATTTTTATATAATAAAAGTAATTATTTCTAAGTATTTATTTATATATAATTTGTGATTTCAAAATGTGTTGTGTTAATTAGGTGTAAATTTTTCTAGACAAATCTAGTCTGAATGGATTATGTATAAATTGGATGGTTGTAGAAATCGCGAATTTCTTTCGACAAAATGTTTCTTGTAAGTAGAGAATAAACGAGTTTATTACAAAATATATCGTGGTTTAATTAAAAATCGACTAAATGTACAAAAACAAGCCGTTATATAAGTTTAAAACTTACTAAAAATGTAAGCGTTCTTTGTGAATTACAAATCAGGAAGGTGTTAGACTCCAGCAACATTTGTTGCACGAATGTCTCCCGTCTGCAGCAATTCCACGAGCACACAGAAGACGCCTCAAGTGCGAAGCTATGCCAACTACAGTCTGATGAGAGTGTCCGGAACTCACTCATCAGACTGTAGTATTGTACGTACGGCCTAATTTTACTCTTATTCTTCTCGGCATTTTCCTAAGGAAAGGATGGGAAGGGGAAGTGGATTTGACGGACGGGACGCATAAGGGGAAATATTCTTTCTATGCCTTTCCTGTCAATTAAAGATATGGATGGGGGTCGCTTCGCTACTTGAACGAATTTAGGTAAGCTCTTCCTCGTTTGCCATCTTTTAATATCAAAAAGGATGGTTTCTTTAAATAAAAAACACTTTTTTATAAATATTGTTATATATTTTGCATGTACACTAAAGACCTTTATCTTTTAAAATAAACGCAAAACAATTCATTTTTAAAAATTAAAACTATTTTACAAAATCTACTGACTTACAGACTTTCAGAGTTTTTTTTGTAATTTTTCTATAAATAATTGAAAATTAACAAGGTTTTTATACTTAAAAAAAACCCGACTATATCCTAACCATAGGTTTCAGAGGCCAATATCCTTGATAATGAGAAGAGATGTTTTAAACAAGTATTTTTGTCTCGGAAACCAAAAATGAAGTAAACAGAGGCAACTCAAAATACAACTTTTATAATATTTTACCATTTTTAGGATAATTGCATTATAAAGTAATATAAAGGGATAGCAAAATTTCTAGGTATGTGAGAAAAAATGTTTTAGCACAAATATTTTTTAATTTAATAGTTTTTCGAGTATAAATTGAGTTATTTGGCTAAAAGTTAGAATTGGAATCCAATATTCTACTAAAAATATAGTCAACCTGGATTAGCGAGAAACTCATGTTATAGAGAATCTTTTATAAGCGAGAAAAATCCTGTGGTTCATTGTACTCTAGTTTCTCTATATCTTTCTATTTAGACTTACTATAATATAATTAATCCTTTTAACTGCATTAATGACAAATTAACATATGTTTTATACAAGAATTTTCAGCAATTTTAAAAAGTTTCTAAATTCTTCACTTTTAAATTAAAAGAGCAACGTAAGTGTCCCTTACAAAAATTTATGAACCTTCAATACTAACTGTATCCCGCGACTTCGTCTGCGCGGAATTAAAAGCACTTGTGCCTTTCATCAAATCCCGTTAAGCCATTCCGAAGATACTTTGAATCATCCATCTAAACATTCGCATTTATAATATTAGTAATATTTGAATGTATTTTAATCCAAATTTCCATTATAAAGGTTCTTTAGGAGTTCCATACTTCGAAAGGAACAAACGGAATCAATAAGATGACTTTGTTTTCCTGTCTGTAGACCATTTATATCATAGTAATCACAATAAACACTACAAAAACCCATAAATAATATTCACAATTCAACTTCGTAAACCTCTTCATACAACTCTTCGGGTTTTTCCAATTTATACAGATTATTTTCTGGATTTTCAACAATTTCTTCATGATACAAATTATCTTGGAACACCTCGTGGAACACTTCACCGTCTTGGAAATAGAAATGCGCCATTTGTTCCTGATTGCCTTCCACAAGGACATCACCTTCTTCATATTCAATTATTTCAGCTTTAATTTCAGGCTGCAATTCTATCTTTATTTCCTGTTGGTATGTATCTACATCTTGTGCTTGGATTATCTTCATTTCTGGAAATAAAAGTTTAACATAAATTAAGCAGTTGACTTGTAATCCCGTGATGTATGAATGTGTTACATTTACATATGTACATTTATCATATGTTGTTACGGTGAAGGAAAACATCGTGATGCTGCACATATCTGACAAAATCAAACATATGTGTCAAGTCTTGCACTGGACCAGCATTCACTATCACATACTCTCACTTATATACTCCAAGACCCTCAGTGGGGACATATAGAGCTGTGATCAAATGACTGTGTTCTTCCAGACTATGTTTTACATCTAAGCAAAATTTCTGTGAGATCCATGCAGCCTTGAATTTCTAAGAAAAATGCATACAATCGCATTTATAATATTAATAAAATATGAATGTTTTGATGCATGGATGTTAGAAGGTATTATCCAGAACGGCTCCATGGATTTTGCTGAAAGGCACAGAACATAGTCTGAAAGAACACATAGGCTGGTAATTTTTTTTAATACCTCACAGACAGTCTCGGGCGACAGCTAGTATACATACCTCTGGATTTGTTCCGCCTATTCTTACTCTTGTATGGAGCTGGCATCTTCAGATGTACTGTCTTGACGTGCAACTTCATTGAGTTTGATTGTGTGAATGTTTTCTTGCAGTGGGGGCACATGTAAGGTTTTATACCGGTGTGGACCTGGAATTAACAATTATTTAGTTAGTAATTTTATGAACTGAGGGTACTTTAAAAAAATGTGTTGTCATATTGAGTAATCTAACCTACAATGTTACTAATATAATAAATCCAAATATTTGGATGGAAGGGTGAATGTGAGAAGGTATTTCCGGAATGACTGAACAGATCTCAAAGAAATTTGACACAGATGTAGAACATAATGTGAAAGAACACATAGGATACTTAAGTATTTTTGAATAGCATGCAGACAGAGTCGAGGGCGACAACTAGTGTATTTTAAAAAAATTGTCGCCCGCGACTCCGCCTGCACAGAATAAAATAAAATAATTAGTAGCCTTATTGTTCTTCCAGACTATGTTCTACATCTATGCCTTTTATCGAGATCCATGCAGACATTCTGGTGATATCTTGTAACCAACATACATCCAGACATTTGCATTTATATTAGTAAGAAGAAAAAGTAGTAGATTATACTAGTATGTATATCTTGTTACTTACCCGATCATGTCTGAGAAGCGCTGCCTTGTTGCTGAAGGCTTTTGGACAGCTGGTACATTTGTAAGGCCTCTCTCCAGTATGTGTTCGCAAGTGGATCTGAAAACGAAATTGTTAGATTTATCAGTACTGAAAAAAACAATTTTCACATTTATCTTTTATGCAAAACTACAGGACGCCCGCGACTTCGTCCGCGCAGACTAAAAAAACAAATTAGTAGTCTATGTGTTCTTCCAGACTATGTTCTACATATATCTGCCTAATTTCATCGCTATCCGTTCAGTCATTCTGGAGATATCTTCAAACAAACATCCATCCATCGAACCATGTAAACATTTATAATATTAGTAAGAAGATTGAACTTGTTGTCAAAATTGTCAAAATCAATTTGAATCTTCAAGAATAATTTATAATTTAAGATTTTACCTGTAGGAAGAGCGGCATTGTGAATGTCTTGGGACACTCTGTGCAGTGATATGGCCTCTCTCCGGTGTGGACGCGCTGATGGTAACGTAACGCTGCGTTGGACTGGAACAAAAAGTTACATAGTTACTTTAACATGTGTATAAGGCACTTCATATACAAGAATATTATAAACACAACATTCGCAGCACAGGCATGGCAACTACATGTCAACTGTATAGATTTACTCCACCATCTTGTAAATCGCACCAGCTTATGATTTTAACCGCTTTAACAATGACAGATAGATATGAAGACGATGCGCTGTATACAAATCTTTATAACATTGGATTGAGTAAGTTGCTTTGCAACAATATCATCAGGTTTTAATTTATGTTGTTTTGTGTACAAAGGGTCTTACTGAGTCTAATTAATTATAACCATAAACGAGAAGAACGGGTTGCCCACATCAGTGATTCTCGATAATTTGTTGGGGCTTTCAAGACTGCAGTAAACAGGAGCTTACTGATCTGGTATTTATTTAACACTTACCGCATATCTCTTCCCGCAAACTTCACAGACAACATTCTTTGAGTTGAAGTAATCTTTCACAACATTTTTCTTCTGACGCTTCTCTTTCTCCCGTCTCACTTCTCTATCTCTTTTCACTAGTTCTCTCTCTTGTTTCACTTCATTCCAATCAACATCGTCAATATCACTCTCTTCCTTGTCTTGTATTTCGGGCAAGGTGTGGATACGCTGGTGGATGACACAAGCCTTCTCCGTAGGGAAGACCTTTTCGCACTGCAATGTAGAGCAACTGGTAAAGATTAATTTTATCCTATACATTTTGTTAGAAAGCATGTAACTCAGACAGACAGGACTTTCCTTTGGCATATTCCTGATCTTCCTGCTTTTTTCACATTAATATAGCATCTACGCATCTAATTACGCATGTATGCCGTAAGTGATAAGTAATTGAGCAATTTTGTACTGACAAGTTAGCTAGGTTGATCATTAGGTATAACAAAACATTTTTAGACAATTGTAAAGTACTTTTATTTAAAGTTAAACATATTTTCATCGGAATTGTTACATTTTCCAGGATATAGAAAGAAAATTAATATATATAGATGTTATAAAATGTTAGTTTTCGTATATTTCTTTGTTACGAATTTTACCGATAAATTTTCATCTTTATATTTCCTGTGTAGATTTTTACATAACCTACCAAGTTTTACATATAAACTTACGCTTTTCATTACTAATTTCCTAAAATAGGTACACTTTTAAAATTGAAATAAAAAGCACACTCGAAACAAAAGACGTATCTTTAAAAAGTTCTAAAATTATGCATCATCTAATATAGTTAATTGGTTTTAAACATAAATGTATTTGTATATTTCTTATTTACATTATCAAAGCGCGTAATTTTAGCACAGCTATCACAAAAATTCAACTTTAGCACAGACTAACGATTTATAGTAGACTATTGAAAGGATCCAACATAGTTATCTGTATTTCCACTATAACTTACTGTTGCGCAGGAGAATTCTTCATGTTTCTCGACGTCTAATTTTTGATTATGCTCCTTTTCCAAATGTTCTTTTAACGCGTCTTCAGTCGGGAAAGTATCCCCACATTCACAGATAATATAATGTATGCTTACAAATGAGCAATAGAACATTTTTATTTAAGGGTTTATATAAAGGCACAGATTACTAAGTTATTCGCCTTTTGCTATCTGATATGAAATGATCTTATTTTTCTATGCAATATAATGAACCGCCATGACAGTATCTGTGGACAGGACGTGCGTTGTATAACGCCTGGTGATGTCACTATGGAATAAATTAAATTAATCGATTCTCTAAATAATCGATTCGGTAAACAAGAATTAATTGACATCTATTTTCGTAAGTAATTATAATAAGGTTGAAAACAAAAAAATCAAAATACAATTTATTTCGTGAAGTCCGAATACAATTTTATTCTTTCTCACGTAAGAAATAATCAAGCATCGTGTTTTTCAAACATAGCTTTATCCTAGTGCTGTGAAAAATTTGATGTATGACATGTTGTGTCAATCATTATGCCATTTACTGACTTCTAATTTTAAGTTAAATAAAGCCTAAATAAATGGATATTGTCTTTTAATATATCAATTTATTTAACTTAAAATTAGAAGTAAGTAAATGGCATAATGATTGACACAACATGTCAATATTTATTCAAAGTAGGTTAACTGAAAATCGATTTTTTAATCAAAATCGATTTTCAGTAGTCAAAAATATCTTTTTAGACAAAGGAAATTCGATTTATTTTAAGTCTTTACAGAACAAAGAATGTAAGTTACAAGTAAATTGCAAATGCGAAATATTGGCCGTACAACAAGTACGAATCGTAATAGCTACTTTACGTCGGCCAATAGTTTGAATATTGCTGAGAAATGTAGTTAGGAAAAGTATATGGTTTAAATAAAAGAAAAACTAGGTTAAATATATTTTATTTAACGATAAGTTTTCGAAGCATACATATACAGATATGTTTCAAGGTAACGTCGTGAAGAGACATTATCTTTTCTAAATCGGCTTAAAATTACGTTTATAAAAACTTAACTACATGGCACATTGTACTTAGGTTAATTTTTAATATGATCGCAAGTTAAAAGGTAAATAGGTTGTGGCGCTAACACGTAGACAGGTGGAACTGAAAATAAATTAAATAAGATTTTATACTCTTTTAATAAATTAAATACGCAAAAACATTGTTATATATCTTACCACAAGCCGCGATATTCGATTTAAAGTTTTCTAAAGAGTTACTATGTCCGCCATTGTTGCAACTGAAATTAAAAAAAAAATAAGGTAAAAGTTCAGCTACAAAGTTCCTGTACGACTTAGTTGCATTAAAAAAATAGTAATGCTTACCATTGATTTCCTAAGCTAACATTGTTTAATGACTTTGACAATGAACATGCAGAAACTGCTGTATTCTGCAGATCCGCCATAGAACAAGCCTGTCGTAATTTCGCTACTAATTTATGCTGTATCGTTTTATTACTATTTAATGTACAATTATTATTATCAACTTCCGTATCTTCTACAAGTATCTGTGGCATATTTCCTTGTTGTCTATCATTATTTAATCTGTTGTGACAGTTGCAGTTGACATTTCCAATGTTGCCAGTAGATAAATAATCTACTGTTTGAGTAGGAATTGTTGGTAATGTAGAATGTTTGTTGCCAAGTGTACGATGTATGTTAGGGTCTGATGGGAATTTGTCAATTGATTGTAAATTTCTTTTGCTTCTATTCATCATTGAGAGTTGATATTGACCTCTCCTACTTGTAGTTGGAGATATATTAGGAGATCTCTCAGGAGATGTGTACGCGGAAGTGCATTTAGAAGTTCTTCTAATCGTATCTTTTATTTCGTATTCTGTTGCTATCGCTTCGAATACCTGAAATTAAATCATAATTATAAGCTACATATTGAAATCTATAGAATAGTTACGACTAGTTTTATTTTACCTGTTCAGCTACCAAATTCCTTGAATACGGAGAATCCTTAGATGGTAAATTCTCTCTGCATAAAGCGCAACGCTCTAATCTGCTCCAACAGGCTGAAATATTAAATTTATCATGTAAATAGTTATGTATTTCCATGTGAGATCTTACAATTTAATTGTCTGTTTAACTGTACTTTGTATTACTCTTGGATAAAATAGATTGTCAAACTATTGGTGTCTGTCTGAAAATAAAACTAACAATAACACACTTATATGTGTTACGATGGTGAAAACACTCACCTTCACAATATAAATGTGATCTTGCGCATGTCAATGCTTTAGTGGCGGTGGCTGCGCACACGCAGCACGATAGAGCCTTCAGGACTCCGGCTAGTGCACGTCGCGACTTCTCCCCACGGGAACCTCCTCCACAACTCCAGAGTAACTGGAATGCTTTTTATTTATAGTTTATCTGAGTACTAAGTAGCAAACCACTTATAACTCACTGTGTGGTTTACACGGTACATTATCTCATAGAATTTTACATTTTAAATCAGACATACATTGATTGACTAGAACCAAATCCTAAAGTTGGTAATCTCTTTAATCATAATGTTGCCAGGATGTAAAACAGTTAATACTACTAACCTCTGGATCATCATTTGGATCTACGCCGCAGTTCCACACTAGAAGTGTGACGCCACCTCCAGTACCATCCCCTCTGATTAAACCTGCTACTTGACCAACCTGTTAACCAATCAACCACTATTCGTATTAAGGAATTTCGATCCACTTACCGTGGGTTTCCGAGACCAAAATCCACGTTTAAAACATATGGTCAACCTTGTCTCATCAAACATATCTCATAATCTTTTTCAAGGTTGGGGGAAAATCACGAGTTTAATGACATCTCACTCTACAAAAGACGACTAGCTTTTGACAGTGGAATTGACTACTTACGAATCTACATAAAAACCACAAACAATATAACTTACACGTAACAAATAATTTAAAAAACTTAGTTTAAAAATCTTACCGGCATTCCTAATAAATCCTTTCCATCAGCTTGTAACAAGCAGTCACCGGCTCTCAATCCTGCTAAGTCTGCTCTCGCTCCACGAGTCACTTCACGAACCTATAAAAAAAATTGTCACTGGCAACTAAACTTTGTTTAAGATTTAAAAATGTAAAATGCACATCACTACGACAGAACGCTTCCGTGCTCACTAGCGCCACGCTTAAAGCATATTTCTCTTGTAGTAATACACAGTTCTTTACTTTTACTTTAGCTATAACTCTATTTGAAATTTATTTAGATAAAAAGTAACTCACCCAAGGGTATGGATCCCAAAGGGTCCTAGTCAATCTAAATCCGAGACCCTCGCCCTCGTCTTCTGGTAGGTTCAGCTGGAAATTATAATCACAACGAGACTTTATTAAGAGAAAATAAATGCTGCCTGATAAACTTTTAATTGCCTTTCCAATTAGAAAGCGCATTTAGAAGCTACACATATTTAAATTACGACTAGTTAAAGATAGAGTTAAATTAGCTATTATACCATAGACATAATTTTAGTAATTAAAAAGAAGTCTTTGCATAACATACAACAACAATTCTGACGCCCGCAGGTCTCTGTTCATCCCCACTGCTGCATGCCTCCGTTAAACACGCGTCCATATTCACTGCATACAAAACCATAATAAATAAATAATTATAATATCTATACTTGTTATAATATGACCTTTTTTGACAATTGCAATAAAAAATGACATCATAAAACTATAAAGTGTCATCTGTTTTAATCATAGACAATAATTATGACGTAAGAATGGGCGGGAAAGTTAACTTTTTAAATTGTAAAAGTTTTTATGCGAATAATTTATTTGTATTTCTGATATTTATTCAATTAAATGTAAACTTACCGCAATTTTATCCAATTCTGTTTTAAAAATAAACAAATTAAATGAAACACGAACACAGTTTGAAATGGAGCTTTATGTTAAACTCACTTAATCGAACTGTTGCTTTCAATATTGCAAAGTTATCGTAACTTTATAATAGTGAAGTCATTACATATCGATAAAGATTAATTAAAAAAAAAAAGCAGTAGATGTCACTTTTAGAATTAGGTTATGTTAGAATTTAGAATTTTCTAAACTTCTTTTAAATGTATAAAATAGGCATAAAAGGAAGTATTTTCAATATCTACGTCAGTATAGCCTATTATTAAATTGAATTATTTACTTATTACGATTAATTTTAAATCCAGTATCGTTTAAAAACACACGACATTTATTCCATGTTTTAATAATATCGATATTTGTTAATATTATCGATATATGTACATCACTAATGCAAACATGTTAGCCTCTATTCTCACGGTCGGTGCGACCTACAACATGTAGGTTGCGTTACAACATCGCCTTTCACAATATACGATGATCTCAAAATTTTATAGATTTTCGAGTAATTTTGATGAATTTATTTAGCATGGTCCCAAGTTCAAGGTTAAAAATGTTATTGCTACTTTTGTTAGTTATACAGGGAAAGAGAATTAAATTATTATTTGTAAATCAAATTTAAGAATTTGGTCACTCTTTATAACGACAAAAATTGTTCTTTATGTAGAGTTTAAACTGTATTTAAAGTATAATGAGTAAAATAAACCATTTTTTATTATAAAATAAATATAAGCAGCTTTATTTGTATGTATTATTATGTATAACACGACCTTTGAAGGAAAATCCATTTAAAACAATTTCATTTCAAGACCTTTTAAACAATGTCAGGATGTGAAATTTTACTTAAATCTGAATATTTTTGTATGAGAAAACTATACGATTAAATATTTTCTTTACAAACAAAAGTTTGAGGATGAGATGGAAAACAAAAATTTCATACAACTTTCTAAAAAATTTATTTGCCGAATATAATATAACGCCATCTTACACAATTCGAAGGTACTAAAGAACATCTGTTGCCAACAATACTACAAAACATGGCGCTTTTTTAGAAAAAGGTTTTCAAAGATCTTAAGTTAAAAACCTTTTAATACTTAACTCCAAGGATAATAATAGAGAAAAAAAAACACAGATCAGTACATAAATAATTTATTAAACAAATTTAGATATTCTTCTTCCGTCTATTCCTGTATGGGTCGGGCATTTTCAAATGTACCGTGTTGACGTGCAGTTTCATAGAGTTTGACTGCGTGAAGGTTTTCCCGCAGTGAGGGCAAATGTAAGGCTTCACTCCTGTGTGCACCTGACATAAAAAACCTTGCTAATATTATAAATGCGAATGTTTATATGTATGTTTGTTAGAATGTATCTTCAGAACTACTCAAAAATGAAATTTGACATAGTCCGGAAGAAGATAAACGCTAATTATTAAGTTTTTATTTAATACCGCGCTTAAACAGACAACAGCTTATCTTTAATATAGTTACATTGACCTGTACTATACTAGACAGGCTATAGGCTGTTGTATCTTGTGCTTATTTGATTATCGCCATTTTGGCGCTGACGGCAGCGGTGAAGTTCTACAGAACTAATAAGATATATGGGGTGATTTAATATTTGTATTTATAATAGATTATATTAGATTATATTAGATTTATTTTATCTTAATAATTTTAAATAAAGTCTATAAATATTAGAAAAGGAACGTGGAAAATTATATTTTAAATACATATGATGTCAAAAAAATGTGTTAAAAATTAATAAAATGTTATTTTTTATAGAAAAATGATTCTTCTCACCCGGTCGTGTCTGTTGAGAGCGGCTTTATGTTTGAATGCTTTAGGACAATGAGGACATTTGTACGGACACTCTCCTGTGTGGATACGCATGTGAATCTGAACGAAAATAGAAAATATTACTAATATTATAAATGTGATTGTTTAGATGTATGTTTATTAGAAGATGTCTCCAGAATGTCTGCACGGATCTCGATGAAATTAAACATATATATAGAACATAGTCTGGAAGAACACGTAAACTACTTATTAAGTTTTTATTTTAATTCTTCGCGGACGGACTCGCTTGTGACACTCTACACTCTACTATACAACATGACTTATTCTTTCGTTGAAATCGGTTCAAGCTATATAACTTGCAAACTCTTGCGACTAAGCTAAACAACTTTGGATATAGCTAAGTTGGGTTAAATCGTCGTATTTTCGAACAAGGACTCTGTGGCACTTTGTTGCGCACATAATTTCGGGACAAACTGTATAATATTACGAACTTATCAATCTCTATTTTTATAATATTGCTGTTTTGTCATATTAAAGACATTTACATAAACATGGAAAATAACAAGAATGGTCTGACATTGTCAGGGGGGGCGCTAGTGTGCTGCGTATACTTTCACTCGCCTGAAAAACTTAAATTAGTAGTCAGTTTATAAGCTCACCGTCAATTGCTGCTGCAAACCAAACTTCTTCGGGCACTGAGAACATTGGTAAGGTTTCTCTCCTGTGTGGATCCTTTGATGATATGTCAAGATAGCTTTAGACTGAAAACAAACAAAAATATATAAAATATGAAATAAATTCTTACTAATATTATAAATGCGAATATTTAGATGGATGGATGTTTGAAATTATCTTCAGAACCTCTGAACAGATCTTGATGAAATTTGTCATACATATAGAACATAGTCTGGAAGAACACATAAGATTACTAATTAAGTTTTTTTTAATTCCGCGCAGACCTAAGCGCGGGCGACAGCTAGTAAGGTAAAGATATGTTTGAGTCGGTATCTTTGGGTGAAAGAGCATTCAAACAGTCGGTCAATCTTTAGAAGAAACATTTTTAAATTGATGTGTTTTAACACGTCATTCCGTTGACTAGACCCTTGCCTGTATTTAAGCGTCGCGTAGGGCACTTTTGACCTCATAAAGTTATTTATATCTGCGGAACCCAACTCCTGATTGGACTCTAAACTAGAACATTCAACATTACGCATCTATTTCAAGCATAAAGTTTTTTTAGTGTTTTTTTCTATTTCTAATATGTCGTTTATCGTGTTTGTGTATGATTGAGGTGTACTCACGACACACTTCTTGCCGCAGAGCTCACAGACAGCGCACTCAGAGACGTGTTTGAGTGTGGGCTTGTTGTGGCGCAGTTTGACGCCGAGGTGAACGCGCTGGTAGTGCGTCGCCTGAGAGCGCGCTGTCGCGAACGTGCGCGGACACTGCAGAGTCACGGATGTACGTTTTTATCTGATATGTTGGTGGATTTATAGGGTTTCGACACCTATTCATGATTTTATTTAACGGGGTTTTAAGATTTTAGAGTTGCTTGACTACAATTTTAGGGGTTGGACCCAAGTTAGGGGATTTATGCACGTAATGCAATAACTTGACTTCGCTAATCAAAATTCGTTTTTAATAACACATATCAAAAAAGTTTTTTATACACAAATATACTTTAAAAAGTATAACGACAAATCGGAACATCCTGTATAAATAATACTTACATCTTGACATGGGACGATTTCCTTTTGATGTACCTTTATATGGTCATTGAAGTTTTCAATTGTATCCAAACCCAGAGCACAATATGGACACCATCTGCAAATATTTACCTAGGAATCTCAACAAAAATAACTAAAAATAAAAAATGGTCGCAACAAAATTTTAAAACGAATACAAAAATGAATAACAAACATTTTAAAGCATACTATTATTTGGATTTATTTCAAATTCCGACAAAATATCAATTACTCTTCTTCTCAGACTTAAATATGCCACTTCATATTCAAAGCAACGTAAATCTTTAAATATAATATTATTACGTCGCGTTTACACATTGCATCGTCGACACATATCGTCTATTCGGTCCTACATCTTGAGAATCGTAGCGACTATTCTCTTTAACGATCTTGACAATTAGGGTGCGAGCGACTGTTATCGGCCACTAAAGAAAAAATGTCGACACCTCCTCTACCTCTATGACATTGTATTAAGTCTTTGCGACTAAAATCTCTGGGTTTCGAAGATTGACGTTACCTTGTGTAGGAAGGTGCTTTTAAATGCTGCAACGTAAACCTAATCTTACCTTAATTCAGTATCACATGAACCATTCTTAGCAACATCTAAATGAATCTTCAACGCGTCTAAATTAAAAAACTCAGCGGAACATTTCTCACAGTGGGATACAACTTTTGTTTCTTGATCCTAAACGAAAACAGTATAATTCTAATTATTAAAACTAAACGAGCATACAACTACATAAATTCGCCAAAATAGCGAAGTGACCATTACCCATAGAAAGTTACAGATACACTGTCTTACATTAACCGACACGGGAGGGGATGCATATAAGGAGTATATTTTCTTCTGAAATATTCCTTTCTCCTTCCTGTCCCTGCTTTATAAAAAAATATTGGGCAGGGTAACTAGGCGAGACGAGTCCTCTAAAATGCTCTCATCAGACTATACGCGGAATTACTTCCATTTGAGACGTGTCCTCTGTGTGGTCGTGTCATTTCATTGGTCGAATTTTTGACTCTACTACTTTTAAATCACTTTTGATAAAGAAAGAATGGGAATTTAGTGGATTTGACAAGGTGAAATATTCTGTTTGTATATGTCCCCTCCCCTGTCTGTGAAATGTACAGTCAGGTATATTGTCGGTGTGATGAGTACCTGTTCGTCTCTATGCGCGCGTCGTTTATGCATCTTAAGTCCATGTTCCCCAATGAATGACTCCCCACAAATGTCACACGAGCTGTTTGAAGGATGTTGTAACCTCATGTGCGTCAGGTGACTTGTAGATTTACTAAAATATAGTGATTTTTAATTAAAAAGTGTTTATGGTAGAAATATTTTAGTATCACAAGAGAATATAGTCTGTCTGGTACTGTCGACCGCGTTTCCGTCCGCAAGGAATTAAAAATAGTAGTCTATAAGTCCTTCCAGACTATGTTCTACATCTATGACAAATTTCATAGAGATCCGTTGAGTTGTTCTAGAAAGCTAATAACAAACATCCATCTAAACATTCACATTTATATATATATATAGTGGTGTTAGTTACAGTATTTATAACTCAAGAACGGCTTTACCGATATGACTGAAAATTGGTGACAAGGTAGCTTAGAGCCAGGAGACGGACATAGGATACTATTTATTCTTTTTTTTTTCGAATTTATGCCTTGAAGAGCTGCTTTTTATTTAACTTATCTATATATTAAGTTTTTTTATATATCCACGCGGACGGAGCCGCGGGCGGCAGCTAGTATTAGTATAAGATTAAGTAAAAATACTTACACAAAGGAAGCTCCACATATTTTGCAGATAAATGAAAAACCTTTGTGCCAATTTGAATGTTCCTTTGCTTTGTAACTACAAACAAAATTGATTAATTTAACCATTTATCAGTTAATAAATAAATAATATGTTCTTAAATCAAAAATAGTTCTTAAAGCTACAACCATTACTTTGTGTCAAAGCCAGAAAAGAGAAAAGAAAAAAGCAACGATCTTCATATTCCACTGGAGAGGCTATAAACCGTGATATTTGGTTACTTTTTGATTTTCGCCATTTTGGCGCTAACAGCAACAATTAGTAACTATGGAAACTTGAACTTATATCGATGGAATTACCGACAATTACTTCAAGAGGTGTATTTAAATCGGAATTAGGCAAAAACTGCCATTTGAAAGCAACAACATTTTCTGCGCTTGTAGAGGTTAATGAAAAGTGTACTGGTAAAATCAAATAGGCACAAAATATCACGCTTTATAGCCTGTCCAGTGGAACAGTTGTCGATGTTCAAAACACACTAGAAACAAACCTTTCACGCGAGACATGTCCGCATATCTTGCAAATGTATTTACGCGCGTGTGAGGAGAGCACGTGCGCGCGCAACAGCCGCGCACTAGGCCGTCGCGCCCGGCACACCTCGCATACAAATTCACCGTTTTTCTTAAATAAAAATCAATTTAAAATACCCATAATAGAATCCGCAACAGTGGTGATTCTCTTTCCTTATGAAAAAAGTTTGGAAAGAGAAAAGTGAATTTGACAGAGGAGGACATGCTAATAAGGGTAATTATTTTAGTTCTCATCCCCTTCCAACTATTCTATAATGGATTAGAAGATATTGATTTAATAGGGCAGGGAAATTATTTATTTCTGATTGTCCCTTCCCCTGTCCATTCACGTTAGGTAACATGTTTACATTTACAGTATCTATAGGTGATCAATTCACTATTTTAGCGAACACAAGTGGCTGTATTTCTCACATAATTATAAAAAAATTGTCTATGTTATATTGGAAATGGATAAAACTCACGGGATCATATTTTGCCATATGATTCCTAAACGTTGATTCAGTTATAAAACCTTTGTAACATTTATCACATTTATAGAATGAATTCAAATAATTCACAGATGTTTTTCTCGATTCAACTTCCTCTATTTGTTCTTGTTTACTTAATACTACAATTTCAACATCCTGTATATCTTCATGTATATCCACTGTATCTGTCACTGTAAAATCCAAATCATCATAATCGAAAACATCCTCTTCCTTCTTAACTATTACGTTTTCAAAATTTATAACTTCATTTATCTTTTTTCTCTTCTCTTTCTTTATTTTCTTTTTACTTTCAACTTTTGTATCAAGTAAAGTTTCTTCGTCAATATTATCCTCTAATTTTATCTGTTCTTCCTTGTTATCTATGGTTAGTGTGTCAGTTTTAGTTATCTGTGAGAAATTTAAATCTTTATTAAACGTGTGTAGATAATTCACGGATATCTGAAACACAGAATCATCTCATTAAATATCAACATGTTTTTTACATACAAGTTTATTAAAAATAAAATAAAAAAATATTTATTCTATTTAGCATTGACTTGGACTTAAGTCCATATAGCCTTTGCCTACTATAAAAAAAAATCAAAGACTTTACCATTCCATGTTCCAGCACAGAGTATTTAAGAAATTCATGACTGCTCAAACATTTCTCTTTAAAGGACACACATTTCTGTAGAAGAGTACTGCAAAAGCTGCATATCTTATGTGGCAGACCATCACATTCTGATATCTGAAATATTAGATAATTTTTAATAAAAAAAAGTAAATTACTGCACTAGCTTGTAAGAGAAGGGTGTATAGTTAAAAAGAGATAAAGAATAAGGGTAATCAAATAATTGAACGAAACAGAAGTTAATTATAAACTAAACGTAGAGAAGAATATTAAATCTCTACATACATGTAGAATTAAAATAGTACAAACCTGTATTCCAGTAAGAATTTCAAATGGTTCCGCCAATTTGTTTTTAAATAAATTAAACAACTTCTTGTCTTTCGACAAACAAATGCGACATACTAATATATCTGCCATGTTAACTAAATACACTGTTTGAGCTATAACTAGGCCATGCCCGGCATTTAACAATAAATAATTTTATATATTTTGTTTACAAATATTTAAATGCACAGAGCAAGGAAATACAGAGACTTGTGTGTTGATATCTCTTGAAGTTACACTACAACAATATGGCGGACAGGTGGAGACCAGGGTTGACAGAATTTTCTGCTTTGTAACGCCTTTTAAAACACAAATCAGTTATTATGTCCTGACATCCCAATTGAGAGTTAATATAAAGCTAAACTCTCTTTAACCGCGATATTACAAATTCATTGTCGTGTCTTGTTTCTTAGTTTTTAATAATTGTAAAAAATAAATATAGTTGGAACGACTTGATTTATCGAAAAAACTATTTGCACCACTAAAATGATATTTAAGGTACATTTTAGTACGTTATTATTTTATGTATTTACCATTACAATTAACTTTAGTTTAAAGATTTAATCTTGATTTCTTGGAAATTTCCTAAAATAAAAGTAAAACGATTGTACAGATTAATAGAAAATTAAAATTATCTGTGGCAATACTGACATTGACAAAGCGGGACGCCATATTGTTTTCAAACCATCACAAGTTGATATTTTTAGCTGTGTTTATATTTTGCTCGTTCTGACTTAAATTATAAAAGATGGAAGTAGATATAACAAATAACGAAGATTTAAAACCAGAAATCGAAATGCTGAATACGATTTGTCGATGTTGTTTATCTAAAAACAGAAATGGGAATAATATAATTTCGTATAGTGGATTATTTTTTGATTTAGCTGAAATTACAGTGAGTGAAATTTTCTATGTATTAATAAACAACTATATTATAATTGTTATTTTTTTACCATAAGAATCCTGTCACATACAATAATATAAACACAAAATCAAAACTTTTCTTATGTCAAAAAATTATATACTGTTAGTGTATTTGAAAATAATACCATGCAGATCTTACTAATATTATAAATGGGAATGTTTGGATGGATGCATATTGTTTGAAGGTATCTCCAGAACAGCTGCATAGATATTAGTCTGGAAAAACACAAAGCCTAATAATGAAGTTTTTTTTTACTACTGCGCGAAAAGAGTCGCGGGCGATAGCTCGTATTGCATGATGTAAAGATACTTTTGTATCAAATGATAATCATAATCGTATGGATACAAAGGTACAGAAATACTTTAGATATGTCAAAAAGGACAGTAAATTCATTAAAGATGTAAAAAAATATTACATGTTCTATTTACAGGTAACAGAATCTGATGGGTTACCGCAATGGATCTGCTGGGAATGTATAGCGTTGCTACAAAAATCCGTACGGTTTAAACATAAGCTACAGAGATCCAACATATTATTGTACGAATACATAACAAGATGTGCACCGGTATGTATACATAGCAGAGACAAAAATACTTTTAAAAATGACGTCAGTTAAAATATTACTTATCTTTATATATAATTCTTCTGTGAGTGTGTATGTCACTGAACTTCTCTCAAACGACTGGAGCGATTTTGATGAAATTTTTTGTGTGTGTTCAAGGGGATCTGTGAATGGTTTAGATTCACAATTTTCATCAAATATTAACTTCATATTAATATATTCAAATTAAAGATGTGTAGACAGGACAACGTCTGTCGGGTCCGCTAGTATAGTACAAAGCAATAGATCTTGCCTGAACCGTAGTCCAGTATGATACAATTGTGGTTATTAATGCTTTCTTATTATGATAAAATATTAGCAGTCACTTCAATGTTATAATCAATTTTAATTTAATTCATATTCCTTCTGTTTAGAGTTAAGAGCGCTACGAGCAGATGATTAATTGTAGGCAATGTTATTTCTTTTTAATAAAAACTGAAACAGTTCTTGAGTTATCTATATAGTATTTTAGACAGGCACCTTATTTTTTTAGATATATCTACATATCTTTATATATATAATTCTTCTGTGAGTGTGTATGTCACTGAACTTCTCTCAAACGACTGGACCGATTTTGATGAATTTTTTTGTGTGTGTTCAAGGGGATCTGGGAATGGTTTAGATTAACAATTTTGTCCGCTGGACAATGGTTTTTTAATTAATTTTTAATTTATTAGTAGTTGTTGATTTAGGAATGTTTTACATTGGATTCGACAGACGGCGCTACCATCGCAGTGTCAAATTGTCAGACAACGTCTGTCGGGTCCGCTAGTATTTTACATTTATTGACGTACCAAAGGGGTGACGGATGCCTTCAGTTTGACAAGCATGTATGTACTCTGTTTCATTGGAAATTTTATACCCTTGTAATAATCTACTCCGTACCTTTCCAGTTCCCCATAGATGGTCAGGATCCGGAACTAACGAAATACGAGAGTCCACAACTTTGTTCCACAACAACGCTAATATTTGATAATGACGGCAGAAGTAAGAATGGATTTCATAAAGTATTACAGGTCAGTTATTAACTCAATTCTAACACCAAAAGATGTAGGCAGAGCCATAGACTTTCATTTGGCACTGTTTAGTCACCTTTCTCGCATCATCTAAATTACTAATATTATAAATGTGAATGTTTCGATGGATGGATCTTTGTTTGAAGATATCTTCAGAATGGCTCTACAGATTCCGATGAAATTTACATATAGAACATAGTCTGAAAGAACACATAGGCTACACTAATTAAGTTTTTTTTATATATCCATGCGGACGGAGACAGCTAGTAATAAGATAAAACAAGAAATATTTCCTTATTAATTAAGAATTATTTTGTTTTACATTGTTTTGTTGCGAAGTATTAAATATCGTTTTTTTTTTATTTGCAGCATGAAAATCAAATAAATACAGTGAAGGAAACAATCAGTGTGGTTGTTGAAAAAATTGAAGATAATATTAAAGAGGAAACTCATTTTTCTGATTTTGAAGATAATTTGACATTAGAAGAATACAGGTAATATAATGATATATATTTTCTTTATATATTATAGATAAGGAAGAATCCAAAGTGTGATATTTTTCTCGCTTATGGAGTCTTTGGGACTGGACAATGTCTCTCGCTTAGGTTTCTCTCTTATCCAGATTCAACTATGTTTTCTAACAATACTAATTTTGCATTTAATTTATAAAAGAAAATAGTTTGCACATGACAATAAGGAAATAATCAAATTAGTGTTTTTTTTTATATCATAATGTGGCAAACGAGCGAGCGGTCACCTGAAATCGCTGATATAGGGAAGTGACCGTTGCCCATAGACATACGCAATTGCATATGCGTTGCCTACCTTTATTCGACGGAGCAGAGGATGCACAGAAAAAAATATATTCCCTTTCCATGCATCCTCTCATCCAGAAAGTCCACTTCCACTTCCCATGCTTTCTTTATAAGAAAAAGGCCTCCGGGACGCACAAAAGTGTTTAACAAATTATTTGAAATTTTACAGTCTTATTTGACAAAAGTCGATCTTTTAAGTGTTAGCCAATATACCTTACTAATATTATAATATAAATGTGAATGTTTAGACATAGACGTAGAACATAGTCTGGAAGAACACATAGGTTAATAATTATGTTTTTTATTAATTCCATGTGAACGGAGTGGCGGGCGAAAGCTAGTCTTTAATTAAAAAAAAGCCAACATCTTCCATTTATAATGGTAGAGTTTTTATATTTGTTATTTATATGTTACAGATCAAATGTAACGAAACTAAAAGATGATGAAAACGATATATTACAAGATGAAGAGATAAATTCATCATCAGTCAGGAAAAGAAAAAGAACAAAAACTAACGAGGAAAAAGTGAGAAAGAAAAAGAAAGTGTTGGTAGATTCTTAATAATTTCTATTATAGATAAATCCAAACTGCAAAAAATAAAAAAACACATAGGTGTTTGAAGAAAACATTTCCAAATTTTTTCATTGTAATTTTTGTAAAATCCTTTTTTTTTTCATTTAACAAAGTAAAACATACCTGCTACTAATACTAATAATATAAAGAGGAAAGATTTGTTTGTGTTCACTCCGAACCTGAACCTATTTGAAACAATCTTTAACTGTTGGAAAGGTACACTATCTCCGGATGACAGACAATATCATCATCACCTCATTATACATCCACACTGGAGGTCTCAGAGTGTACCCTAAGTGAGAGTATATGATAGTGAATGCTGTTCCAGTGCAAGACTTGACACATATGTTTGAGTTTGTCAGATATGTGCAGCATCACGATGTTTTCAACTATATGTAGACTATTATTACTATTTTTTTTTAAATATTAGCAGATTTTTTTTGTAAATTTGCTAATATTTCTTTTACCATACCGACTAAGCTCTAGGCTTGTGCTAGGATATGTTTTACGACAATAGTCGAATGGCGGGATTCGAATTCCCGACTGTAGTGGTCGGAAATCCGTACCCTTTAACCATTAGGCTATTGACGCTTTTATCTATCTATTATATTACATTAAAACTTTAGAAAAATAAACTGTTTTCCACAGCACAGAAGTAAATGAAATATTAGAAAGTATTGAAGAAAAAAAATCACGTAAGACATCAATAAGGAAACCTCCGGAACTAGATCCTAATAAAATACGAGTTATCATTTTAAATCCTGAAGAACAAATTAAAATGAAAGAGGTGACTTTTATCACATTTTTCTAAAAAAAAATATACAAGTGCGTCAGTTTTTTTAATTGAACCTTACGGTAAAATAAAAAAAATGATTGTTTTCAGAAAAAATATAGTTATAATAAAAAAATTACTTTAATGCTTATATTTAAATTCTTTATCTACTCTAAAGTCTAGTACTTATACCTTTACAAGAAACATGTTGATTTTTTTTTTAAATTGGTCGCTAATTTCTTGTTAATATTTCGACAATATATTCATGTTTGTTTTCAGGAAGAAAGTAAAGCTTCAGACAAATTTCCGTTTCAATGCAAACTTTGTTTCAAAGGTTTCAATTTTGAGAGCAAATTGCAGAACCACATGTTCAAACATAGCCCTGTAAGTTATTTTAACTTCACACACTTAAAAAAATATACACGTCGACACAAATATAAATATTTCTCCTTTACTAATTCTCAACATATCCATCTATTCTCAACATATCCATCTATTCTCAACATGTTCCATCATCACTTCTCAACATGTTCCATCTTCAATTCTCAACATGTTCCATCTTCAATTCTCAACATGTTCCATCTTCAATTCTCAACATGTTCCATCTTCAATTCTCAACATGTTCCATCTTCAATTCTCAACATGTTCCAGTCTCGGGGTACATTCGAGTGTTCCCTATGCCACATGTACCTGCCGAGCGCGTACAGTGCGAGCGTGCACGCGCTGATACACACGCGTAGGTACGAATGCTTGGAATGTGGAAGGAGGATGATTGATAGGGCATCTATATTGGAACATTACAGGTATGTAAGACTTTTGTTAGACATTGTGATATGACTAATTGTGAGTTTCTGAAACTGAAATATTTTTATGAAACATATCGTCATCGCTGTCATTTACTTAGATAAAATAGAGATGACAATATGTTGTAAGTGGGGATTTAGGTCTCGGAAACTCTCTGTTATAGTATTTTCTATTTTCATCGATATTGTAATTTATGTGTAAAAAATTAAAAAGGTTATAAACTTCTGAAATAAAAACAATCTATACGTTTTAATAAAATTGAAGTGTATGTAATATTGAGAAAAAATGATGTTTTTGCTATAGGTGATAAATAAAAAAAATTTAAGTTTTTGTCTGTCTGTATTTATGTCCGTATGTTTGTGTATGTTCCGGGTAATTTTCGGAACATGTAGACAGATTTTAATGGGACTTTAACTGGAAGGTAGCTGATGTGTGCAGGCATGTTATAGGTTATTTACTTTACTCTGACGAAGTATATTTGTCATTTTAGCGCACAACATGAAGGCATTGTGACACAATATACGTGTAACCAATGCGGCAAGGTGAGCAAGTAAGTTGTTTTGTTTCTTCTACTATCAGGGAATTTGCTGGTATACCATCTAATAGTGACAGTCGCTTGAAATACCAATAGAACGTAGATTTTAAATCTTATATATAAGATTTTCGTGTCACAATTTTCGTTCCAATACTCCTCCGAAACGGCTTGACCGATTCTCATGAAATTTTTGTAAGCATATTGAGTAGGTCTGAGAATCGGCCAACATCTATTTTTCATCTCGCGCGGACGGAGTCGCGGGCGACAGCTAGTGTGTATGTATAAAAATGTTGGTTAATTGTACACAAGTTGCTTATTATGAAATTTGCGCTTCCCAATTGTTTGTTTTGTTAGATTGGGGGTGGAGTGCGTCTTGTTGCAAGTAACGAGGCAATTTATTTCGTAAGTGGAAAACCGCGAATTGACCTGACTGTACATATGTAGATTACGATTTGACCTGTAACTTAAAGTAGTAAATCGATTTTGACGAGTGAGTTGTCATTCGAGTCGTCTTCCAGAGAGTGTCATAGAAAGTTGGGGTTTTTATTTTTTAAATTATCTCGCTTATAGAGAACTAGCTGTCGACCGCGACTCAGTCCGCGCGGAATTAATTAACTATATGCCTATCTGTTCTTCCAGACTATGTTCTACATCTATGTCAAATTTCATCGCATTTATAATATTAGTAAGATTTTCTCCAACCCCCCGGTTCTCGTTTATCCCGTTTCGACTGTATGTTTTTAATATATTAATATTTGTCAGCAATAAGAAGACACATCGTAGTCATGTTCGTAATCACCACGAGTCTGACAGACCGCGCTGTGACCAGTGCGGCAAGAGCTTCGTCAACAAGGACTCGCTCGTCGAGCACATGCAGTGAGTACCTCACACCACCTCACACGACCTCACACTACCTCACACCATCTCACACAAACAAACATACCAAAAACCATCATACCGTCTTACGAGCCCAAGTAATGAGACCTCATACGACCTCATGTCTAAATAAATACACCTTATACCGGTGTAGACCGCGGGTTCTCGCATGATACCACTTTATTATTAACACCTCTTATGACCTCACACGACCTCACATTAACAAAGATTTTATCTTGCAAGTTCCCCGTAACGTACACTATTTCAGACCTCTTTAACTTCCACACTTTATTACCAATATACCTCATACTGCCTCACATGACCTCACCGCAACACCATCTTACATCTTTATAGCCTGCTTCAAAGTAACTCATAACTTGCCTATAGTCAAAGCACCTCACACGACCTCACATTGTCTTGAACAACCTCACACCACACACAGAAGTGTAGATGCAGACAATAAGACACACATTGCAGGATACACGAGGGCGTGAAGAACTACGTGTGCGCGGAGTGCGGCGCTCGCTTCAGGACGAGGACACAGATGAGGGATCACAAGAGGAAACATTCTGATGAGAGGGAATATTACTGTGTCGAATGTGACACCAGGTCAGTGCCACATTTTGTGTCTTTTATGTTTTATGTGTTCTAATATTTTGTTACCTATTTCTTTTCTCTCTTTCGTCTTTCTTTCTTTGTCTATCTCTTTTCTTTCTTTGTATTATCTTTCTTTCTGTTCCTTTTCTTTCTTTTTTCCGATTTTTATCCGATGTCGTTATACCTGATATACAGTTTACAAACATATAAAAAGTGTTAAATCTTATATGTTTATATATTTACAGATTCAAATCTCCAAACAGTTTGAAACAGCATTTGCTGAAAAGTCGAAAACATGTCGACTCACATAGTCTAAAGTAAGTTAACATAAAAAAAACCGGTTATAACGACCGCTGTTAGTATTCATATTTCACTCTTATATGAACAAGGATTAAAATAATTGTACAGTCAGCTATATAAATATCTAAATACTAATTGTCGCCCGCGTTCAGTCACGCGGGAATTAAAAAAACTCAATTAGTCTATGTGTTCTTCCAGAATATGTTTTACTGAGAGACATCCATTGGGGGGAGTAGCCGTTGGGGAGATACATGTAAACATTCGTATTTATAATATTAGTAAGATTTACATAAGCTCGTCACGCTCGTCACGTGCGACAACTAGTGAGTACAGATATGAGATGACACAGATACGCGTGCATGTGCTGTGAGAAGCGTTTCCCGAGCGAGCGCGCGCTTCGTCACCACATCGGTGTCCAGCACGAGGGTGTGCGCGCGCATCGCTGCACTCAGTGTCCCGCAGCACTCGCCACGCGCAACTCTCTCAACAAGCACGTGCGCGCCGTGCACGCTGGAGCACGACCACCTGCCAGGCATGTCTGCGATACATGCGGCCGCGCCTTCAGGGTGAGTGTACACAACAGATACGTGTGTCTGTATACATCAGAGACACGTGTCTGTACATCACAGAGACACTAATCTCATAATCACATAGTCAACACTCGTGTTTATACACCACCGAGACTTGTGCAAGTACACTGTCGAGACACCTGTCTATACACAACATAGACACGTGTCTACATCGTCATGACTCGGGTCTGTATACCATAGAGACTTGTATGTATACTTATCAAGGCACGTGCTTGAACACCACCGAGACACATGCTTGTATATTATGGAGACACATTTCATAAATTAATAATAAAAAGGAATGCATATTTTTTTATAAAATTGCTAGAATGTTTTATAAAACTCTGAGACATTACAAACTCTTGGTGCTAGCGCCACTTAGAGCTTTCAGTTTTTCTACATTCGTATTCTTCCACAGATTCAAAGAGATAGCGATGTCTTCGATAAGTTAGTTTATTTTTTAATTAACTAATTAAATATCTTGTAAAGGGTAAAAGTGTACTAATGAATCACGTGCGCACTCACACCGGAGAGAAACCATTCTCGTGTACTGAGTGCGGGCGTCGCTTCACACAGCGCACCGCCATGCGCACACACACGCGTCTCGTGCATCTCAAAGTGCGCCGCAACGCCAAGGTGAGTGTACATGACACGTGTCCTAGTGAGACATGTGTCTTAGTGAGACATGTCTACATGTGACACGTGTATACATGTGACACGTGTCTACATGAGACACGTGTCTACGTATACACTTTACTAGCTGTCGCCAGCGATGTGTTCTTCCAGACTATGTTCTACATCTATAACTTTCAGTGTGATACATGCAGCTATTCTAGAGATATCTTCTTACAAACTTACATTTAAACATTTGCATTTTTTATATTAATAAGAGTTTACTAGTTGTCGCCCGCGACTCCGTCTGTGCATAATTAAAAAAAGCTTCATAATGTATATGTATGTCCGAATTTAATCAAAATCCATTTAAACCGTTCTGTAAATATCTTGTAACAAACATACATCCATACATTTATAATATTAGTAAGATTTGGAACAGCGCATATTATATTTGAATTCTATTGTGACGTAGTTTAAAACTGTTTTTATTTATATAGTCTTAAATTTTCAAAGCGTCAATAGCCTAATGGTTAAGGGTACGGATTTCTGATCACGAGGTCGGGGGTTCGAATCCTGACATTCGACTATTGTCGTAAACCATATCCTAGCACAAGCCTAGAGCTTAGTTGGAATGGTAAAAGAAATATTAGTAAATTTACAACAAAAATCTGCTAATATTTTTTGTAAAAAAAAATTGTCTAATTTATGACAGATAAAACCGGAACCGGATCAATCGGAGGAGATACAACTTAAGATAGTGGAAACGTACCCTAAGAAAGAGAATCAACAAATAAAATTAGTGGAAACGATAGCTAAGCGAGAGAACAACTTGGTGTTTGAGGATTGGCAGGGACCTGTCAACTCTGAGGTCTACTTCCACGTCACTGCTGGACCCTGACCTCGGACAGAAGAATAAAGATGATAACAGAACATTAGTCTGACAAAAAGGCCAATTTTAGACCGCTTCTCCTTTTGTAATAAAGGATGGGTAAGGAATGTGCTTATGACAGGGGAGGAGATGTAAAAGAAATGGACATTTTTCATCACACAGTTTTACCAAAATATATTTCATGTAATTTTTTCGTGTTTTTTTTTAAATTTCAATGTCCATTGTCTTGAAAACTGATGATTTTTTTTTATCTGTATAAATAAAAAAAAATTGTGTGAATTTAGTTCGTTTCATTGAATAACAAGACAATGTTAAATCACAATTATGTGTAGGCTTTATTTGCTAGCTGTTGCCCGCGACTCCGTCCGCGCGAAGTTAAAAAAAAAACATAATAAGTAGCCTATGTTTTCTTCCAGACTATGTTCTATATGTATGACAAATTTCATTAACATCCATGCAGCAGTTCTGGAGACATCTTCTAACAAACATACATATAAACATTCGTATTTATAATATTAGTAAAATAGAGCGTCGGTGGCTTAGGGTTTAAGTATTTAATTTGTGATCTGCATGTCCTGTGTTCGAATCACGCCATGTACCAATGTGTTGTTACGTTGAAGGAAAACATCGTGATGCTGCACATATCTGACAAACACAAACATATGTGTCAAGTCTTGCACTGCACCAGCATTCACTATCACATACTCTCACTTAGGGTAGACTCTGAGACTCGAGAGTGGGGTTTGTATAGTGAGCTGATGATATACATTTTAAATATGCGTATTTAAATAAAACAAATATTCCAAATAACCGTTTATTTGCACAATTTAATAAAGATATTATATTTACAACAAAATATTAATATATTTATATGTATTTTATCAATTTTTGATGGTTTTAACAGACTATTGCAATTTACAAAACATTCTCTGTCAAAGTCAATTTTATTGCCACCGTAAAATAGAGAACAGAACAGACACAAACTTTAAAAAAATATTAATTTCACGTTAATAAATCAACTAGTTACTATAATTCTTTTACTTCTCAAAACCAGGGATTTGTTGACGAAAATATTTGCATATCTCTTCGTAAATCATCGAAAAGTGGCGAGATCAGTCGCTAAGCGATTCAACATCTGTAGCGTCTTCGACATTTCTGACGTCGCCAAAACTCGCCTATTTGTCAAGATCGTTATTAGAAAGTTGCTACGATTTTCAAGATGGCGGAGCTAAAGGAACGTACCCATACTACGTGACCTGTTTAGAGGGGGGCCGGAGTCCTTAAAACACTACGGTCAGTCACAGGAGCGGGGGTCTCAGATTTTAGTCACGTAGTCGTTACTTGTTGTTTTATAATACATAATTCACTAGTAATTTAAGTATGCATACTAGAAAGAAGAGTATGAGTCAATTTTTTTTTTAAATCAAGTCTTGGCATGTACTACGAGAGGTCACCGAGGGGTGGTAGGGTTAAAAAAATAGCTCACGTAGTATGGGTATGTTCCCTAAATACAGTTGACATATCGCTGTCCGTGACAGAATAGACTCGCGTTGATTCAACATTTTGTGTCGCGACGCGGCCATACAATATTAATTTCGACGTTTTACTTTTCCTTGTGTATTAAAAAGCTAACAATGTACAGTTTCAAGTTTCGTTTCGTGTCTATCCACTCTTTGTTTTTTTTTTATCCCGTTTTTCTGTATAAAAGTTTTTAGGTTAGAAAAACTTTTTGTATTCCAAAGTACAATAACTTTAATATATTTTATATTAAAGCTCTACAATAACAAACACCCTATATATAATCACAATTTTATTAAAAAAATACTAAAGAATTTGAAGCTGAAATACTTTTTAATTCTATAAAGTGACAATCTACAGAGTGTACTAATAAAGCAAATACATTAAGAGAATTTTTTTTTCAAAGAGAATTTTATTTACGCGTCAGTATTTTATTATTTACAAAATCTATATTAAAAATTTATAAAATTCTAATGTCTACAAATTTCAATTTTTTAAAATGTAATATTTTAATTACGAATCAAAGAAACAAAGTATTAATTAAACGCAATACCAACATTCCAGGAAAATACAACATTTATAACTAATTTGACAAAAAAAAAACCTAATATTAACAACTCATATTAAAATTAAAAATAATATGATATATTTTTAAGCAAATATTGTCAAAAATGTTACTTAAAATATACAAAGATATGACAATCGAATAAGTTTTAGCTAATTTTAGAGTAAGATTAGTTAAATCGAAAAAATCTACCAAACACTAACCGTGGGTTTCTTAGACCAAAATCCGATCTCAAAAAATATGATCTCAGAAACCAACGGTAAGACATACATTGCCATCAAGTTGTACAAAAACATATTTAACTGTATTTCTTCAAAGTAAATTACAGTAAAAACATGTTTCCTTACAAGTTGTTACACAATGTAAAGAGTCATATCCCAACATGAATAAATCCAGCAAAGATGAAATTACTACAAAGAGGAAGAACAAAGCAAATATTTTATGAAAAAGATATTCTAGTGAAGGGAGACGATAAGCATCTGCAATTGCCAATGCGTTGCCCACCTTTAATCTACATAGAGGAACGCATAGAAAGGGAATATTTCCCCTTACTATGTATCTCCTCCATCAAATCCACTTCCTCTTCCCATTTTCTTATAAAGGAAGATAAGACTCTAATGAGGCCTCCGGTTTATTACTAAAAAGTGTATATACATTTATTTCAAAACATCTAAATATATGAAAACATTTATCTATACTACTATTATATATTTTCTAAAATAACTAACACTTAAAAATATGTCTAATTAGTACAAATCCCAGCTTTATAATGTACATAAAAAAATTATTCCGACCGTCTCTCAACAATTGACAAAATTTACTTTAAATCATCATTATGGCAAAAGTTCAACTGATATAAGACAAAAGTTGCAAAAGAATTACGTTCACAATATAACTAGTAAGATTACAAACTGATTGGTAACAATTTAAACAAAAAAAAAAACAAGACAAATCACAAGTTCATACCAACTTGAAAATACTACTAATTCCTGATTCAAACATTAATTGATCACTAAGGGGCCACTTAACATCTGTGTGACAAATTAATTTATACACATTATATAATCTATGTTATAGTGTAAAAATTCTGAGATTATTTCTATCTACAAGCATTAATAAGAAAAATCTCTCATACATAATATAGTTGAACATTGATAAGCAAGAGTCCAAGGGATCACCATATTATTGCTAAACAGGGTTTCTCGATTATGGAGGTTGTCCCTCATAAAAATTTCTCGCTTATCCGTGTCCAACAGTAATCCTAAATTTCGTTACAAACAAAGCTTATTGCACTGTTAAAAATTATTTCTTTAACAGTGGGTTTCTGAGACAAATCTCTGTATAAAACATTGTTTAAAACTTGTATATTGGCCTCGGAAACCCACAGTTCCACAGATCCCGCTTATTTCATATCTTAAATATTAGTAAATTATTTGATATTTACTAACCTTGTTACTATTCCGAACCTCTAGAAATGTTACTTTGGGCTGTGGGAGGTCACTATGCACTGACTAAGGTCTAGCTCACACACAACACATATGTAAGAACAAAAATACCACAATTCCCAATTTTTAAAGACACAACATTTCATTCAGATTCACTTTCAGTATCATCAGATTCAGATTCGGAACTACTAACAGGTTCACATTTTATAAATTCAAATTCCTTGTGAACTTTCCTCGGTCTACCCCTTCTCTTCGGTGGGTTACCAGCTTTACGTTCATCACCCATCACAGTCTTCACCATCTGTGAGATCCGTTTCAAATGTTGCTGTTCATGTCTCTGTAAATGGTTATTCAAATATCTTTTAATCTTGAATCTCTTGTTACATTGAGGACATTCGTGTTCATATTTAGTTTCATCAACATCTAAATGCACAGAATTGTTGTGCCGCTTCAAATAATGCGCGTGCGCAAACTCTTTATCACATTTCTCGCAACGCAACTTAGGTTTATCTGGATGTACTATCTTCTTATGTTTCTTTAAACGTACAGCTGAATGGAAATATTTATCACACTGGTCGCATTTCACTTTATTTTCTAGTGATGTATGAACTTGCATATGTTCCTTCAAATATTGATCATTCTTAAACTCTTTAAGACATTCGGGACATTGGACTTTAGATTCTAAGGGGGGATGTATATTTAAAATATGTCTCTTCATATGATGACGAGATTTGAATGTCATCGGACAGAACACACATTGGTGTCTTTCAACTTGCGAATGTTGGAAGTGTAGATGTCTGTTTAAGTTCAAATGTGTTTTGTAAAGTTTCTGACAAAGAGGACACTGATATTTATCTTTATCTTCGATGTGACATGAATCCATGTGATGACGTAGTTTGTACGGTACACTGAACTGTTTACCACATACAGGACACTTTATTTCTGGTAATGTGGCGGGGTGGGCACGTTTAACATGCATATGTAAAGCCCTCCTTGTGCGAAACTCTTGGAAACAGAACTGACAGTAACATTTTTCCGATTCAGAGTAATGTTTGTTCATTCTATGCATGTATAAGTAGTGTTTATTTTTAAATGTTTTGACGCAAATGTCACAGATCACCGCAGAATCTTCGGAAGAATGTACTCTTGTAGTATGAAGGTATAGATTTTGGTAGTTTTTAAATTCTTTGTTACATCTCTGGCAGATGTACTGTTTGGTACGTTTGGGAAACATCACTGGTTTCCATGTTGAAAGAACTGATTCGTACATCTCTCGTTGTTCCTCTGTCAGTATAGAACTTGTTACGCTGATGAATTTGAGAGGTCCAGAGGGCGCTGGGGAGACTGCCGCAGTTTCCTCGCCCTCCTCATTCCTTTCAGTTTCTGATTTTATTGATGTTTCCATTTTTATCTGGAAAACATATTTAATACATTATTTTTAATACAATATATGTATTTAGTGCTTTTTGAAGTCATATAAATCGAGTAATTTTTTAGATTATACGAAGAAATGAACCTACAATTCTTACTGTTCTTTACAAAAATAGATTATAAAATGTTTTCAGGTTACTTACATATTTTCACAAACTCTTTACACTAAAAATATAAACCAGCAATACGTCATAAAGTTTATCATGTATGATCACAAAAGAATTATCAACTTTGACATGAAAATATACCCATTTTCCTATACTTTAACAATTTTATTACGTCAAATTGATACTCAGACATTGTTACACACAAATAAACTGCACGGTAAGGAGATAAAGTATTTGAAATGATTTAATTTCTACTAATAAAAAAACTAATCGATTTTTACAAAATAAAATATTCTATTGGCGAGTTTTTTTTGTTGACAGATGACATTTATGCATTATGTTAAGTGTGCACAGATTAAAGTTACTAACGAATGTAGATTATATAAAATATTTTTTTTAATTAAACACAAAAAAATTACTACTATTAAAATTAAATATTTTTTTTATATTGATCAGTTTTTAATTAATTTAAAGACAATAATTAATTTTAGGATACCACGTTTAGTTTTCTCCCCTTCAGATAATATAGAATATTATCTTAAGTAAAATAAGTAATTTCTAAAACCTAAAAATATCAAAATTAATACAATTAACTCGTAATTACAATGAAATATTATTAGGACACGCGTTATTTATAATTAGAAATCAAACAACTCGCATCCCACGTGCCATCTTCTATTATAATAGTGCAACTAGTTATCTTTTCTGGCGAACAGATAGTTTATTTAAAACTTAAAATAATGCGTGAAATAGTTCATCTCCAGGCTGGTCAATGCGGTAATCAGATAGGATCGAAGGTGCGCTTTTTTTTACGTTTCATTTGTATAAAGACGCAAATAGAAATGGATATCTATTTATATTTGTGTTACGCTCTACTTACTAGTGCGTCGCAGGATCATGGTTGAGCGACTGAGAAAATTGTAAACTATATACGAAGGTGTTTGTCTGGATAAAATATAAAACGTTATTATGCACAAATAACGTTTTTAAATGATTTAAACCTCATACTACGTTAATTACAAAATAATGAAGAGTTAATTTGAAGGGGATTTATTTAAATTTTATTTTATTCATCTTCACAAATTATACATCATTTTATTAGTGGCCAATACTTTATCTTTTTTTTTATTCGCACATCCTGACCTACTTTTTACATTAGGACAAAACGAACGGAAAAAATAACGCATTCATTTAAAAAAAAATCCGAATTAGAAAATATTTTTCGAGATAAGCATTGAATAAAGGTGATTAAGTGCGAAATTTATTTTGTCGCAATTTATCGGGAAAAGGTAAAGCGTTAATTTCTTATTGTATCTAGTCGCATAGCATATCTCTCGCTCTATTATAAACAGACTATTTATCCAAACTTAGTTCTGGGAGATAATATCAGACGAGCATGGGATCGATCAAACTGGCCACTACAAAGGTGACAGCGATCTGCAACTGGAAAGAATTCAAGTTTATTACAACCAAGCGGCAGATGGTGAGTTAAACTTTCCTTTATTATCCAACTGAAATCCACTATTGAGTGTTGATTGTAAGATAGACTGATAAGTATCATACTGGCTTTATCAAATGGTCTTTAAGATAAAAAAGAAAATACCTTAAATTGAAGCGTCAATTAGCATCATAAAGCCGTTCTTAGCTATACAACAGAACACTAACGGCACTTATTGTGAAGCGTCCAGGAAGCGTCTAATATTAACGGAGTTATCCGGTTGGTTCATCATTTCCAGGTAACCGTTATGTCCCACGTGCTGTCCTGGTTGATCTGGAACCGGGGACAATGGATGCCATCCGCTCTTCTAGCTACGGCCAGCTGTTCCGACCCGATAACTACGTGTTCGGACAGAGTGGAGCTGGTGAGATGAACCCGGACCTATGAATTACAATGCATAACTACTGAGCTACGGATGCTCTTTTATTCAAGAGAAATTCTCTGTGTTATAGGTAACAACTGGGCTAAGGGCCACTACACAGAAGGTGCGGAGTTGGTGGAGGCCGTCATGGACGTCGTGAGAAAAGAGGCTGAACCCTGCGACTGTTTGCAAGGTTATATTTAGAACTCAAATCTTACACCTTATCTCATCCTAGCATAATAGTAACGCAAAAACATCAAATATTATTTTATATATGGTCTAACTGACCATAAGTCGAACGTAGTGGACCTAAAATATCATGTTTTATAAAAATAGGAGTCAACAAATGATGGCATTAACAGATTTACTTTAGTTACTAAGAATTGATTCATTCTATCGTGAGCCACCGTAGCGTACGGACGTGTCTGTAGGTTTCCAGCTGACGCACTCTCTGGGCGGCGGCACGGGCTCCGGGCTGGGAACTCTGCTGCTCGGCAAATTGCGTGAGGAGTACCCTGACCGCATCGTCAATACATTCAGTGTTATGCCCTCACCTAAGGTAAGGGTACACAGCAATAGAAAAAATACCTAAGAAAAATAGCTAACGGTCAAACTGACTGTAAACATTCAAGAGAAGAATATGTATAGAGTGATACCTTACTAGTCAAAATCGGTTCAGTAGTTTGGGTTACAAGAGACGTCAGTATGGCTGTATCTTCAAACGTCTTAATTTATCTTTTACCGTTAAAAAATGTTCTTTTGTCGTCCTTCTAAGCAGTTTAAACGTGTTTTGTGTCAGGTATCAGACACAGTGGTAGAGCCGTACAACGCGACGTTGTCGGTGCATCAACTGGTGGAGAACACGGACGAGACTTTCTGCATCGACAACGAAGCGCTCTACGACATTTGCTTCCGTACACTTCGCCTCGCCAGCCCTACATATGGAGACCTCAACCATCTCGTCTCTGTGAGATACTAAAAAACTATTCATTACTTAATAACTATCTAAAAACACTGAGTTTTAGTAGTTTAATCTGACATACTAGCTATCGCCCGCGATTCCGTCCGCGCGTTATTTAAAAAAAACTTAAATAGTAGCCTGTGTGTTCTGCGTCTATGCCAAATTTCAGCGAAATCCATTTAACCGTTCTTAAGATATCTTCAAAGAAACATCCATTGAAACATTCGCATTTATAATATATTAGTATGATAGATTCGTTTAACCGTTTCATTAAAACCAAATTTTTTGATTTCCTTTGTCGTCAGCTAACCATGTCAGGAGTGACAACATGTCTGCGGTTCCCCGGCCAACTGAATGCAGATCTTCGCAAGCTGGCTGTCAACATGGTGCCATTCCCTAGACTGCATTTCTTTATGCCAGGTTTGGTGTTGAATTCAAACTCTTGACCTCGTTATTGCATATCCTTGACCTTTATTAACTGGAAATCAACTTTGTGTCCTATATAATATAGGTTTCGCGCCCCTCACGGCTCGCAATAGTCAAGGTTACAGAGCTCTAACAGTGCCAGAGTTGACTCAACAGGTATTTATAAATTGTTTAATAATTTTGTAACACTGCTCTTTATGACAAAGGACTCAATTTATTATATATATAGACTTTGAGAGAAACGCTAGCGTGTGTTATACTGTAGTGTAACGCCATCTATTATCACAGACAAGACATATTCTAATAGTACTTACGTGCATAGTAGCCTACATGATAATTCTAGACTGTGTTCGATGCATGTAGCACTCCTGGAGATACCTTCTCAACAAATATCCATCTATCCATCCAAACATTCGCATTTATAATATCACTTAGATGTTAACTTTTCAAGGTCAATTACGAATTTAAGAATTTATGATCTCTTAACTATATCCGGCCTTTGATACCGTTTTGAGAATATCATGAAATACTCCATAGGTTCATATTATATGTTTAACAGATGTTCAGTCCAGTGAACATGATGGCGGCGTGTGACCCGCGACACGGACGCTACCTCACAGTGGCGGCCATCTTCCGCGGCCACATGTCTATGAAGGAGGTCGACGAACAGATGCTTACAGTACAAGACAAGAACTCCAGGTGAAGACATTTTGCATAGTGTATAATATCAAGGGTCCTTTTTAGTGCTATTAGGTCTCGCAGACCTGTGATGCCCCTTCTGTACAGGGCCCTGGACATTTGCTCAACCGTTCCCTACCCTAACGCCGCTACTGATAATGTTACTAACTTCTGGACTTAGGCCTCTTCTCTTTCTATCAAACCTACTAAGGTAAGGTTTTTGGAAATTAGGGTCCTGGTAAGTATATGAAGAGATTTTGAATACTACAACATATTTTGCACCTTTACTTGTACCATTTTAACTAAGCTCTATGCTTGTGCTTCGAACTACCGAATTCGTACTACCGACCTCGTGATCGGATATCCGAACCCTCAACCATTAGGCTATTGGCGCTTCCCATTTTAGTAACAGTTTTATTTTACATTGTTTCGTTTTGTTAAATAATTAACAAATAGTATTTAGTATTCATATTGTGTGCAGTTACTTCGTGGAATGGATCCCCAACAACGTGAAGGTGGCTGTGTGCGACGTGCCGCCACGCGGCCTGAAGATGGCCGCCACATTTGTCGGAAACTCCACCGCTATACAAGAGATATTCAAACGAATCTCTGAACAGTTCACGCTCATGTTCAGGAGGAAGGTAAGGATAACCTAGACTGAAATAACACTTATATATACTAAGGGCCCTAGTTTACTAAGTAAGGGCCCTAGTTTACTAAGTAAGGGCCCTAAATTGATATTTGTTAAGGGCCCTAACTAAAGACAATAAATTTTGAGTAAAGGCCTAAAAAACTAAGGATAAATAACGACTCGATAATCACCAGACCCTAAGTGATTACTACGATTAAGATTATATTTTTTTATTATGAAATCTAAGAGAAAAAGCCCTTATAGTATAATGATAAGACTTTAGTCGCTATTACGAGCTTCTCGATGACACTTGAACTTGTTTAGGGCCTTAATGGACTTAGATAAAGTAATTAAATAACAGGCGTTCCTGCACTGGTACACGGGCGAGGGTATGGACGAGTTAGAGTTTACTGAAGCTGAGAGCAACATGAACGATTTAATTGCAGAATATCAGCAGTATGAGGTAACTAAGACCTTCTTTCTGTTAACTGACACTCCGCAGTGACATAACACTAAAATTATTCTTGCAGGAAGTAGGTGTAGAGGAAGGGGAATTTGATGACCAAGAAGAGATGCCCGGAGAGGATTATCCTGAAGAATAATTAACAATTTGAACCAAAGATTTATCTTTTTTTTCGTAGTCCCTTTTAAGATTTTTAATTGATTTTGGTCATTAGTTATTAGGAACTTCGTGTACTCTCAACTTGTAATCCTGGAGCTGGACAACTTTGGGAGTAACTGTTTAAAAAAATAATTTTGGCATCGTTTTTACTTAAATGCGCATGTTGAAGTTCCAAACAGTTAATTTTATATATTAGTTGCTATCCTCACCACAACTATCAACCGCAACCGTCAGCGCCAAAATGGCGGAGATGAAATAGGCACAAAATACCGCGGTTTATAACCTGTCCATATATATATAGGTGTATTAAAACGAATTTAGAATGTATTTTTAGTGTTGCCAAATAAAATTAAGGACCATTTAAAATTTATTAGATAACTAAGATTATTTATTATAGAATTTTGTATTCAAATTTGATAAAAATAAATCTTTGTTTGTTAATTATTTGTATTCATTTAAATAAATAATTCAAAGGCCGGTAACGCATCTGCAGTTCCTCTGGTGTTGCAGATGTCCATGGGTGTCATTGATCACCTCGGTGTTCCCGCCGCTTGTTTGCCACCTTCTCTTATAAAAAAAAAATAATAATAATAAATAAAACATGTTTTTTATTAACTTTTTTTATTGAAATTAAACACAATCTTATTGACAGGTTTATTTCTAATTCTTCTAATGTCTTCGTTACCAAATTTATCATAATTTAAATGTTCATTTATGTTTGTTATTATTTCTTTATCTGCAGATGTACAATCTACAATTTGTATTGGAGTTTCTAATTTATTTATCAGTGGCCCTTTTTCAATAACTTTAGGTAAAGATTTTTTATCTGTACTTTCATTATTTGATTTATTTACATTATCTATGGTTGGGGTATTGTCTATGCTTTTCTCAGCCATAAAGCATGGCTTATACTTTTTTATCACTTCATCAAAGGCTTTTTTCCTTTTATTCTTAATTATTTTATTACTTAAATTAATTGTATTTATCTCTCCCATATTTAATTTTTTAACATCATTTACCTTTGGTATTTCTAAATCTATTGTCTTTTTTGGTATTTCTTCTTTTATTTGTAAATTACGAAGTCTGTACAAGACATCTCTTTGTCTTTGAAGTATTTTTTCTTTTGTTTCCTCAATACTTTCCATTTCCGGTGCATAACACACATGTAGAGATCCACCGTAGAAGTTTTTTGTATCTAACATTCTTTTAGCAATCCTAGAGGATTGTATTCTTTCATATTGAGCATGGTATGTCTCAGTAAAAGATTCCGCAGGATGTTCTGTTGATATGTTAAACTTTAAAAGTTTACCGAACCTCATAAATAAAGCTTTAGTCTCTTGTCGGAGATTCAAACTTGGAACTCCAAATATTAGGAGATGATTGGATTCATTAGCTATTGTGTATACCTAAAAAATTGGAAAAATATTGGATACTAATAACAAAAAAAGCTGGACGTAAAAAGCCAAAAGTAGACCTGTGTGGAGAAATTTACTTGACCAGGCTCTGACACCGCGACTGTTGCGGCTCAGAAGACAATGAAACAATTTTAGTTATGCTTGCAATCAAATTTACATGGGTATAATTGTATTTGGTACAGTAATTTATTTTAAGTTTGTAAGTTTTACACAAAGAAATACTGAATTGAACCAACAAAACACAATTCCACTACATATTAATATTTAAAAAGTTAAATTTACTTGCATTTCTTAATAAATTAAAGTTTTAATTGTTTACCTTAACAGCAGTTAATTTCCTGCCTTGTCTGTAAGGTAGACGATTTGTACAGAGCGGTTGTTGTTCGTGGTGAGGTAACACTATTTTATTTTCATTTTCAGTTTTATTTGTATTCATAATTAATTATTTTAATAAATAGGAAGACACCAAACTAGTGATTTTGTTATTGTTTGAATAAAAAAAATGTCAGTTGTCAGTGTCTCTTTGACGGCAAATAAAAGTTGCCATATAAAAAAAACTTTTTTAAATTTTAGGATACTGGTATTTTGATCAATTAATTTGAACTTCAACTTATAATTTCGGTTTTCGCCTTTATAACTAATATACGGTAATACCAGAAACTTCTTTGGACAATGAATTGTTTTGATTATTCTGTCTTACTCAATAATGAGTAACATAATTATTACCGATATATGTGCGTATCCATTTTATTTTGAATTATTTCTTAAAGTCAAATAAAACACCATAAAACAATAAACATAATTTATTACGAAAAGTTAACAGAATTCCAGCGAAAAGCGTTAACAATTTAAGCATCTGCTTGTTTTATTTTTATAAATAGCATTGTATTGAGTAAAAAAATAAGACAGCACATTTGTTTATTTAAGAAAATATAAAAGAAATAAACAAAATAGAACATATATTTACTTTTTACTTAAAGCATAAGTACAAGAAAAGAAATTGTCGTAAAATAATCCAAATATACAACTTTTCTCGTTTATCAAAGAATATACATATAACATGTTATTCATTATACAAGTATTTGTACAATATAAACGCACAGGCGGTTATGTTTCCTCGTCGTATCCTTCAGTCTTCATGTCATTGAGACCCAGTTCATCATTTTGTTCATAAGATCTCTCGTAATGAGTCACCTTTAGACCTAGTGATTAAATTTACAAGATTAATTTAGTTTTTAACTATTTCACTATAAAAGTATAGCTAAACAGGAATATCTAACCCGATGAGAGTCGCTACTATCGCATTTAAGATTGCACAAAAGAAAAAATACAAAAGATTTAACATTGACAGGGGGGCGCTGGTGAGCTGTCATAATTTAAACTTACGTCCACCAGGTCAGATTTCCTTGTATATATAGTCCAAAGAGGATCTTACGGTAGTTTTTTTGACATTACCAACGGGCCGACATGTTTAAACGTGTTACCAGTTAATAAAAATATCCCCACTTCTACGTCGTCCATATTGCAACATCATGCAATTAATTTGTCTTGTAAGTGTAAGTCTACAAGACTTATGTTAGTTATGGCCTGAGTTCTTTTATAATTACACATAAGCAAATTTGGATTTTAAGGAATCTGGAAGTTATAAAAATGGCAACATTAAATGCAGCTTCCTCATTGGTCAATATATGACGCTGTCAACTGTCAAGATGACATTGTTGAATGGTATTTACGAGAATCGTAAGATCCTCGTTGATTTTTTTACAAAGTTATATATTCGGAAGTACTAACCATCATCAGGTAGTTGAGGGTCATCAGAGAGACACTGCACGTAAGAGTTACCAGCTGGATCGTCCAACACCAGTGTTATAGCGCGCTTGCCTTCCAATACTTCTTCTAATTTGTCTAAGAAACTGTAAAAGAACATATGCTAATTTAAATTGTAGGCTACAAGTAAAAATATAAAATTGGCAGTTTCAGCACATTGAGGGGAATAATGTGAAAGCATTAATATTTTGTCTCATTTTACCGATTTTAATTTTTTTTTTATCACACATTTTGCAATAATTTTTTATACAAACTGACGAACATATAAACTATTTTTTCTTATCATTAACACAAATATTACATACATACACTCCAATAGAATTCATATATATATATAATATGTTACCCGGAGAGTTTGTCTTGTGCGAGTCCCGGCGCGTCACCCATGAGACCTGGCGCCTCCCGCAGCTGCTGCGCGGCCGCCTGCAGCAGACCCTCCGGAGTACTGAACCTGCCTCCCAGAGCACGACCTCCCACCTCGAAGTCCAGCTCCGGGATACTCATGCTGCATGTCTCTGACTGAAAACACAATATCATCATCATCACCTCACTGTACATCCCCACTGAGAGACTCAGAGTGTACCCTAAGTGAGAGTATATGAGAGTGAATGCTGATCCAGTACAAGACTTGACACATATGTTTGAGTTTGTCAGATATATGCAGCATCACGATGTTTTCCTTCACCGTAACAACATAGGATAAATGTACATATGTAAATGTAACACATTCATACATCACGGGATTACAACACGGAGCATGCAGATTGCAAGTCAACTGATTTTTTTTTAAACATTCCAACTAAGTTCTAGATTTGCTAGAATATGGTTTACGACAATAGTCGAATATCGGGATTCGACTCTCAACCGCATGATCGGAAATCCGTACTTTTAAACATTAGGCTATTGTCGCTTACTACAGCTATATTTATATAAGTTATTTTAGCTAAATTATCATATTTAATAATGTATAAATTACCTTCAATATATCTCTGGAGAAATCATCCCTGCTGGCTACACGCACTTCAAACTTCACTCCCTTCTCTTCTATACCACCGCCTGATTTTACCTGAACAATCACAATGACAGGGTAGCAGACATAAACACAAACTAGGTTACACTGTTCTATGAAACTCCTCGGTCTCTCTCACAAGTTGAATTTCAAAAAAAGGCAAAAAAACATATTAGGAGCTTGTGAAATAAAATAAAAATCATAAATATGGGTTACAACTGAATATTTTTCAAGAAGCATAAAAATATTGTTCAGTTACTAATTTTAACACTTGAAATGTATTAACCTTTATAAATGGATAGGCTATCAGGCATAGTTTTTTGTGCCTAATTGATTTACGATTTAGGTTTTAATATGAATGTTCAATAAACAATAAACTAACAATAATAACAAAAATAAAATTATAAATAGCTATGTAAATATTGAAATAACGCTTATTATTATTTGATTTACGCCATTTTTGCTAAAGCAGCATTTAATTGCGTTGGAAACTTGAAATAATAGTATTAATTGTCATGTAACATCAACAGCGGGATTAGAAAAGGTGTATTTACTCCGAAGTGATTCCATAAGGAACTTCAACAATGTATAAAACTGACTTTCGATTAGTCACGTGATTGTCACACCTCAGTTCTATACAATTTTCAAATTTTTTATGGAATAGCTTCAGAATAAATTCACTTTGTATGCCACAGCTGTACTATTAAGAAATTAAGTGAAAATTTCCAAGCAATCGCCTATCCAATGGAAATCATTGCTTTAAACCAGTCTTTCCCAAAGTGTGCGATAACGCCCCCTTGTGAGCTGCAGGTCTCATGTTGCGGGTTATAGTAAAAGTTTCCTTTACAATTCTCCGTTAATATACATATATAGGTCACAATAATTAATTTATTTAATTTGAAGTTACAGTGGTTTTTAAATATGTGAAAATATGGGGGCGATAAAAAAATATTTATTCTCAAAGTTGGCAGTAGACAAAATATTTAATACTACCTCATTAGTTCTGTGACCACAAGCATCACATACAGTCGCCATTATCACAACCTGTTTGAAGTGTGGAATGCCTGAAAATAACAACAATACACAACTACAGTTCACCCGCGATATATCCTATAACATGGCCGCCTTCATCACCTACCTTACACTCAAAGTCCCATCAAAATCTATCCATCCATTCCGGTAATAACAAGGTACATATACAAACTTGCAAACGGACATACAGACACGGAGAAAAATTAAAAAAAAAACTTAATTAGTAGTCTATGTGTTCTTCCAGACTATACTCTACATGTATGTCAAATTTCATCATAACCTGTTCAGCCGTTCTGGAGATATTTTCAAACATCCATCCGTCCATCTAAACATTCACATCTATATATATATAAAAGAAAGTGTTGTTAGTTACACTATTTATAACTCAAGAACGGCTTTACCGATATGCCTGAAAATTGGTGAGGAGGTAGCTTAGAGGTAATTTATGCCTTGAAGAGCAGCTATTTATTTAACTTACTAATATTATAAATGCGAATGTTTAGATATGATGTGGATGGATGGATGTTTGAAGATATCTCTAGAACGGCTGAACGGATCTCGATTAAATTTGTCATACATATAGAACATAGTCTGAAAGAACACATAGGCTACACTAATTAAGTTCTTTTATATATCCACGCGGACGGAGTCGCGGGCAACAGCTAGTTTATAATATTAGTAAGATTACTACACTAATGAAATTGTAAGCAAAGTATTAACTCACTTGTTAACTTCATATTAGTCTCAGCTGGTGCATTGCAGTCCGGACAGTTTGTCTTAAACTGCATTACTTCCTCCGAGGCCATCTTTTCATAGAAATCTGCCTCCGCTTCAATCTTACTCTGTGCTAGGCCATTTGTTATTCCATGTATCTAGAAATACATAAATAAATATCTTACTAATATTATATACCATATACGAGAAATAAAAAAAAAGTAGACTATGTTTTCTACATGTATGACAAATTTCAGCGAGATCCATGCAGCTGTTCCGGAGATATCTTCTAACAAACATACATCTAAACATTCGGATATTAGTAAGATAAATGTGTGTAATTTGATGTATGCATTGATTTACAGAACGGCTGCATGAATGTATTCTAACCGTGGGTTTCTGAGACCAAAAACTTTCATTTAAATCATACTGTTATGTCTATTTTTATAAAAAAAAAACAGATTGATCTCAGAAACTAACATTAAAAAACATTTAGCATAAAGTCCAAGAATAATTTAATTATTAGGTCTATTATAAAATCTGTAGATAAGCAAATGAAGCTAAAATTTAAAATATTTAAACCTAAAATTAAGCATTAAGCTAAATGTCTAAAATTTAGCCATTTTTCGACTTTTTTCGCTTAAAAATCTATCCAGACTTACCTCTAACAATTCTAAAAGACTATCTGGTGATTCGATGGGAGTTGGCTTGTAACAATGTTTATGTACTTAGCACGTATACATAACATAATTATATACATTCACAATAGCCTTATCTCTTCTTATGTATAACTCAAAACTACTTTTCCATTTCATTATATATTTCTAAAGTTAAATCTGTATGTATGTATGAGTTGATGATGGGAAGGGAAAGATTTGACAGAAGAGGGGACAAATAATACGGCAATATATCCTCTTTTTGAGCGTCCCCTCCATAGATTAAAGATAGGCAACACATCTACAATTATAGATGTTTATAGTCTGTGGTTTCGCCATTTCAGCGAATTTAGTTGGCAATATACTTATTTACCTAATAATATAAAAAATATTATTGAAGTGACTCGGGAAGGTCAATTCCGTTGTGATTTGTAGTCTAAACTAAATCAATTTTGACATGTGAGGTGTCATTGGATTCGTCCCAGAGTGTTATAGGAGTACAATCAGTAATGTTTTTTAGTTATTTAATTAATCAGATTGGTAAGTTACCTCTTCCTGTTGGAATATGCCCAGTGTATGATTTTGTTCTTTGCTCCGAGTAAAGTCAGTTCTCTCACATCGAGGATCTTTTGCTGGCGCTTCCGGATTCTCTACAAAACAGTTACCTGCAAACAAAATATTTAGTCTTACTAATATTATAAATGTGAATGTTTGGATATATGTTTGTTACAAGGTATCTCCAGAACGGTTAAACGGATCTTGATGAAATTTGTCATAGATGTAGAACAAAGTCTGGAAGAACATATAGGAGTTGCGGGCGACAGCTATATTATAAGGTGGCAAACAAGTAAGAGGCTACATGCAATCCTCAAAATGGCGAAGCGACCACTGCCTACAGACATCCACAATTACAGATGGGTTGCCTCCCTTTAATCAACGGAGGATACATAGAATGAGAATATATTCCCTCTCCTATGCATCCTCTCTAACCTTTCCTTATAAGAAAAGGGTGAGAAGATTAAGAGGACTGAAATTAGGCCTCTGGAACGTAATTTCCTCTTTCATCCTTTTTTGAAGAACAAAATTAACTCACCACTGATATCTTCAAGCTCCAAAGTCCACGGTGTAGTCACAGTCTTGAGATCCTGTAGCCGAGTAATAAATGCATCAATTGTGGCCGCATCATCCGGATGCTCCTGTCTCCGTGCCACCTGGTCTTGTTGTAGACCGGATATCGCCCGAGCTATTATACCCTCCACTGTGGTAACCTCTGGGAAACAATGGTTTTGTATAAAAGTATAAGTCAAAGTCTAGGCATAGACAAAAATCTTGAGTTCTTAATTTTTGGTTAGCCATAGACTATGACTTTGTCAACATGGTATTTAAAGAAACAAAGAGCCTATATCATTCCTGCACACATTTAAAACCTTCTCGAAACAATCCCGTCAAAAATGGTTAGGTACAACATTGTGTGTTCAGGACTAAAAACACTAAAACTAATGTCAGAGGGTTTGGCTGCATAGAAACTAACCTCCTTTTTGACTCTGTGCAGGTATCTCAAAGTCCAGCTCTGGTATCCTCACTCCTGTGTAGTCACTCTTCACCACTTGTCTGTTCAAATCCATCAGACATTCGACCCTCAGCTTCCATCTGTAAACACAATGAATTTTATAAACTTAATACAAGCTTACATATTAATATAAACAGCTAAAACACTCAGGTATGTTCGTCCCATATCAGCACCAACTAGTTTTGAGCCCATTAGGGAGCAGGACGGATGTGTCTCCAAAATGATACCAGTCCCACTCACCCTGATGAAGAGCCTACTTTGGGGTCGAACTAGTCGGTCTACTAGTCGGTGCCGACATGGGACGAACATGATAGTTTTAGCCATTTATAGATTACTTTATAATAATGACTCGAAAGTTTTAATAACTTATTCACGTAGTATAGTATAGTATGATAAAAGATTAGTCTCACCTTACCCCAAGCTCTGCGAAGGCCCCACCAGGCTGGATCTCATTGTTCTCGTACCCGCAAGCCTCACAACTGAACGACATGATCACCACATTCTTATAGTAGGGGATACGAGTCAGAAGAAGTCGAGTCATGCCCTTAAAATAAATGTAAAGTTATAAAGCTGCTTTGAAATGCCTTACGTAACCAAAGAAAGTATTTTCGGGTCATAAAAGCAAACCATTTTCTAAAAACACGACGTTGTAAAGGTTATGATTTTAAGTAAAGTTCTAAAAAGATTCGAAGAATATGTATAAAACACCTTTTAATAAGTTTTTAACATTCTAATATATGAATAAAAGATATAGTTTTTCTAAAATAAATCAAAATAATAAAGAATTCCAGCGATACTTCTAGAAGTATCGTAATTAATGACATACATTTGCATGGCAATTCATACAAAACGACTCGATTTCAGTGACTTCTGGCTCCGGATCATCTCCAGCGAGATCACGGAACACCGGTTTTGTTTCTGAAGTACTCATTTTCTTCTAAATTCGATGAAAAAGATCTATAAGTTGCGCACACCGACAAATCAAAACACCAATTCAAAGACTAATTCGATTTGACGTTTAAGTTTTTTTACTGCGTTTTATTTTTGTGGTCATTGCCTTCGAATACTAGCTTTTTGCCATTGTCTATGAACATATTTTCGCCCAAATAAAGCTTTCAAAAAGATTATTAAAAATAAAACTATTATTGATTTTGGGATTAAACTTCATGTCCTCAATTTTCAAAGTTTTTTTAAAAGGCCAACTGTCAATAATAGTTTAAATCAACCGTACCCAAATCTACAATCATTTTACATAACGAGGCAATAATAATGAGACATGTAAATAGTTACATCAATATGTGTTTAGTATAAAGTCAAGGGCAACAGATAAATTACAAAATGTAAACGCATTGACTTCGAGTGATGTCATTAGGGAGAAATAACCCGGCCTTGGACTACCAAAGCAAACTCGACTCAGGTGACGTCATGCCGTTATTTTTGTCGATTTGTCGTTTCCATGTACAACCTGACCAGTTTAAAATCTAACTGTATCCCTAATGCAATGTTTTTGAAAAGTTATAATCTAAATTTTGTCGGATTATGATTAAGTTCCCGCTTTGCGATATAACATTTGAATTCACTGCCACAGTCAAAGAATTCATTTGAAGAAGCGTACCTTACTTAAAAATATAATAGTCATTTCAAAAATACGTTACGTTTGTGATAGAGCTAGTCTATTTTGTGATACTATTGCGGTTAAGTGTAATAACTTAAACTGTAAGTACTAAAAATATTTTGTTTTTATTTGTATGCGGTATTTTAAGCTAAGGATAAACAGGTGTTTTTTCTGAAACACCGTTCCAGCCAGTATTTTATTGAGTTTTTATTTGCACTTACTCTTATTACAATAAATATAGATGTTTAGATGATCTTGAAGTATCTATAAAAGCATAACTTAGTGTTTAATATCCTTTAAAAATAAAATATTACAATTGAATACTTTTTGTTGTTACTGTCTTTCTCAGTAATATAAAAAATAAAACAAATATCAAACCTCATTCAACATTTTAATTTGCTGGAAAAATATGATTTGCCGCCGGTTTGTGCGTTCTTACAAAAAAAAAAACAACCGGACTTGTTCATTATTTGATTGCGTGATGCGAAACAAACGTAACTACTGTTGCTAATTGCACACAGACGCACTTTCGTGTGGCGTATGTTTGCTTTCATATGTTTATTTGTTCGTATACAATTAAAAGTATTTAAATTAATGCATTTATTTTAATAAATAGATTAGTAAAAAATCTTTAAAGTTAGCAAAATAACGTTATATGGTCATTATGTCCATAAGGATCAAAACAAACAAAAAAACATGTCACTTAGGCAAATATATAAATTAAATAACGTCATTAGTTAATTAATCGGACATAATATTTGCTATATGACTTAACCTGTGTTATATTAGCTAGTTGACGTCAAGGTTTCTTGTGTGGTTAATATTTAGCACATACATATAAAACGTAAACATTTCACAAATTTTCGTAATAAATTTTATTTCTCCTTGAGATGTGTTTTGTTTTCATATTATTTGCCAGTTGTCAGATTTTCTCTTTTTTTTCGTAAGGCAGAAAACGTGCCTGTATTTTGTGGTTATTAGACCAAATAATTAACTTTAATAAATAAAATGATTAAGTATTTTAAAAGACTGTTTTATTTAAATTAAGTACATCATTAGAATTCAGTACATGTATGGAATGGATGACTGCTTCGTTATAAACATCCAAACTTGTCGCTTTCATAACTAAATACCTGTCCACTAACAAAAATGTTTCTTTATATTCAAACAAGGTCGATAACCTCTTACCTTATCAAAGATTAAAATGCTATAATTAACATCGATAACATATCTTAAGTATTTAATAAGGTAAACTAGACAATTTGAAATGTTGTCGTAGTACATTATTGCTATCTCTGTCTTTACAAAGGGAATGAGTGAGATAGCTAAATTATATTATAGAGGTTATGTTATTGGAGTCTTAACGTAAGCTCGGCCCACACACGTCGTATACGAAATAGCTACGCGTTTTCAGTCGGTCAGTAATTGCTAAGCATGTGTAAATCAGCTCTGAACCGGTTCAAAATTCAACTCGCATACTTGAACCGTTGAGCAAAGGTTCAATAACTAAGTTGTCATCTAACAGCCTTTTTACTGCTCTGCAAGTTATCAATTTCAGTTGAGTTACCAATTTTTGCATTCAGATATACACGGCGCGTCGCGGCGCCATTAAGACTGTATCTAGGGTTGGCACATCTTAATATTTGTAGGAACTTAATAATGTTACGACCAGGCGTGACAGTCGCCAAACAAAAAGATGTTGGCTTTTGCGAATACGTAAAATAAAAGAAAAAAAAAACTTAATCAGATATTTTGCCACAAGTAATGATTGAATCTATCTTAGAAACGATTTTCTTTCAAATAAACCTTATTATTTCGAAGATTTCTCTATCTCAGGCGAACAGAGCACATCCAATAACATCTTATCCAATTAGTTTTATGATGTAAAATAAATTGACAACCCTAGTAATTGGAACACGTGCGCTTTCCTGATGACCCATTTTCGATCCGAGGATTTTATATCTGTAGAAAGATTTATTAAGATAGCCCTTAATATATTTTATATTTACGTTGTTTTTATAAAGAAAAATGATTGCGTCGTTCAAATTTACACTACGTAACACTGTTAAGATGTATAATATTAAAAATACTTCCTATTGATGTAAATTGACATAATTATCTGACGCGTTGGGTCATAAGTCAAACTAAAGTATAATATTTCAGTAGCGCCCCCTTGTCAACGTCAAAAAAGGGTCAAAAGTCCTATTGAAGTTCTCATGTTTTTTTCTATATAATTTCAGTGCTTTTACATTTTTTTCTCACATAAAATATATTTCTCTTGTATTTTAATGTTTCAAAAATATGCGTCATCTTTGTTTCGGATGTGTCTGTTACTTCTTTCTGTCATCGATATAAAAAAAGTAACGGACGTAAATGTCATTGTCGTTCGCGCCCACTTCTGTTACAAAAGCGCGGGAGATTTCAAGCCACTTTTTGGAAATGATTATAGTGTTCTGATATATAAAATGTTTTCTTTTTACTCAAATATATTTTAACAATGTAAGTACAATTATTGTTAGCAAATTTTTTGAATATATTTAACGTATACATTAGATTACTTATTATTAAAGAATATCCTTGAGTTTATTGCATTCTTGTGTGTGTTTGGGCAGGTGACGGGGCATTACGTCAGCATGTCTCCCGCGCAATACTAATGTATGCAGCGTAGATAAAAAAGGAATATCTTTAATTTTATTCGCCACTGAAAATACAAAGTAAACATGTTTTCAAGGTTTTTTAGTCTCGTCATGATAATTTATAATATGTTAGTCAAAGAATTAATTTATCTTATCACTTACGTAGGATCGTAATAAATGAAAAATTAAAGTTTAGACTTAAAGAAAAAGGAAATAAACTCCCCCGACTACAGACAGACAAACAAACATTTTAAACATTGAGTTTTCTTTATCAGCTACACAAATACATCGTGTTTTAGATTTTATTGTGATATTCCATACAGACAATCCCATTTCATTAATATGTATAATTAATGATGTTTTTAGAACAATGGGCAAGGAGGAAAAAGAAGACTCTGGTTTCGGTTTCAAAGACAAGGCGAAGGCTGAGGAGACGCTGCGTCTATTGGAGGAACATGATCCGAATTACAGACGTCTGACTGTGCGCGGTCTATTGGGAAGAGCTAAAAGAGTGCTTTCTAGTGAGTATCTACCCTCTCTGTCTTTCATACAGCATTCTTTCCTGCGTAGAAGCTATGCCTTTTTCCAATTTACATCGTACTAGCTGTCGCCCGTGACTCCGTCCGCGTGGATATATAAAAAATGTCAATTAGTGTAGCCTATGCGTTCTTTCAGACAATGTTCTATACGTACCAAATTTAATCGAGATCCGTTCAGCCGTTCTAGAGATATCTTCAAACACCCATCCATCCATCCAAATCACATCCATCTAAACATACGCATTTATGATATTAGCAAGTTAAATAAAAAGCAGCTCTTTAAGGCATAAATTACCTCTAAGCTACCTCCTCACCAATTTTCAGTCATATCGGTAAAGCCGTTCTTGAGTTATAAATAGTGTTACTAACACCACTTTCTTTGATAGATCTTTGTTTCACTCTTCTCTTGACGGACGTCATAATTTAAGGGAAATATCGATGCCAGTAATTTGTTTTAATCCTAAATAAAGCTATTACTATTGTCGTCCATTGTACTACACCACAATGGATTATGATTCAAACCTCTTTGTTCAAACGGTGAGGTATATCACACAATAATTACAATTGCATTGAGTTACTTCTCACATTAATGTCTGTCTGTACACAGTACACAGCCGTTGTTATAACGCGGGATTAAAAAATATTAGCGTCTCTTTTACGAGTAGTTTAAAGTCCACTGTCGAAACATATCGTCATCTCTTTTTTCGACAAAATGAGACAGCTATATGTTTCGTAATTTTATTTATTTACCAGTGACAAAAGCAGAAGAAAAAATTAAAAACATAAAAGAAGCGATGGAGGTGTTTGAGAATTGGCTCGCGGAGTTAGAGAAGAACAAGGAGAAGAAGACTGAGAAGAAGGAGAAAGAAGAGACTAGAGAAAAGAAAGGAGATAAAGAAAAGGTAAGCTAAAGAAGGTAGATAAAGTGAAATATGAAGCTTAGTTACTTTAGTTTGTTGTGAAAAAAATGTTGCATGCCTATGGATAAAATATTTAGGTTTTGTATTGGAACGAAATACACATTATTTGGTACATTTATCCACTAGGATTCAAGTCCCGATGTGGAGATGGAAGATAAAACAAAGAAAGAAGATAAGAAGGACCTTCCACCTGACACAGTTCCAGGGTTAGGTTTCAAAGACAAGGCAACAGCGGAAAGCACCCTCAAGGAGTTGGAAGGAAGAGATCCTGATTATCAAAAACTCGCTGTAAAGGGCTTAATTGGAAGAGCTAAGAGAGTACTAACATGTAAGAAACAATTACAAATGACTAGCTATAGCCCGCGACTTCGTCCGCACGGAATAATAAATACTCAATTAGTAGTCAATGTGTTCTTCCAGACAGTTCTACATGTATGCCAAATTTCATCGAGTTACTTTCAGCCTTTCTGTAAATACTTTCAAACAAACATCCATCCATCCATCTAAACATTCGCATTTATAATATTAGTAAGATAAATATACTATGAAATAAAAAATAACATTCTCAACTCCTCAATCAGATCAAAAGGATATCACCGTAAAACCTATTTGAAACCGGAATATCGTGGTTTAAAAGCAATTGTACCTCTTTACATTAATTTGATGTTCACCAGGTACAAGAGATGAAACAAAGATATCCAATATAAAAGAAGCTTTGTCTTTATTCGACAAGTTTCTTGACGACTTTGACACAATGCATCTGAGCAAGCAGAACAATCCGTACATAAGTCTCGGTATCATGAGAACATGTGTTGCTAAAGCTGACGGACTGCTCACCGAGCAACAGGTAACATGCAAAAACATGCCTTTTTTATTATGAGGCAAAAAAAATCTGTACGCATAAAAACCAAGGTCAAATTCTTATTAATTAAAGTCTAAAACGGTGGGCACAAGTTAAACTAACCAATAGCACACTAACGCCCTCCTGACAACATCAAAAAATATCACAAGAACCTCTTTGCAGCTAGCGTGTTATTTTTTAATGTCATTTTCAATGTCTAAGTAGGTTTTATATGTATTCTGACAGAACCAAAGGCGATAGTAGCGCCTCTCATTACTTCAGAAATCATTGACTATACAATACTACTCTTAGCTTACGAAAAGCGTACTTAGTACTTAAATAAGTTATCACTTATGCTTAACCTTTCATTTTAACAGAAATCATTCATAGAAGCATACAGCAGTGTAAACGGCGAATATAAACGTCTAAGAACTGTGGCTGAGAAGGAAGGAGGGAAGACTTGGGACATCGTCAGAAATATCGCCTTAAAAGAACTGAAAGAGAAGGTAGGCATTATAATATTAGTATCCGACTCAAAGGACCAGAAACATAAGTATATGATACAACGATCGTCTTATTAAAAATAATTTTAACCTTCTTGTTTAGTACGCAGATGTGAAACTCTTTGATGAAAAAGACGAACCCACAAAGGAGCATTTAGAAATGTTATTATGGGCTTACTCACCGGAGCAGGCGCGAGTGAAAAAAACAATACAAGAGACAAAAGAGGAAAGCGAAAGCGACAGCAAGAGTGAAGAGGAAAGCAACAGTAGAAAGAGAAGAAGTAGCGCAAGGGACGAAGAATCTCCCAGTAAGAAGAAAAAGGAATAAGAATCAGGGTTACCATGTTATTTGTAAGAACTTAAAATATATCTGGAGCAGCTAATGCATTGTGCATTTATGTTTTGTTTAATAATATAAAATAGTAAAATACCTTGGTTTTATTATATTCCTGTGATGGAAAGCAACTGGCAATTTATATTAAAAATAGATGAACAGTGAAATACAAGACGGACGGAAATCAGATGAAAGTTTACCTGGATAATTAGCTACGTTTAGAAATTACAAAGTAAAATATGAAATAATAAGATAATAGAAAATAAGTAAATAAGTTTTTCATGTTTTTTTATTCAAAAATTTTCACTGCACTGGCAACACTAAACGACTTGAACTTAGATTGCAGTCTATAGGTTAAAAATCTTTTTAACACTTAAAGCGAAACTTGGAAAGCAAATTATACAAACAAGATATTTTTATATAAAATATAAATTACAATTACATAAATTAGAATGTAAATCATATAAGAATTTATAATCTGTAGTCGGTTCTATTTCCGGTCCATCGATTTGACGTTCCATTGTAAACACCGAGTACAATGAACTTTTATAAATTTCTCGGAAAAGATAAGATTTTTGACTAAATCATAAATGAAAAGTATCTTATTTGCTAGACGGCAACAATTTACTATACCTTTGATGTATTTTGTACCCATAATTTACATAAATTTCGACAGTTTTAAATTGGGCGTTAGTTGTCGCAAAAAAGGTTTCCAAATGTAGTAATCTTCATTGTTATTACATAAAATAACTCTATATTAGTTATTTACGCGTGTTTACAATTATCTAGTAATATTTTATGATACACATTTGAAGAAAAGTGTATTTAAAATTAAAAGATCCTAGTGCAATAAATGTGCGAGTGAAATTATTAACTCAGATTTCCAGTGTTTATTTAAATAAGCGATAAATGGGAACTATTTATAATAAATAATAGTGGAAAAGTTAAATAGTTTCATAGTTAAATTATACTGTCGTATGTTATATATGTGTATAGTGCGCAAGTTTATAATACTAAAAAATAAGAAATGGAGCCAAGGAGCGAAGCTAGTTACTGTAAGTATTATTTATCTGTCATTTGTAAATTAAAAAAAAAACATATACAAACTATTTTGTACATCCTCATTACGTTTAAGTAAGTTTAGTTTTTTTTCGTACGACGCGCGAAATTTAAAAATCGAGTTAATTATTTTGGAATTTTCTTATCGTTTTACAGTAGATATAATGTTTAGTCCCAAAAAAAAAATTAAGCGTAAATATGATTTTTGATAATATACAGATATTATAATTTAATAAAACATATTTTAACCTCCCTTATCTTCTTATTTAACCTCTAGATGGAGTGTTTCATACAAGTTTGACATCTTTAGTAAAAAAAAAATCAGGCCCTTACAGAGACCTGGTCCGACCTACCGGGTCAGACAACCTTGTCAGTCTATGATTGAAAGTCTATTTCTAAATGCTATTTTAGATTGATTTAGAACAATACTGAGGAACTTTAACTGAACAAAATGCTAGCCTTTTGCCTAACTTTAGTTCTCCAGATTAGGTATATGCTCATATATGTATGATTACACTAATCTAGAATCTACTGAATAAAATTCTGCACAAACTTAAATATAAAATGAATTATGGAAACCAAAATCACATCGAACATTTAATAACTGAATTCTGAACAACAAAGTATCACTTACATCCCTTTCCACTCTTTAATAGTGCAGAAGAGGGGACACATGAGAAGGAAAAATATCTATAATCTGTGTGTCCCATCCTCTGTCAATTAAAGTTAGGCAATACTGCAATTGTAGATAAGGGCAGTGTTAGCTTTGCTGTTACAGCCTTACCATATTATAATATAAAAGAAATCAAATTTAGATGTACACTTACATCTGAAAATTCAGTCCTAACCAAATATTGCTCGTCCTTTTGTTGTTAGCCAGACTTTATATTAATCACAACCAACTCTTTGTATGTAAAGCTCATTTCTCTTCTCCAGGTGAAAGAGAGATGTGGGATGAGTGGGGAAGTCGCTCCTCTCTCAGTCAACAGGAAGAGGTAATTTGTTTCATTTTTATTTAAAAAACTTCATGAGTATATATGTATATACATATGTATATTGTAAGGGATGGCGGAGGCTCAATACTTAAACATCACACTTTGTTATCTACAGGTTCAGGTTTGATCCTTGCCATTTACTAAAGTATTTTTTTAATTTTATGCAAACAGTTGAAGAATTTTGCTGAAATGTCATTGTCAACATGTCATAACCAGGGCCGGAGTTTGGGTCGGACGCGTGCTACCGCCCAGGACACTTGCTAAAAACGGGCTGCAAAGGTCTGCCAATTACACAGTCTCACATAACCCTGATAAGATTCCAAAAGCATGGAAAAAAACAGGGTGCCGTAAATGTCGTCCACTGCGATAGAAAGGCTTACAACTATTACTGGAGTTTACTACTCAAAGAAAACATCATGCACCCTGCACATATCTGAGAAATTGAAAGATATATATAAAGAGACATATGTAAAGCCAACCGACCCACACTGTGCCAACCTGTAACATAGGATGACATTAAGCCCGTCGTGTAGATCCTATGTAAGAACCGAAGGGAATAAACGTACTCGACAGTACCGCATTTAGGGTAGGGCGTGGTGTGGCAACCGCCCAGGGCGCGGATAAGTGGCGCCTCCGGTAGTCCCTAAGATACCCTATCTTTCAAAAATTTCTTCTAACACCAAAAAGGGGTGCCGCGAAAATTTTACCCAGGGCGCCGAAAATGCGTATACCGGCTCTGGTATAAGCATCGAAGATTACGTCATGATCTCAGTACGTTCAGATTACGTAAGTCCCGCGTCTCGTAGTTTTATTTAATTGACCCGGTTACTTTTTACGATAACGTGGATTTAACTTTCGGATAATTAATATAGGTTAGTCAGTGGTGATACTGACTGTAAGCACATTTTAAATTTAACTATTAACTAGTTTAAACACTTTTATAAAATGTATAATGATTTCGTGAGAGAGGAATAAAATAAATAGTCTAAGTAACGAAACGAACGAGCGTCGGTCGCTCAGGAGTCAAGCACTTGACTTGCAATCTGCAGGTCCTGGGTTCGAACCCCGCCATGTACTAATGTGTCTTTCCATTTCCGAATTACATACGTACATTCATCGTATGTTCTTACGGTGAAGAAAAAGATCGTGATGCAACCTGAACATATCTGAGAAGAAATTCAAAGATATGTGTGAAGTCAACCCGCACTTGACCAGCGTGGTTGACTATGGCCTAATTACCCTTAACTTAGGGTAGGCTCCGAGCCTCTCAGTGGGGACGTATAGGGAGCTGATGATGATGAAGTAACGATAAGTCCAATCATCAGAATTTGCTTTATAACATTGCATACGAATTATGATTTGTTTTATGTATTACATACAACATATGTTATAAGAGTTAGGACAGTCGAATTTCGTGGAAATACTGTTTAAAAACATGCCAAAATTTAACCGAGTTTCAAGATGGCGTAAGGCCAAGTAAGTGAACTTGGCTAATACTAAATAGAGCATTAGGACAATGCGCTATGCAGTTTTATATCAAAAAGCAAGCCAACAAACACTTTTTTAAAATTATACATTATATTCCTACATCTAAAGGACGAGAACCTGGTGTGGCCTTACATTAAATGGGCCCGTACATAGAGTGTGGGACCCTACATAGTATAAGACCCTGTATAGTGTGACACCCTGTATAGAACGAGACCCTGCTTAGGGTGAGACCCTACAAAGAGTGGGGCCTTATAGTAGAATCGTGCATGAGTGTGGTGGGATCCAACATAGAGTCAGGCCCTATATAGATTGGGACCCTACATAGAGTGAGACCTTGCATTGAGTTGGACCCTCTCCATGGGTCTCCCTGTCAAGTATGTCCCTGGAAAGCAAGTCACATATCAGTCCTTTTTTAGTAATTTCAATTTAGATCTCTAATTAAATCCACACTAAGTGTCACCATTAGTGACTTTGAGTGGCAGTTAATGAATTGTGCTTAAATTGGACCAACGGAATAGTTAAATGGAAGTATAGTCCAAACTGGATTAGCGTGAGTCCATGTGACTGCAATATTTTCACTTATAGAAGTTGCAAGTTGACAACCCTAAAGTTAATACACAATACTAAAACTTTTTTAAATGTTGTATAGTTGCTTATTTCATAAAAACTACTAGATTCCTTGAAGTAGACCCTCCCAAGCACGTGCCCTAAATTCACTGTATGTCTCGGCAACTCTGTCCTTCCGACCTCTATGACGAAATACGCCATCTTGTTAAGATGTGGTTAAACGAATTTGTACATTATTGTGTTGAAAATAAAGTCTAGATCGGTATGTTAGATGTCTCCTACTATGGTAATTCGAAAGAATATTTTATATATTCTCATTGTTCTTGTGTTAAACTTAATAAGTAGATTATGTTCTACTTCTAAGACAAATTCCATCGATATCCATGCAGCCGGTAGTAAGATTTTACTGGAAATTTACTTCGAATTTACCGGGAAAATGGAATGTTACAAAAAACTCGAATTAATTTTATGACAATGGTAGGGGACACAGTATATTTATTGTTTTAATAAACCTTGTATATTATGTAGTAACAATGTACAGAGTGTATCATATGTAGATAATATATATTATATTCTTATACACGTTCTTTTATAAATATTTCGTACGGTACAAAAGATATGCAGTGGCATGAAAAAAGGAAATTGTAATTAGTGTCAAGATTCAAATACGCTATTTTTGACATTGCCTAATTTAATTAATAATTCAGTTTAAATAAAAAATTCTATGTTTAAAAAATAAAAATCTTTGTTTGAAAATGTACCCAATAGATGGCGCTTTATATAGCGATATACAGCCATAGTTTTTTGACTTTATAAAATTAAGTTTAAGTTGTTATCTAAGCGCGAAACTTTAACTTTTTAATGTTACTAATATTATAAATGCGAATGTTTAGATGGACGTTTGTTTGAAGGTATCTCCGGAACGGCTGCATGAACTGAAAGTCGAAAAACGGTAGAACATAGTCTGGAATGACACATAGGCTACTATTAATTTAACGCGGATAGAGTCGCGGGCGAGAGCTAGTTTATTTATAACTACGTCGCCTACTTACTAACAATAGTAGTTTAATATTGTCTTTAATTAGTGAGATTTTTTCAAAACCGAATGCTCTTAAGAACCACCACGCCGGTGATTGACGTCGATTGGAAATTAAACCTTATCTGTTGGGAATATGATATAATATTGAATGTTAGTTATATTTAACCTCGTTTTAATGACGAAATTAACCGATTGCATACACGTGCCGGCTTTTATAGAATATCTTCACGATTGTTGCTAGTTCCGGGATAGGCAGAGTTTATTGTAATTTAAAATATTAAGAGTACTACAATTCGATGTGTGTTTATGTATGAATGTGTATGACGACAGAAGAGTTACATTCAAAATAAATTAACTTAATCTATAATTAATAAGAAAATTTATTATTTTAACTTAATTGTTTTAAGTAAAGAATTGTCTGTTAGTAGCCCATGTGTTCTTCCAGACTATGTTCTACATTTATGCCGCTATTCATTGAGATCCGTCGAGCCGTTATGGAGATATCTTTTAACAAACATCGATCCAAACATTCACATTTATAATATTAGTAAGAAGCAAGATTTAATTTTGATAGCTAACTTAAAGTTTTTTCTAGTAATATTATGAATTGACTGTATTTACAATTGAACTGTGGCTTTAATTATAAATTAACGCATGAAATGTTAGAGTACAGTCTGCAGTATAGTTATACGATAGCTATTCGCCTTCTCTGTTTGTTGCAAAGAAAACGAGAGAGATGGCAATATACAGATGAAAAGGCAGTGTAGATTGCTACGAAAGCTTCAATTCGCGACACAAACGAGACAAACCTTTAAGTTAGATATTATTTATTCCATACCAGTTAAAAATTTAGAGTACAGCGCCCAGCCCCTACTATTGTAACAACTCGAATGATACTCGCTGCGTATTCACAAAATTCACCATATGCAAATTATACATTTTGCTCGTAAACTAGTATATTTTCATGTTCAATTCATTACACAATTTTTATTAAATTACCTATTGCAAAGGGAAATAACCGAATAGCTATTTATGAAGTTTTATGTAAGTTCGAGATCGAGTTAATAACAAATGGTACCGGCCGGCATCTCGTAGGTGTACAAATGACATTTCTATAGTGCTGCCAGTATCATAAGGGTAGCTCAGATTTCGGGAAAACTGTAAATAATAGTGATTTTTAAGATAAATTTTGTGTATTTTGTATATCAAGTATTTGTTTTATATAAACCTATATGAAATAATAATCTACAGTTATTTAAGTTATTAACAAATAAGTTGAAGTATTAACAAGCTTAAAACATATTATCTAGTCGTTTGACAACTTTATAATTCTGGGATAGAATAATAGTTATTGCAAGCATTTTATTATTAGAATGTAAATTTCGTTACTTCAGGTCTAGTAGTTTTTGAATTTATTCGGTACATACACAAATGCAATATCTCTTTATAATATTAATTGTGCATAATCGTATGAAGTTTTTCTCACCCTTTAAATACTGCATTGTGTTGTCAAGATATTAACAATCAATTGTCGCTCACACAGTCAGGAAGATGTTAGCATTTAATTAAATTACAGGCTAAATTCCCACGCTGGCAACACTCAGGAAATGCGCCATTCCGCGCCGCGACAGCGTTGCTGCGGCCGTGTTTATGCCCGCGCCGAATACGTTATTTAATAAATAAACAGTGAAAAAATAAAAGCTTTTGTAACTCGTTTGCTTAACCGTTGCAATTATACAGTGATTTAAGCGATACTTGAGTTATTAAATTGTGTTGATTTAACTAATATCAAGCGAAAAGTGATGTTAAATTAGTTTTTGTTGTGGTAATTTAAAAGTTTTGACACCAATTAAGCGGAATTGTACTTTGTTTTTTTATTTTGTTGAATAGTTTATTAAACATCAAAGCTTTTTAAAGCTCTCTTCGTGGCCGGTTTGTGTGATATAAAAAATATAATTCCGTACAGAGATGGGCATATGTTGCTACGCAGTTATATTTGCATCTGGACAAAAGTGATTCTTTAAATAACGTTTTATTTCACAAAAAAGCTCGTTACGTGGCATAAATTATAGCGTAGATTGAATACTTGTATATCAATTAAACTTTTTCTTATAATAGTATATCAAATTAAATTAATATATAACTGTCGTTAAATGATAATTCATTTTACAAATGCAATTAAGTATACAAGCCTATAGAAGGTTGAAACTCGACATTGGAATTGTATAAACCGATCTATTAAATAAAAATCAGCTGTTATAACGGTTAACGGTTAAATAATGTGTTATATTATGCCCATCTCTTATAACGGTATATTTGGTGACCTACTTATGCAGTGCAGTGTGACGTCACAGAATTTGCCGGAATTTCTCTGCCCTTTTCACCCCCAACGATAGCACTTCTCGTTTTCGAGTGTTTGTTTTTTTTAATGCTAGTGAAAGGTAATGTGTGTGAATATTATAATTTAAACGATATTGTTTATGGTTTTTTTTTAATCTTTACGTAATTTGGCGGTAAAAATCTTAAATTTTTCAAGTTGATTTAAAATTGTAATTACAGTTTAGGTTTTTAAATCATTAATAACGTCCATAAATTGGATATTAATTAAATGGAATAATAAAAGAGTTGATTCGAAGAAGAAAATTTAAATAAAGCAATCTAAAAAAACATAAAAGTTTAATAATACATAATTGCATAAAAAATACAGAATTATCAGTTTTAAATGGAAAGTTTTATTTTAATGTAGAGAAAATTATATTTACATTTCTACAAATATAAGAGGATTTATTTATGACAATAAAACTTGGTAACTAACTACTTGACCAATAATCTAATTTCTCTCACCATTAGAAAGTTATTTTTTTATATAACTATGAAAAAATGTTAACATATAAAATCTCTGCAAAACTCGGATGAAAATAAAAATACTTAGACCAAATACATCTTATTTTAACCAAGGAAATGAGTGGAAAGATATGTATTTTGTATTTTGAATAGTCGAAACTCTTATTAATTTTTGAAACTGCACCGAGTTATTCTTTGGAATAGTTCCAATGTGCAAGTTTTATTAGCATTTATAAAACCAGTATGGCTCATTGATTATATTTGTATTGGCATTGTAGTTTGAGTTCGTTTCTGATAAACAAAATTACTTTAGAGAAGCTAACTGTTAAATTCTATTGTCTTTGCACCAGCGGATCGGGATAATATTCTTCCATACATGTCTATCAGCTCCCTAAGTCATATCTTCTTTTAGTCCATGTGCCGTTGCACTTGTAATATAATGTCTCTGGTGGTAGACAGCAACAACATCAGTTGCACAATGGGCCCACTGCAATACCACAACCACTCAGAAGACATGCCTCAAGTGGAAGTTATTCCGACTAGTCTGAGGAATGTGCATTCCGGAGGCCTAATTTTACTCCTTTCCCTTCCCATCTTTTTCTAATAAGTAAATTATGGGTATGGGAAGTAGATCTGATAAAGGAATAGGAAGAGGAAATATCCTATTTCTCAGGCTATTAAAGATACGCAATGCATCTGCAATTGCAGATGTCTATAGCCAGCAGTCGCTTTGCTATTTCGGCGAATACAGGTAGCCTCGTTTGCATGTTTCCCATCTTATGATGTAAAAATATATAATGAGGTATATGTTTTTATACAAGTGTTTTGACAGTGTAAACTCACTGTTATAGGCTATGTCTTATCTCCCAATTATATGTATGAATATTAATGTTTACCATTCAGCCTTCATAGACCTGTCTGGGTTTTAACAATGTATACTGTTAGGATATTTACATCTAACGTTATATCGTAGTCGTATCGTGTCCGTTACAAAGTCGTTTAATACTAGCACTTTTTTCAGATAACATTAGCTACTATTTATAACAATTTTTCGGTTCTGAGCGGCCACTCTGGGTGCTACTGCCTGTTCTAAGTCTATAAGGCCTCAGTCAACACGCCTCCACTGCTCTAAGCGTGCACTTACGAACTATTGTTAGATCCATCGCCATGTTTTCCTAACTACATAAGAAACCTCCATACCTTTATTTGCGACCGAGAAAAATATCGCAGTCCTTAGACCCTCACTTATCCATATTCGACTGTAATAAAATAAAACATAAATAGATCTTACTAATATTATAAATGCGAATGTTTGGATGGATGTATGTTTCGGTTACATTGACCTCGCTGAAATTTGTCATAAATGTTTTATAAATATAACAGCGTACTGGCATGAAATAAAAACTCGTTACCGTTACGTTGTCGTGTAAATTAAATGGTTTATGACGTCATCATACCATACAATGATTGTAATGGCGCATTCTGTATTGCATTCAATGCGTTGACCATTTTAGTGATGTACATATTGATTCCCAAAACAGATTGTCAACTGTTATGATACGGTATCTTCAGTGATATTATAAACTAACTGTCGTCTGTGACTCCGTAAGCGCGGTATTAAAAAAAACTTTATAGTCTATGTGTTCTTCCAGACTATGTTCTACATCTATGACAAATTTCACCTAGATCCTTTTATTCGTTCTGGACATACCTTCTAACAAACATCCATCCATACATCTAAATATTCGCATTTATAATATTAGTAAGATGTTAATAATTGGCGCTAGTAAGTCCATGTCGGCTGCGCTACTGTCTTACTGTACTGGCATAATATAAAACAAGCATTACTCTATTTTTAGGGTTCCGTATTTTATTATTAGTTAAGTAAAATAATATTGTAAAATTCGGGTTATTTATGAAAAAGGAACTTTGACTTTAGAATGTTTTATATTGTTATCTTGCGACATGCATTGTAATCAGTCATTAACTGACAAATTGCCTAGGTAAATTACAAACGGACGACATTAACAATCTGTCTGTGACGTAATCAATATAACGCGTATTGATTCGTTCAAATATAACATATAAGCATTGTTTGTCCGTTTGATAATCGATAAAATGAATACTCGTTGATAATAACGATGTTGGATGGATGGATTCTTTATAAAACATTACCCTACTGTTAGTCGTCCAATGAATACAACAATGGACAGTAATACAACTAAATTCTGATCACATGTTAAGCAGTTGACATCCAATCTGCAGGTCATGTATGAATGTGTTACATTTACATATGTACATTTATCCTATGTTGTTACGGTGAAGGAAAACATCGTGATGCTGCACATATCTGACAAACTCAAACATATGTGTCAAGTCTTGCACTGGGTCAGCATTCACTATCACATACTCTCACTTAGGGTACACTCTGAGACCCATAGAGGGAACCTATTTGTATGTCAACTTAATTGTGGCCTTCTGCAGCCAAATCTTTTATACCACTTCCTTATAAGGAAAGGATGGGTAGGGGAAGTAAGGGGAAACATTCTGTTTCTGTACGTCCCTTGCGTAGATTAAAGGTAGGCAACGCATCTGCAATTGCGTATGTCTATGGGCAACGGTCGTTTCGACATTTCGGCGTATTCAAATGGTTGCTTGCTCTTGACGAGGTGTATCTGGTTTCTTGGTCAGTTTTTATCTAAGGTTAAACGCGAAGTTCTACAAAAGTTAGATTTCAGCTTAAAATCTTACACTTGACCTTTCTCAGTTTGGTCGATACTGCGACTCCCTAATACCTAGATCTAGTGCATACGAATCTAGACCTAACCGCTTAGATCTTAGAAGCGAGTTACTATGAGCTAGTAAAAGTATTTGATATACTAAATTCGACTTTATAACAAGGCACTAAGAATGTTATGAAAGATGGCTTAGAGAAAGTTGCGTCATATGAAATTTTGGTTAGATTCAACACGATTTTGGACTTTATTTTTAAAGGAATAAAGTTGGAATTGGTTTTCTAATACTCCTATGTATGTATAGGGTCTAGAATCTAGATAATACCTAGGCTTTGTGGCTGAATGTCGGAATAATCTTTTGAATGTAACTCCTTTTGATTGCTGTACGCCTGGTAATTCTGGAACCTTTGTTTTTTAAAACCTTGCCGTTTCTTTTAAAATTTTCATAGACTTTTTTTCGTAGACTTATTGTACTTACAAATATATACTTACCGTGGGTTTCTGAGACCACGAAATATTGTTATGTCTTATCACAAGTTAATAATAACAGAGATTTTCTTTAGAAACTCACAGTTAGTTTCTTTACCACGATCACTGGCAATTTTATTTGTATTATTGTAAAATTAAACATTAAAAAAAAAGGTTTTAACAGACAGACGGACGGACAACAAATTGATCCTATAAGGGTTCCGTTATTTTCCTTCCGAGATACGGAACCCTAAATATGTATCTAACAGCGTATTGTTTTTGCGTAAAACATTTGAAAACATACAATCATCAGCTCACTACATGTAACCACCGAGGGGCTCGAAGCCTACCCTAAATTAAGGGTGACTAGGCCATAGAAAACATACAAACCTGAGTTTTATACAAATATTTGGACGTGACGTGTAAGTTAATGTCCAAGATATGAAATATTATTTGAATGAATAGCACAAATGTCAATAAAATTAAGTATCTTATTCGCGTAAATAAACTTGATCTAAAAACTGCAAGATTAGTAGTTTTTTAACAAAAAAATAATATATTCTAAACTCGGACATTCTAATCTGATTGTATGAATGTATGGATGTTTGTTAGAAGGTCAAAAAGGCTGCACAGATCTTGTTGAAATTTGATATAGATTTATAACACAGTCAGGAAGAACACATAGACTACTAATTAAGTTTTTTTTATTGGTACTGCGTCGACTTGCAATCTGCAGGTCTTGAGTTCGAATCCCGCCATGTACCAATGTGTTTTTCTATTTCCGATTTACATATGTACATTTATCTGACGTTCTTACGGTGAAGGAAAACATCGTGATGCAACCTGCACATATCTGAGAAGAAATTCAAAGATATGTGTGAAGTCAACCCGCACTTGGCCAGCGTGGTTGAGTATGGCCTAATCACCCTTAATTTAGGGTAGGCTCCGAGCCCGTCGGTGGGGACGTATAGTGAGCTGATGATGATGATTGATGCTGCGTAACATTTTCGTTAGCATAAATCTAATAGTAAATTAAAAAAAAAAACATGTATTAACAACATTAAAGATTTGTCGATGTTTCTGAACCCTACCAATGGTCATTAAGAGTCCTCTGCCGTGGTACAAGTGTAACGGGGGAGGGGAGGGGGGTTGAGGTAAAGTAATTACAAAAAATAACACGGCAATTAAAATCGAGGCTGTTCGTGTGGCCGGTACTGTAGGCGTTACTTTGCCACTCTCCTTTGATGTTAGCTCTAATAGACTAATGTGACTATGATGAAGCAGGATTTTTTTTATTATTAAAATATCTGTTTCCGTGCGGCTTCATCAGTATGAAAATCAATTAATTTTTCTTAACAAGAAAAACTTTGTTTTGTTTTTTTTATATTATGAAGAAACTGTCATTTGCAAATGTCAAAATTCAAATGACGAAAGCATTCGCCGTTGGCTGAGAATTACCGTATCCATGGCAACCATTCATCTTTGCTGTTATTGGTCCCTTTTGGTACCTATTGGAACTTTTGTCCCTTTCTCCCAAAGTTTAATAACGTGAAAATAAAGCATGTTATAAGGCTTTTTAATCATGACGCAGTTGCGGCGATCGCATGCGAAAAGATTTAACTATGAATAAAATTGGGACACAAATTAGGACAGATGGTAATTGGTGACCCTAATAAATTAGTAAAGTGGTAACTGATTGTATAAAAACTCGTGAAGGTCGTAAAGGTGTTAATTTACATTACCTAATGGATTGCTTGATAGACTTATAGGGTGAACATATATTACTAGTATTCAGAACAAGACTACAGTAGTAATTAGCACTTAATAATGTCACTAGCTGTCAAAAATAATGAGTAGTCTATGTGTTCTTCTACACTATGTTTTACATCTATTCCTTTCAGCGAGATTCATGCAGCCGTTCTGGAGATACTTTCTAACAAACATCCATCCATCCATTTGCATTTATAATATTAGTAAGATAAATTAATAATGTCGTCAAGCGTTAGTTTGTTCATAATTATTAAAAATAATAGAGAAGTAAATATAATTATAAAAAATCCTAAAATGATGCCATAAAATTAAAAAAAAAATTGTGACTAAGATTTTACGATATGTTCAATGTAAAGAAAATTTAGCACAGATTTTATTAATTAACATTATATTAATATCTCCAATTATTTACAACATCTAAATAATAATTCCTTGTGTCGAATATTTTCGAGACTTGTCCATTCTTTAGTAATAATCCTTGTCACCCTATAGAGTCAGCTGGGGCCTAATGGCTGCAGCCTTGCGGCTAACGAGACGTCTGACTCGTCTGGAACTTAGAGTTCCTAACAGTTTCAGAATTTTCCCTGAAAATGGATCGTCGATATAATGTCTGGTTTACATCATTCCAGTACAGTAGGACAGTAGCACTCAAAATAAACGCTTGCATAATGTAAACACTAATTGGCGACAATAGATACGGGCCATGTCAGTCAGCGCACCTGACTTACTTCTTTAAATTTTATTATTGACGTGTTTAGCTTTGCAATTATTGAAAAAATATTTTGTATTAAAAGCTGTTGTCATCAGTTATTTTTAATAAATAGTTGACGATAGTATTTTTACCAATACATGTTTAATATAGTCAAACCTGGAGTAGCGAGAGTTCAAAGAACTACGATGTTTTTCTAGCTTATAGAAGAATCTCTCTAACACGAATTTCTCGCTTATAGAGGTCGTCCTTCAGGAACCTAGAATAAGTCTTGCTTATAAGGGTTCCCTAATCCTGATCAACTCACTGTGTTGCATATATTTTAAGAATGCTTAATAAAATAGTTTTTTTTTCTTATAATAAAACGGTTCTCTAGATTTTACACGTAACCAATAAGTACGACGGGTCAATAAAAATGCTATATAAAAGTAAACGCGCAAGAGGCGATCACGTAGGTATCGTCGCAAACAAGACACCCCTTGGGGGTGGGGGGTGCGACCCCCTCCGCGCATACAAGGTCAAGGTCAAACCCCCCCAGCGCTCGATTGGTCGCGATTTGCGAAAGTCGTAAGATATAAAAGAGTGTAGTTTGATCACGAAATGTTTGTCTACCCTCTTTTATTATATAGGCGCGTGTAACAACGTTTCATAATTAAATAGTATTTGAATTATAGTAAATCTTGAATGTTGAATTTTGGCCTGTCTATATATTTAAAACTCTATATTATACGTAGACTAATGAATATATAGACGTGCATTGTCTCTTTTGCTTCTATTAAAAATTAATGTATAGACAGAATATATAAATATTCTGTCTATAGACTTATAACTCTTCATTCGATAATGTAGAGTTATAAACTTTTAGACACGTTATCGCTCTCATTTCTAAATTGTACCACGCAATCATTATGATTGGCACGTGCAACCCCGTCGGCAAGTTTCAGGGGGTGGGTAATAGTGGTAGGGGGTGGGGGGTTGTCTTACGACACCATTCACGAGTTAATTATAGAAGCATTTTTGTTATGATTCTGTTATGTTTGGAAATTAACTTTGTGTTTCGTTGACCTTGAACTACTTAAGTTTAAAACGTAATTGTTTTAACATCAATGAATCGTTTTTATTATTTTGTTAAACACCTTAATTTAATTTAAAATTATAGTTTGGCAAATACATAAATAACAACATTAAATTATAATATTCACACTAAACTAGAAAAAAAAATGTGCAAAAAATAACCGAAAATCCAAGATGGCGGGTACTAGAACACAATCCAGTGAGCCGCCGCGCTCCACCGCGTACTACTACGCAGATCTAGAACGAATCAAGAAGAAGAACGAAGAAATCAACCATCCCATAGAAGAGAGTGATTATGTGGAGACAACAGAAGTTGTTAACGATGAACCTGTGGCTGAAGTACCACCATTACGTGACAGAAGATACCAAGACAGGAAAATGGAAGAGAGGAAACTGGAAGAGACATATTCAACAGCTGGTACATTTCCTATGCCAGAACCTAAGGAAAAGGAACCACTTCTAGCTGAATTGGAAGTAGTCGGTCGACTTCCTTTAACTCAACTGGATTCATCCTCTGGAGTGAGAAGGAGTAGGAGTTGGTACTTATGTTGTCCTAATGTTGGAGACGAGGAGATTTCGAGGGAGTCTTCTTGGAGATATTCTAGTTTGCGTCCTGTTACAGCTCCCCCTATAGCCGGACAGAATGGCTTGCATTTGGTACGTTTTTGATTGCGTTTCAGTACTGATAAATTTGGCTAACATTTTTTTTTTACTTATTACGAACTTTAAATCGGTTAAGTTTAATTGGGTTTAACGTTGGATTTTGAGACTGAAATCTCTGTATAAAACATATCTTTGACAAAATAGAGATATCAATATGTTTTAATCTGAGATATTTTGTCTCAGAAACCCACGGTTAAGTTAATTAAAATTATTTTGGATAATTCTATTGTTTATTACTAAGATTTTTATAATTCCATGCAGACGATGTCGCGGGTAGCGCTAGTATCAAAACATAGACAAATCTCAACCTCTTTGAAACATAACAATATTTTGTTGACGCGCATGTAAGTTTGTTTTTTATACGTTGTCTAACATGTTTCGGCAATGAAAACTCTACGACACATGTCAGTTTGTCATGTTGGTTGTATCGACAGAAATAGATTATATGTGTCTGTCGACACTAGTCACATGTCTGTTTAGTAAGAGATTTTATTATATAACAAGGAGACTTTGGATGCTCGATTTTTTATCTATGACAATTTACGACTGAAATAATACGCTAATACTTAGGGTGATTTAAATTCGTAGTTAGAAACTGATTTTCCGTGTGTTTTTGATATTAAAATCTTCTTATAAAACATCCCTGTCTTTCATATTTGTTTTAAATTTGGGTCTCAAAAGTCCGCGGTTCGTGATCTGAACAATTCTTATTTTAAAATAACAATACAGGGTGTTCATTTTAATAGTAATTATTTGTGGTATTGATTATTGTTAGACAATAGGAAACGGCCACAAACCTCTACAATAATTGTAGGTATACAGGGTGTTTACTATGGCTTCCAATAAACGTATACAACACAGTACACTGGCGGTGAAAAACACGACGACCACTGACCGAAGAGGTGTCAAGCCGTAGTTTACTATGCCACCGGTATATTGTTAAAAGTCGCTCGTTTGTAAATTACCTACATTTCAAATTTTACTTCTCACTTAATATTATAAATGTGAATGTTTGGATGGATGGATGATTATTAGAATAATTTCAAAACAGCTGCGTAGATCTTGATGAAATTTGACATAGATGTAGAACATAGTCTGGATGAACACATAGTCATACTAATTAAGTTAAATTCCGGGCGTACGCAGTCACGGGCGACCGCTAGTAATATAATGATAGCGTTGTATGGAAGTAACAAGTAGATGAATCGCTATAACATGTCTATATTACTTCCAGATAGCAACACAAAGCAGTGGTGCAGACGACATAATAACTCTGCGCAACGAAAGAGATGCACTCGCCCGAGCCCTCGCGGCGGAGAAGCAACGTGCGGCAAATGAAGCCAGAGCTCATGATGCGAGGCTCGCGGAGCTGCACGGAGTCATAGCAGAGCTAGTGAGACGCCGGGCTCAGGATAAGTGCGCGAGGGCAATACCAGAAGAAGAGCAAGAGGTGTCAGGTGTGTGATTACCTTTATTACTGTGGGTTTCTGAGATCGTAATCCTCTATAACATATTGGTAACTCTGTTGTCAAATGTGATAGGGATGATGATAAGTTTTTTAAAGAGATTTTCGTATCAAAAACTAAACTATAGGTTGGTTATTGCAACAGAATTTATGGACCCCTTTGATGCTGTTGTAACCGGTGTGGAATGATTTTTTTTTTATTTAAAAGATGGCATATGACCAAACAGTCATCTGGTTTTGCCAGAATAAGCTGTCAGTAGACATCGGCAATTGCAGATGCGTTGCCTACATTTAATCGACGGAGGAGTCACCCGTCCCCTTCCCAATCTCATAAGAAAATGGAAAGGGTAGAGGATTAAAATGAGTCCTTTATATTTTCAGATGAATGTGAGTCGACGACACAACCAGCTGGTGAACTGGATAACGACGCTGACAGATCACGCACAGATCAAGTAAGTGATGTTCACAGGAACGCTATTTTGAACTAAATAAATTTAAGCTTCCATCTGTAAAAATCATGATTCTTCCATATAATTTTCTACCCCCACTTTCAACCCTTTACAACCCTTTTTTCGTGTTAAAACTAGTTTATGTCCTTCCTAAGGTTCTAGGCTATCTATGTACCAAATTTCATTTAAATTGTTTTAGTAGTTTTTGCGTTAGACATTTTTGTTGGACATTCCAGAACGATACATCATCACTAAGTCCTGCCGAACTTGGCAGTCCGCGGCAGGAGCAGGAACAGGAGCAGGAGTTGGACACAGACAGCAGCACGCAGGAGTTACCTGCCAGGTGAGATATATAGAGGTATGTTAAAACATCACAGATTTGTGCAGTCTCGTTTGCAACAAGGCAAATGTCGAAACACACAAAGAAGACTTTAGGACGCGTAAATTTTCGACTTGCTCCGCCATCTTGGAAATTGCAGCGACTTCAGCGATGGTATAAATGTCGGCGACGCAAGTTGTACGAAACTTTACATTGCTACGTAAATCGCAACAAAACTCGTAGAGTTTCGAATTTACGTTGCCTTCTACGACACATAAGCTATTTATTTATGTATAATAAGTACATATGTGTGTATTGTCGCGTATATTCTTTAGGTCAGAGCAGCAGCACGCAGAGAGCGCCCCTCCCACAGACACTGGAGACCCCAGTGTCAACTACTCTGAGCGGGACTCAGAGATTTGTCTCACCACTGCTAGGTATACCTATGTTCAAACTCCAATAGTCTAGTAATTAAGAATACGGATTACATCTTATAGTCGTGAGTTCAAAGCTTAAACTAATCTTAGCATAAACTTACATCTAATTGTTGTTTTTTTAGGCCGAAAACTCTGTATAAAACATATCTTCATCCCTGTCAAACCCTCAAATCTGAAATAGGGAAGCGTTGCCCATATACATACGCAATTGCATATGCCTTGCTTTTAATCAATGGAGGAGATGCACGGAAAGAGAATATTTTCCCTTCTCATGCACTTCCACTTCCCATCCTTTACTTATAGCAAATAGGATGGGAAGGGAAAGAGGACTAAATATGTTTTAAATGGAGATTTAGGTCTCGGAAACACTACATTAATTAGCAATAGTTATGTGAAATATTAAAAAAAAAATATTCCGTTTCTATACAAAATGGACATCAAGTTATAATATTTTATAGTGAAAATGAAGGCATTATTTGTACCCCGTCCTAAGCGGTATTTACAAACAGTTCAAAACAGTAAAAAGCGTACATCTTCCTTAAAGTCCAGCAACTCATCTGAGGTTCCCCTGGCGTTGCGTTATGGGCGTCAGATCAAATAATATTAGGCGATTCGTTTGCCCCCTTCTCCTATATATAATAAAAAATATGTATGTTTGTATGTACAGATGTTGTCAGTTCGCTCGAGGAGCACATTTGTCAGAGAGTTGTCATGTACCTGACGGTCTGCTGCCGCCATCACCAGGTACATTTATCTTATGTTATGAACTAGCTGTCGCCCGCGACTCCGTCCGCGTGGATATATAAAAGAACTAAATTAGTGTAGCCTATGTGTTCTTTCAGACAATGTTCTATACGTATGCCAAATTTAATCGAGATCCGTTCAGCCGTTCTAGAGATATCTTCAAACACCCATCCATCCATCCACATCACATCCATGTAAACAATCGCATTTATAATATTAGTAAGTTAAATATAATAAAAAGCAGCTCTTCAATGCATAAATTACCTCTAAGCTACCTCCTCACCAATTTTCAGGCATATCGGTAAAGCCGTTCTTGAGTTATAAATAGTGTAACTAACACCACTTTCTTTTATATATATAGATGCCAATGCTTAGATGTATGTTTGTCAGAAGGTATCTCCAGAACGGAATTACACGAACGGATTCGCGGGCAATAGCTTGTAGTTCATATTTTTCTTAACCGACTGACAAAAATGTCAGTTTTTTTTATTTTTTAGTTTATGACCTCTTGTTGTCTAAAATACTGAACCGATTTTGAAGATTGCGGTGTCATTTGATTGTTATACATCCCGAGAGTGTCATAGAGTGTCATTCAGTCGAGTTATTGACTTTATTAAATCAAAAATTAGTAATAACTTTTCACTTTTATATCATAAAGTAAATATTTCCTAGGTCGATGTGAATCTCGACAAGCTAAGCTCGCCTCCCGGGTTCGGTTGCGTCGCGCCACTGACTCTGACTCCACCAACCAGCTCAGTAACGACGAGGTAACATACACTCACATACAAACTATCATACAACATTTCTCACCATTATTTTGACAAACAGGTATCGAGCGACTGTCTTTGATGATGATACATTGGAAAGGTCGGAGATTTCTGCTGTGTGACATATATGATATTTCATTAACTAAGTCGGCGACTATAATCGCCAGATATCGAAGACTTATGATGCCTTGTGTGCTAGCAGTGAAAAATGCGTTGCCGACTAAAATCCTTCGGTTTCGAAGTATCGAAGATTTAAGTTGCCTTCGGATAGAAGGGATCTATTTTGGTTGGCGAATGAAACCGAGTATCGAGTACTTGCGATTCCTTGTGTATTAGGGTTGAAAAATACATTGTTCACTAGAATCGTCGGATATAGTGTTTATTTGGTTGGCGACTAAAATCGCCGAGTATCGAAGATTTAAATAGCCTTGTGCAGTTGTGAGCTAACATGCAAGATGTTTCAGAGTGGTGTAGTTGGCGGAGAGTCGCGTCTCCCGGGCGCGCTGCTGCCTTGCGAAGATATTTACCACGGTACTTCAACATTTCCATACATATACACCATACAAATCTGAACAAACATTAACATTATTGACATTTTGAATGTGATTTAAAGTTGACGGTCCAAAATTTTCAAAAAATTACGACGACCTTGAACATTTATAATATTTCTTGTACTATTCCAATTAAAATCTAGACTAGCTAGGATATAGTTTACGATAATAGTTGAATTTCAGGATTCTATCGGAAACCCATACCTTTAACCATTAGACTATTGACACTTCAAATCCAAAATTTGAAATATATTGCCTTCTCTCTCACTGTTAAATAAAAAAGCGAGATACAAATATCATTAGTAGAGAGGTTGTGCGACAGAGATAGAGTTATGTGAGTGTGTATGCGTGTGACAGAGGAGGCGAGTGTTGCGGGTGAGGTGGGTGCGGTGGGGGCGGCGGCGTGGCGCGCGCGATGTCTGCGGCTGCAGGCTGACTGCCGCGTACTCGACTGTGCACTCGCACGAGCACTCGACACCGCGCACAGGTACCGACACACGACACACATCCTCCTCTTTGTTAAGTGCTCGTCGTAGTTACTCCATCACTATCATTAGTTACACTTTCCACCGCTAATAATAACTATCAGCGCAAAAATAGCGAAAAATAAATATAAACAAAATGTTACATCTTACAGCCTGTCCACCTCTTTCAGTGACGGAGATGTGTTGTATTTCTTTTGTGCCGCCCTCTCGTTCTTTTAACATAGTCAAGGTCAGGGACCTGGGGCGCGGGATATTCTTTTTTTTTAAATATTAGCAGATTTTTAGTAAATTTACTAATATTTCTTTAACCATTTCAACTAAGCTCTAGACTTGTGCTAGGATATGTTTTACGATAATAGTCGAATGTCAGGATTCGAACCCTCGACCTTGTGATCGGAAATCCGTACCCTTAACTATTAGGCTATTGACGCTCTTTATTTATAAAATTTAAAAAAACAATTTAAAACTTAGACTTATATATCACATTCGTTTTTAAAACTTAATTTGCTATAATATAATATAAAATCAATTATAATATTATAATTTATATATCTATATACAGTTTAAAAACATTAAAAATACTAAATTTAGTATGTAACATCTGTGTCAGGTTGTCGTGCGCGTGCGCAGCTCAGGAGTCCTCCATGGTGGCGCTCTGCAGCGCGCTCAGAGCTGCTGACCGCGCCCTCGAGACATACGACGTGCTCCTCGCCCTCGCCGAAACACAACCTCCCCACCCTCACCCCCACCCCCACCCCACTCGGCACGAGGTATCTACACAACCACACCCCCCACCCCCCACACCACATGTACTACCAAATGAACAAGCAGTCACTTGAGTGCGCTCAAATTTCAAAGCGACCGCTGCCCATAAAATAATCCACAAAAAAGGGAACAGAAATATTTCCCCTTCCTAGCCGTCCTCTCCTCCGACGACCAACTTTTGCATGCTTTCTTCATGAGAAAAGAATCTTAGATCCCTTGATTTTTATAATAAAAATGATCTTGATTGCCGATTTATATTTTACTTCAAATTCAGATCTGAATGTGTGTATGTGTGTGTGAGAGCAGAGGGAGGCTGCGGAGACAGTGGCGCGCAGACTGCTCGCGCGGCTGGAGGCGGCGCCAGCACTCGGCGAGCCTCTCCTCTCGCCCGGACCCTGGCTCTCCCCGCACCACCACCACCATCATCACCATCACCTCCACACACCGTCAGTATACCTACACCACTTCACTAGTACTCTATGACTTTCAGTAGGATCCATGCAGCACTTCCAGATATATATTCTACAGACAAAAATCTTTTTATTTCTGTCATTATCTTTAACATTATAAAGATATCAATATATTTTAAACAAGAGTCTGAGTCTCAGAAACCTACATTAAATGTCAACTTTACTTAATAAAGAAGAAAAGACAGATATAGAAGACGAGAGAAGGAAATATAGCATGTATTGTGTTTAGTAGTGATGAAGAGGGCGAGGGGGAGGATGTGGGCGGGGCGAGCGCGGGGGCGTGGTCAGCGGAGCAGGAGGCGCGGCTGCGGCAACACGCGGCGCGACTCAAGACTGACACTGTGGCGCTGCGAGCTCTCCCCACACCGCCACAACTCTTCACATATCATACCGGTACTATACACAAACATATCTCTGTTGATGACATCACTATGACACTCTTTGGAAGTGTGCCAATAGAGTGACACCACATTTGTCATAATGTGTGCAGATGACGAGGAGGGGTTATCAAAGTCAGGTGTCAGTATGGCGGAGATGGAAGCAGCTGTCATGATGCAGGTAACACTATTAAATAAAGATATCCTTTCTCTGTGCGTCTCCTACTCTGTCGCTTCAAGGAACGGAACACATCTACAACTGTATATAGAATTAATGTCTCATTGTGTGTGCAGGAGCTGCTGTCGGTGCAGGAGACGCGCGCGGCGGAGCGTGCGGCCGCGCTGCGCACCGACACCACGGTATGCTCTCACACATTCTACTATTTTCTACCGACTCCTACCACTGCAGCAAATTATACTGCTTTCTGCTAACTGTAATGAAGTTCTAAAGAAGTTATTGTCAGAGCTAAGTAAAGTCTGAACTTCCAGCAGAGTGGTTCGTGTCGCAGCAGGAGAAGAAAGGAGAGAGAGAGACACTGGCTCGACACGCGCGCTTCCGAGACAGATCTCTGAACATATAGGAAGGGGAGGGGACACGTACCGTGCACTGTGTCCTCTCCCCTGCGCTGAAGTAACGCATGCGGTTCTCCTGATGTTGCTGACTTATTCATTAAGAAACAATTCAGTCAAATAGATGATTTGAGATGTAAATGATAGTTGGAGATGACGTCATATGTACAAGTGTAGTATATAACGTGCTATGTAAATGTGCGCGCGTCTCGCTCAGCTGGGGGCGGGGCATCGCATGGGGGCGTGGTCACTACGTACTCGAAGTAAACTCACACCTTTTAATTTTTATTAAAATACTGTTAGTTTATGAAAATATTTATAATACTTGTTAATGTTTTCTTGTATATAAAATAGTTCGACCTGTAATTGTATCTACAAAAAATATTAATTTAAAAATCTATGAAATTAGATTTGTTCGTTAATAATTATGTATAAAAATATATAATAATGTCTTCCCTTTAAATAAATGTCGCTTTCGAGTTTATCCCAGTTAGAAATGTATCGTGTGGGCGTGTCAGTGCGTGGCCCCGCCCCCCCGCGGCGCACACAGTTGGTGCTAGGCGCTATGTTGACTGGAATCAATTATAATATTATATTGTAATACTGACTTTCATTTCTCTACTAAAGTTAAAATTCCCATATTACTTGTAATTTCCATATAAATAAATATACAAATATAGAAAAAAAAGTTTCTTGACAGACAGACAGACGGACAACAAAGTAATCCTATACAGTTCCGTTTTATTCCTATGAGGTACGGAACCATAAAAATGTCTGAATACACCACAAAGTGGAACAACCTCGGGAACGAGCGAACCATTCACAAAGAAAAAAATCAAATGATTGAATACTAGCTGTCGCCCGCGACTCTGTCCGCATAATGTGTTAAATTAAAAAGGTCACATATGTTAGGTATATAATATAAATGAAAGTGATATATTTAGAATAAATATTTAATATTATATATAATATTGTTCAACAACCGTCGGCCGAACAACTGAACACATGAACATGGCGCGACACAACATCACTCACAGTCACAACACAACTGGGGGCGCGACTTTTATTAACCAATTGTGTTTTTAATCGAATTTTAATACATTTAAAGAAATATTTCAACATAAAAAAAGTTATATAAATTATTTAATTTCATGTTCTTTTTATTACATTTGTCAAATATTATTATGGACCTCTGAAAATACGCAGATCTTTGTTACATCATGAGATGACCTTGAATGTGACATTTGAGTAGTGTCATAATGACACGACATTACGAGACAAATGTGACAAAGTTTGAATTAAATAAAAGATAATTTAAAAGAATAAAATACACTCGATTTAGATTAATTACCTCATATTAAGACAAAAGCAACGTATTTTAACATTTTTATCTTGAAACAAAGACATTTTATTGATTGAAGAAACAGAACAGAATACAAAATTAACAAAACTGTTTGTTATTAAAATTGTTTTAATAAAATCAGAGATCTGTTTATGTTTAAATGTAAAACAAAAATGTATATTTTAAAATAGAATTGTCGTGAAGGCGATGGTCGGCCGACAACTTACTTACTTATACTTAACTTTTATAACTTAACTAAGTGACATGTGACACAACTTTGTTATATCTCGTATCACACAAGGTACAAGAATCCTGGTGTTTTTTTATTATTTGAATTAAAAATAATTATTTATAATAATTTTAATACTTTAGTAAAATTAGAAACCAAAATACAAAAAAAAATCGGTGATTACGTTTGAATTGACCGATTACATTGAAGTCAATAATAAACAATTTTCCTTTTTTTCTTCTTCGTATTCATCATTACTGAAGGTCGTGCTTGTCCTGGTACGCTTCAATGTCCATGTCGACCAGCTGCCTCCATACCGTCATGTCTTCAGCTTGTCTCAGGGCAGTCGTGATATTAAGTGGTGATTGTAATTTAAATATATCAGTGTATTTGTGTATATATAAACACAAGAGAGATATAACAAAGTTGTCACATATAAATATAATACAGAGAAAGCGTTCAGTCTTACCTGACCCTCACAGCGCTGCACACTCCGCTTCACACACCACTTCACACACCGCTTCACACACTGCTTGAAACACTTTTATTTACACTTATATTCATATTTATAGTATTGTTTAATTTATTTTATAAATGGCAAGATAATACATAAACATTTCAATCATATCTGAATAATAAGATATATCTATAAATGAGAAGAATATCCTGAACACTTGGATTATTGTTAATCCTGCTTGTACTGTATTGTTACAATTTAATCGTTATCATTATGTATGGCAAGATATGAAAGAGATAACACTATATGTATACACAAGTAGGAAAGAGACAAAACATTAGTATTAGTAAATAAAAACATAAGATGTTTCAAATGAAAGTAATTCCATCTACAGTCTGATGAATGTGTATTTCTGACTAATTTACATCTCTTTCCTTTCCCACATTGTTCTTATAAGTATGGGAAGGGTAGGGGAAGTGAATTTGATGGAAGAGATGCATATTATCTTTCTGTGTATCTCCTCCGTCTATTAAGATTAGGCAGCGCATCTTAATGCGTATGTGTATGGACTTGTGTATACAATGTTCGCCATTTCGGCGAATCGTATCCTCCTGTTCGACAATGTGTAGAATGCAGTGTGCGAGTGTGGCGGAGTGCGGGCGCAGGTACGTCTTATGTACAAACTCAGCGCTTTATATATATTTATATATCAATATATACATATAGCGGTCTGCGCGGGGGGCGGGGGAGGGGAGGGGGGGAATTTATCAACATAAAAAAAAACAATTTGTGCCCAAATACTTGTCTTTTGTGACGCGGAGAGGAGATCACTAGCTACTCACTTGACAGTTGCGTTTTACTTAGCTGTATTTTAAGTTACCCTTTGTGTAGTTTGAGTATTTAATCTACACTAAGGGCCATCCTTAGCGAGTATAAACATATTTGATTGTAATACTGATTCTAAGGTTCTTCTGGTTCTTCCGCAGTCGTTCATTTATTGGACTGATGTTTGTTTTCTTCCCCTTTCCACTTCTTGTCAAGGTGAATTTGGTCAAACGTTAGCTCGGCATTTTGGCGAATTTAGATTTACACTTTGGCTTTGTCTCAGTTACCAAGTAACAACTGCGCTTGCGGCAACACATAGACTTGAGGGTATTGTCTATCAACCTATCAAGTGCTGTACAGACTGAGGTGTCCTCCCCTCTCCGCGTCCCCTCCCCTGTCCCCCCCCCCTGCCCCCCAGTGACCGGTGAGATCATCTCAATGAACAAGATTTACATAGACAATGTTACAATGTGTGATGAGCTGCAGCTCGACCTCACAGCGACACGCGACACGCGACTCTATCTGCAAATTAAATAAAGTTTTATATTACATTATGAATAATAAATTAACTCAATTAGTTCAATTGAAAGCTGTGACATGAGTTTACATTGCTCAAATACTTGTGTTTAGTCCTTTCATAGAAGACATTTAAATCACAAGTAGTCAAATGTAACAGCTTTTTAAAACTAAATTAAACCTTATCTTATATATTTCAAAATAATTTTTAGATGCAATTTGAATGACAACGACATCTATCTGTCTGTCACTTATACACACAATTTACGACTGTTCAATATTTTAAACGGTTTTTGAAAACTTTAATAATTAAGAGAAAATTATATAAAAAAAACAATAAATCAATAAAAAATAAGATTTAAAAAAGTATATATGTAGTTAATATGATAGTTACCTATAGTCCCTCTCTCTGTCTCTGTCCCTGTCCCTGTCTCGCGGGCGGTAGAGGGAGTCTGTGGGCAAGGTGCGCGGCGAGGGCGTGCCGCTGCGGCTCCCGCCCACGCGCCCACACTCCGCGCCCAGCGCACCGCCCACCGCGCCCACGCCCACGCCCACACCTTGACTCGCTGCGTACATATAATTAATTATGCATCACATCTTTTTATATATTTGAAACGACCATTGTTATCGCCGGAATGGCGACTACTGCAAAAACTTACAGCAAATTTTACTCAGAAAATTCGAAACAAAGAAATTAAAAAATACATGAAAAAACTTTGAGAACTTCTTCTTAGATCAGTTTTTTAATTATTAATATAAATATCTTGGTGGTATAAAACATTGTGATGACATCTCATCATCATCAGCTGCAGCGGAGCCTGCCCTGAGTTAGTATAGTCACAGCGGGCAAATGCAAACTTACCGGAGAGTCTTGGTGGGGGTGTCAGTCTGTCGATGCGCCTGCGTGCCAGCGCCGCGCCCGGCATGCCCACGCCCACGCCCACTCCCCCCACTCCACTCATACTGCCCACGCTACCCATATTGCCCACGTTGCCCACACTACCGGCGCTCAGTGACGACGGGCTGGGTGTGGCGCGACTCCGAACACCTCCAAAGTCTGTACACAAATATTAACGCTTTACCACTTTCTCACATCAATATTAAAATGTTGATGTACAAACATTGTCACTTTTTTAAATATCAAGCTACCGTGTAAAATATCATGACCGTTACCCATAGACATCTATATTTATAAATGCGTTGTCAACCATCAATTGACAGAGGAGGGGACACATAACTCCCCTACTCTTTTGATGTAAGGTAGGAATAGCAGATATCTATGGGCAGTTTGTGTGTGTGTGGTGTGGTGGGGGTGGGGGTGGGGGTGTGTGTAGAGGGGAGCGCGCACTCACCAGGAGGCAACAGATCTGCATAATGTCTGTTGCGCGCCGCACTCGCGCCCGCAAGCGACGAGTAAGCTGGAAACAATCATACATACATACATACATACACTTTCATACATCATTACTCATATTATAAATGCAAAAGTAACTCTGTCTGTATGTCTCCATTTTACGTTAAAACTATAACACTTATTTAAATGTAATTTGGTACAAAGATAGTGTAGAGCCTGAGAAAGGACATGGGCTACTTTTTATTGCGAAAAAGGGGTTGTAAGGGTTGAAAGTGGGGTTGGAAATTTGTATTTAACAGAGTGATTTTTTTGATATAAATAAATATGACATGAAGGGTGCCAAATAACAATAGCTGTTATTAAATACAATTGAAAGACTAGTACTACTTCATGCAGAAGTCGGGGTAGGGCAGCAGAGGCAGACATAAAACATAACTGACCTCGTATAACAGAGAGTTCAATGGCGGCTCGGAGTTCCTCATCATCATTGCGAGTTCTCACACACGACAGCGCCTAAACAATACATTCTGTTATTCGCACTTTTTTATATTACTAATATTATAAATACAAATGTATGGATGTATAAAAGACATGGATCACGCTCAAAGTCATACATATAGAACACAGGCTGCTAAGTTTTATTTCCCAGTGGATGGAGTCACGGCCGACAGCTAGTATATCATAAAGTAGCAACCAAGTGAACATTTGAATTCGCCGAAATGGCGAAGCGACCGCTACCAATAGACATCTATCATTATAAAAGCGTTTAATACATGGAAGATCATACAGAAAGAGAATATTTCTCTTCCTTTGAATCCCATCCTCTGTAAAATCTACTTCTTTTTTCCATTTTTTATAAGAAAAGTGTGTGAAGAAAATTAGGATCATTGTGTAACTAGCTGTCGCCCGCGACTCCGTCTGAACAGAATTAAAAAAAGCCATATAAGTAGCTTATTTGTTCCTCCAAACTATGTTCTACATCTATGTTAAATTTATTTAAGATGTTTCATGCAGCAGTTTTGAAGATATCTTCTAACGAATATATATATATATATATAAACATTCGCGTGATGATGATGATGATACCTGATTGTTGTCTCTGTGCCGGGTGGTGTGTGCGGTGTGTGCGCTGTGTGCTGCTGCATGTGCTGCTGCGCGCTGAGCACGTGATCCTGCACATTCAAGTCATCGCTCAGTCTCACACGCAGGTGGGCGGGGCGGGGCGGGGCGGCACAACGACACGCCCACATCACCACTACACTAACCCATCTCATCATCTCGCATTATATTACTATTATATATATTATAATTTATTAACACACAATAGTTCAGTGCAGTTGGAGTTTTTACACAGACAGTACAATTGAATGAATATGTGAGTGTAACTGACCAGGTCTGGGCGTGTGTGTAGCTCCGTCTCCCAGGTCCAGCTGCAGACCTCCGCCGTACTCTGAAATATGTCAATAAATAAGTAAAAAGTCTAAATAGATAGCATTAACTGTCTGATACAGAGTTTAGACTTTGACAATATCATTTATCAACTGTCCAAGTTTTAAAACGCCATAAATATTTACTAGGTATCGCACGAAATTCCGTCCAGGCAGATTTATAAAACCCTTTATTCATAGCCTTCGTGTTGTTGCAGGCTATGTTCTACATCTGTGTCACCAAATCAAGTTCCTTGCAGCAGTTCTGGAGATATATTCTAACATACATCCATACAAACTTTCGCAGTATACATCATTATTAAGGATTAGGTAATAACAAAAGGCATACCTGTATGCCTCATATGATGTACCGGTGCTGGTGCTGGTGCCGGCGCTGGTGCGGGTGCGGGCAGTGGGGCGGGGCCGGGTGCGGGTGCGGGTGCGGAGGGCGGGGCGAGGTGTGTGGGCGGGGCGTGCGCGTTGCCGGCGTACATGTAGTCGCGCGCGGTGAGCAGGTGCGTGTTGGCGTTGGGCGCCATCGCCACATCCGGCACGCACGCAGAGAGACGTCCGCGCACTGATCTGTACATACATACATACATACGTTATAATTAAAAAGTGGTAGAAAGCAACAACATCTGTACCACGACCACAAAGAAGAGATACCTCAAATGACAACACATTTTACTCCTCTATCCCTACCTACCCTTTTCTTATAAAAAAAAGGATAGGAGGAGGAGGAGGAAAGGGGATTTGATGGAAGGGTCGAATATAGCAGTCATTTCGCCATTTCGGCGAATTCAAGACCAAAAAACCGAGTTAACACAAAAAAATCCGATTGACTTGGGTAGAAACTGTAATTACTATAAATGACAAAAAATGTATATTACAGTATACAGACAGCCGGACAGACAGACAGACATACCTGTGTGTGTCTGGCCGCGGCGGCAGTTCTCGTCTGCAAGTGCTGGACTCGCGCTCTGAAAATCACGAACAAAATACTTCTCTAAGTAAAAATGCACACATGGTCCTTCGAGTCGGGATAAAGAAAGGGAAAACATGTTACCCGCTTGCAGGAAGACAGCAGCAGCGCGCGAGTTGCCCGACCTCAGGGACCCTGAGCCCGACCTGATACAAATTGCACGCTTTGTAATATATCACTTCAAATTTACCTTTTTTCACTTTAATAATAGATATTGTAGGTGGCGCTGCGATCGATTTCATTTTTAACACATTAAAACACCAATTTCATACATTAACAGGCTTTATAAAGATAAAATAACATTTTTACTCATTAATTTAATCTACTTTTCTAATAGGAACATTATATTTACTTAAATAAAAATAAAAAATCATATAAAAGTTGTATAACCTGCAGCAATCATCCACATCAGGCAGGTCCGGCACGTCAGGCAGGCGGGGCGGGGCTNNNGCTTGTCGCGGCCACGCCCCCGCCTCAGAGCCGCACGCCCACTCCTCCTCCACACACAAACTGCTGCCTCCACACTCCCTGGTACACAAATATTCCTTTAAATTTATTACCCAACTTTTTATGGATGAAAACACATACTGTGTGATTCCGAAACCAAAATCTCCGTTTAAAACATTAAAGATGAAAGAGAGGGATGACGATATATTTTATACAAATACATTGGTCTCAGAAACCCGAGGTTATATGATTAATATATATTTTATAATAAAGCATTACCGTCTAACACGATAACATAAGGGAGAGAATGAGACCGCGTAACAAAGAGAGAGCGTCAGAGAGTAAAAAACTTTGATATCTAACAAAAAAACATAATTTGATGACGTCATAGCCAGAGTTCAATTATTAAAAAAATATTTATAAATAGTCAACAATGAATGTAATGTGTACATACTTGTCGGAGTTGTCGGAGTTGTCGTCGAGGTCAGTGAGGAGATCTGCGCACGTGTCCGGCAAAGACATCTCGCGCACAGCACGCAGCGCTATCTGTTGTATCACAGCTTTCTTATATCTCATATATTTATTATTTCTTGATATGTATAGATATATATAGATGTTGTGATGTGATATGGTTACCTGGTGATGGACCTGCTTGGTGTCGGTGGCGTGCAGCAGCAGCGCGCGCTGTGCGGGGGGCGCGGCACGCAGCTCGCGCACGCGCGCCCGCAGCGCTGCCAACACGCGCGGTGACACGCACGCCGCCTCCGCCCCGCCCACACCTCCGCCGGCCCCGCCCACACCGCCGCTCGCAGAACTGGCGCCGCTGCGTGCTGCCGCAACCTGCAAGCACAAATTAGAAGATATCTCCAAAACTGATCTTGATTAAATTTGTCATCGATGTAGAACATAGTCTGTACGAATCACATAAACTACTTATTAAGTTTTTTTTATTTAGCCCGAACGGAGTTAAAGGTTACAGCTTTTTAACATATAACTTTGTCCATTCCGAAGACCTAATTTTAGTTTTCTTTCCTTTGTTATTCCTTTCTTATAAAGTTAGGTAAAGTAAATTTGATGGAGGACAGGACAGGTAAGGGGAAATATTTTATTTCAGTGCGTTTTCTCCTTCGATGAAAGGTAGGCAGCACATATGAATATGTACGTACCATGTATAGTGTGTCGGGTATGCGGTGCAGGAAGCGCGCGCGCCGCACTCGCGACACCTCCGCCTCCGGCACCGCCTGGTCCTCCAGCAGCGCCTGCTCATGTCATCTTTGTTCAGTACATTATAAAGGTACACAGTTTCAAGGTCAAACGTTAAGATATTTGAAAAACACTATACTCTTTATCTTTATGATTTACTTATTAATAAATGTGAAAGTTTATATATATGTATGTATGTGAGAAGATATATCCTGTGCTGGTGCATGAGGTGCACGAGGTGCATGAGGTGCATGAGGTGCATGGATAGTCCAGATAGTGTTGTGTAAGAGAGATGTATGCGCTGCGCTAACTTTAATTTCATCAAGGTAAGGTATGAAGCAGCGCGGCGGTCTGCTCGCGCCGCGGCCGAGCCACGCCTCCGCCCCGCCCCCTCCCTCCACCATCTGCGCCGGGGGCTGCGCCACAGCGCCGCGCCGCACCGCCTGCATTTTGTATCTCAATATTAACAATACTACTTTACAGTTATTGCTATACTGATAAAGTGTTCTTATAAAATTTCCCATATAAAATATCTTCGAGCATCAGTAACTCAGTTGAAAACTTGATTTGTAATCTGCATATCCTGTGTACGTTGAAGGAGAACATCGTGATGCTGGAGATATGCGAGGTGGAGGTTGTGATGGTGGTGGTGACCTGGTGCAGCAGGTCGCAGTCCGGGGGCAGATGCTCGAGGCGCACGAGGGGGAGGAGCGCGGCGAGGAGGTCGCGCACCGCCTGCTCCCCGCTCTCCCTGCGCCGCGCCCCGCGTCGCGACACCGAGTGCGCCGTGTGCCAGATCACGTTCGGCTCTGACGTATACATACATACATATATATATATATGTGAGAGAGAGAGAGGGAGATCACACATAGTTGCTATGTGACCAGCTTATTATTTATAATAACTCACGTATATTCGTCCGGTGTCGGCATCGACTAGTGAGCTGAGGGCGAGGCTTGAACGCAAAATAATACCAGTCCCACTCATCCTGATGAAGGGCCCCCGATCAGCTCGGAACTAGTCGGTACCGCCACCGGACGTATATATGTGAGTGTTTAATCGTTTATATAAGTTTGTTTTAAAACTTCCCCAGAGTTTTAGCGTGACGGCGGAGTATGGAGTGCGGAACATGAAGTTCATAGTTACCTCTGTTGTCGTGTTGTGCGTGTTTGGGTGCGGCGGCGCGCTCCGCCCAGCGCAGCAGCGCGCGCAACGCCTGCGCCTCGCTCGCCTGCAGGAAGGGGGAGCCGAGCGCCTCCGCCACGGCACTGCGCGGCAGCCGCGCTGACGACGCCTGCCACATTATCGCCGGGAACTCGTCGCGCAGGTACCGCATCGCCTGTCTGCACCGCACGTTGCGCACGTTACACGCGTTGCGCAAGTTGCGCACGTTGCGCACGTTGCGCACCTTGCGCACCTTGCGCACCGTCACTCACAAGTGTAGTCGCGTACAGACCTGTGCACCCACTGGGAGGCGTGCGGTGCGGCCGCCCAGCGCAGCACGTGCGGCAACGTGTCCGCCGACAGCGCCTCCACGATCGCGTCCTCGCAACCCTGCACCACTATCGGCATCTCCAGGAACCTGAACACGTCACATCACGTCACATCACGTCACATCACACAAACAACAGTTCAGCAGTACACACATATATATATATATAACATTAACAATACCTAGCTATCTCATAAAGCTGAAAGGCATCATCTAATGTGGTCGTGTTGTTTGGTCGCGGAGAAGTGCGCGACACGCCCGACCACGCCTGCAAATATAAATACATTAAGTGTCGCACTTAGTGTACATTAATGACATCCGTACACGAGGCTATTTTAGTCGCTTAGCGACTTACGCAATGCGATATCGTACAGCGGTGTCGCCGACTATTCTGTTATGGTTAAAGACAATCGCTCACATGTTTGTCAAGATCGTCATGAGATGAGCAATTTTCAAGATGTCGTGTGTCGACGATTTACGTTGCCTTGTGTACGAATCTATACTCTGTGTAATGGTGGGGGTGGGGGGTGGGGGGGTGTGGGGAGGTGTACAAAGTGTGGAGTTGGTATACTCACAGTGGGTGCACTGGAGGCGCTGCCTGTGGAGGCGGGTGAGGGGGAGTTTCTGCCGATCAAACCTAAATCCACCTGCAAATTCATACATAATCAATATAAGACATGATAATTAAAAAATATGTTAATACTAGCTGCCGCACGCGACTCCAGCCGGGTGACATTACAAAAACAAATTTAATAAGTAACCTTTGTGTTTTTCCAGTGCGAAACATCCCTCCATCCATACATCCGCATTTATAATATGAGTAAGAAGTAAGATTAGCTATACTTTCATATCACAAAGCTCACAAAAGATATAGAAAGAATAGAAAAACAAGTATGAACAGTATACCTGGTCTGTGTACGCGGCGTGTAACAGTGCGCGTGCGAACCTGCGCGGCAACACGCGCTCGTCCGCGCACACCGCGCCCGCCCCGCCCCCCGCACCGCCCACACCGCCGCACGCCCCGCCCCCCGGCACGCCCCCGCAACACCCGCCGCTTATACCGCGCGACAGCACGCTCCTGTCAAGTCGCTTGAACGTTTTAGTACACATTGAGACGATGCAGAAAAAACAAAAGGTTTTAAATGCAATAAAGAAGGTCAGTAGGAATTGCTTTTTATTATTATCACGTCTTTTACGTTAATTTATTGCTACCTAATAAGTAAGAAGAAGCGTAGTTTATATCGTTAAGAGGAACAAGACAATTATTCAGTTGGTGAGATACCGCGGATCCCCGACTGTACATTTTGTATTGGAGATGTTGTGTTGTTGTGTGCATGTGTTACCTGAAGAAGCGCGACCTGGCGGCGAGCACCACGCGGTGGCAGGGCAGCTCGAGTGCTGCGCGGAAACCGTACGCCGCGCCCCCGCCCTCCAGCCGGAACACCAGCCGGCTGTCCGACTGCTCGCCTGCACCACGCACTAATGTTACGTCACTCAATGTCCGCATTGGTGGAGGTGGAGGTGGAAGTGGGGGTGGAGGAGGTGGAGGTGACTGACCCGAGTCGAGCAGGTACTTCATGTCCCGGTGCAGGGTGTCGAGGGAGAAGCCGAGCAGGTCCGCCAGGCGGCGCAGCAGTCGCGCCTCGCCGCGTCCCCCCCGCCCGCGACCCCCGCACGCACACCCCCCGCGAGCTGTACACACACACACGCACACATACATACACACACACATTATACAGTATTTATAAGACCACAGACACATAGTAATACAAAGAGCACTCACATGCCGTGTTCTCTCCGCTGATGATGTCCAGCTCGGACTCCTTGCCGCGGTCCCACTCTGATACATGACAAATGCATTACTTTATATTTACTTGTCGTAATTCAAACAAATTTTATATCACATACACATAGTAGAGAATATTTCCCATTCTTATGTCCCCTTCTCTATCAAATCTATTTCCCTTAGCAAAAGGAAAAAAAGTATGGGAAAGGAAAGTACAATGATGTACGTACTATTGCAAAGGTCGCAGGGAGGTCGTCGTGCGCAGCTGCTGCCCGCGTACAGCGCCGCCACGCCCGCCTCCACCTCCTCGCGACACAACCCCGCCGCCACGCCCTCCAGCGGCACGCGACACGCCCTGCACCACACACACACACACATATTGATATGATCAGCATTTCTACATATACAACTTGTAAACATATTGTCACTCACCCGGGATACCGCTGCAGCAGCTCCCTGAAGTACGAGCACCTGGCGGCGAGTATGGCGCGATGCGCGGACACAGACCATCCCGCTCCCACCAGCTCTACATCGCACACCCATCTGACGAGAAGACATGACATCACAAACCATCGTGGAAATTTCTTTTACTAGCGATCAAACTCCACATGTATGACGAGGTCGTACCTGTCCCTGTAGGCCTGCGCGAGGTCCTGGTGCAGCGCGGGCGCGGGCTCGCGGGCCAGCTCCGCCTGGGTGACGAGGTCGCGCAGCGCGGCGCCCGCCTCCAGCTGCTCGCACAGCACGAACACCTCCGCCAGCCGCCACGAGCTCACCACTGACCTGATGAAGCGCGCGTGCTCGCAACCTGCAACCACGTCCCGTGACATGCCATAGACTTGAGAATTTCAAGTGTCACATGAAATAATGCAAGTTTTCTCTATGCTAGTTCACCTCTGTCAGGTCGGGAGTCCCTCGGGCGGCGGGCCGCTGCCACCAGGCGCCTCCGTAGCGTGCCCAGCGCCGCGCCGCCCGCCTTCTTCTTCCGCTCCCTGACAAATACAAAGTCAACTTAACAAACCCTACACAGAGTTTGTGGTAAGTGCTTTCAAAATTTTAAAATGTAATTTTACTTGGGGTAGATAGATAGTGAGGGGGAGTGACTCACCGTATAACGTCGGCCATGGTGGGCGGGGCGACGTGCTCCGCGGCGCCGTCGCACGCCTCGCCCTCCTGCGACAACAACATGTA